GTCTAGCCCAGATAATTGGGGTGGAAATGTGGAATTAGTCCTGTTAATTGGTTTTAGCCTGTAGCTAAGGTTTAAAGAATTCTCCAATGCTAGGAAATTGACCCAAGTCATTTGGTATTTCTCCTGAAAACCCATTATTTCCCAGGTCCAACAATTGTATTTTTGTTGTAGAATAAAATTTCAGCAATAATGTAACAAAGATTAGACTTGGTCAACTCATTCATAGAGACCATAGAAGGTGGCAGTGTAACATCAAAATGATTTGTTCTGCACACTGCAAGACTACCTTTCAAAGATGAAAAACAGAAAATTACTGCAGGCCTCCTCATCGTACAATAGTTTCAAGCAGTTTAAGAAAAAGCAATCAATGTAGCATATCAATTCATCATCTTCCCTCATTATAATACTTGTACGTAGTATTTAATGCTGGTGCTATATACTTGCGACGTGTGCAATATTTTAAAAATCTATTTATTTTTAAATACATATGTTATGAATTCGTCACGCATATAGAATGGAAAAAAAAATGGTAAAGATAAAAATATTATATGAAGATAAATACGGTATATTCCTTCGTGAATATGAAAGGAGGAAGGTAGACAGTTAGGTTAGTTACCTCGACTAAAAGTTAGGTTAGTCCCTCTGTTTGATCAATTTTAGGTAGTGGTATGTTCACAGGAACATCTCAAGTTTAAATTACTGTAAATGGTTGTTCCTATTTCACCAAACTTTACAGTATTTTGTGTGTTGTCTATCCATTGATCCAAAAAAGTTCCAAACAGATTAAGCTATTAAGGTCTGATCATTTATTTTACGTTAAGAGATAGGCAAGCAAAGATCTTCGTTTTATGTGACCCACAATTTTAGTTGCCACTAGACAGCAGACAGCCCATGGGAGGCAAGAAAAGGCCCAATATATAGCCCAATACTTTTCCACAATGTTTTACAATTTTAGACTAAGAGACCGTTTGGTTTGGGTATTTATCAAAGTAAATGAAAATCAATTGTCCGCATTTCCTTTGTTATTGTTTGTTTGGCTTTTTTCTAATTCCTTTTACTCTCTCTCTTTCCTTTAATCCTTCCAAGTTGATTGTGGCTTAGGGTTTTGGGAGTAGGGGGAGTGTCGGCGGACTGTTTTACGGGGAGGGGTAGGGTTTTTTTTTATTTTTTATTTTTTATTTTTTTTATTTTTTATGTTTTTGTGGGAGTGGAGAAAGGGTTTCAAGGGAGGAGATTTCTGGGGAGGGGAGGGGCGGCGAGTGGGGGAGTGGCTAGGTGGTGGTTGGAGAAGGTGAGAAAGTGAAGGTAAATAAGGGGCGGTGTGGTGGTTGGATGACAGGAGAAGGTGGCTTATATCCCTTTGTTTTTTAAAATATAAAGATGGCCCCATCGTGTCGCTCATTTTAGATGGCATATACAAGTCTCCGTGTTGTCGATAGGGCTTTTCGGGTTCTGGATGCGCTTACGTTTATTATAGACCCCGGGGGAGTAGGGTAGGGTTTTTTTTTTTATTCCATTCTCTTTATTTCTCTTTGTTGCCTCCATTCAATTTACCCCGTGCAAACCAAACGATCCCTAGGGTATTATACTTATATAATAAGTCGTTTTCTTGGTGGATCTAACATAGATGGCATATATGATTATTTTTTTCTCTTAGTTTCAACGTCTAATATCATATGATTCATAGCACATGGAGACTATGTTATAGAATATTAGAATCAATGGGAATGACACACTCAACTTTTTTTTTTTTTTTTTTTTTTTTTTGGACATTGCACCTTTCATTTGATTAACTAAATAAGTAAATAGTAGTTGGTAGCTAGTCTTGGTACTAGATATATGGATATGAAATACTTCATCTAGTCATAACTATCCTTTTTTTAAATAAAAAAGCTATAACTTAACTTTCGTTTTTCTAAGAGTTATGTATTGAGGTGATATGCAATTTTGATCTTTAATATGTGGAGTAATAAATAAAGTAAAGAGCAATTGTGAAATCAAAATGATAAACAAGTCTGGGCCACATCCATCATAAGTGTCCATTTTAAACGACCAAGGAGGTTCCACCTTAATACCATACAGGAATTAACTATCGATGAATATGTACCCTACACGCCGACTCGTGTTACATACCGGACCATAATGATATGACATGTTTATAGAGGAACAAGCTCCTTATTTTAAGGACACTATATAATGAACGGGGCAGCAATTTTCGATCAGAATGTAGCCAAGCTTAAAGTTCACTCATATCTTTTTGATGAAGTGCAAGACAATCAAGCTTATTAAGGTCACACCACCGCTTGTCATCTTCATAAGTAAGATAACATTTTCACTTCAAATTAATCACTCAACACATCAATAATGTCGACCCCATTTCTAACACTCTTTTTTTTTTTTTTTAAAAAAAAAAAAAGTTGGCAAATATAGATTAAATGCATTTATATATACATCACCTTTTCTACCATACGGAATTAAATCAACCTCTGTTCCAAGGAACATTCACGTGGATTTGGCAATATAAGTGGGTCTCTAACGTAAATGTACAAATTACTACTTGTATAGTTGTATTACAATTGCCTCTGTAATATATACATGTAGGAATGTACTCTGTTATAAGAGTATATATTACCTTCGTTTTATTCGTTCACTCGTTTGATTTTAACACTATTATTCACATACTTTCTTTATTTGATTGTATTTTGTGGTTAATATATATTAAAAAATATAGTTACGTGAATTCTTGTTAAATTCGTCACGACATATATTTTTAAAATATCAACTTTTATAATTTTTATTTGTCGATAATTAAAGATATTAATAGTTGAATTTGTACATTAACAAACTTAATTAAGAAAACGTGTGGGAGAAATATAATACTTCGTATATAGCGAGTAGGTCCAAAACTCCAATAGATATATAATGCTGTAGCAATAGATTTATATAATAATGGGATCATAATTATGTGTAACAGATATATCTATCCTTTTTGTTTTAGTATTCTTGACTCTTGAGTGCTTGGCTGATGGAGTGATGGTCCATGCACAGAGTCCTATATGATTGTCTTGTATGGCTTTTAATTTTGAAATATAATATAATACTTCTTTAAACATTTCTTATGTACAAAGCAAATTTATTATAGGACTTTTATATTTTAAAATACCCTTTGTTGATTCAATATTAAATGTCTACTTAGCTTAACAAAATTACAAAATACTTCTATTCAAAAAAATTACAAATACTTCATGTCTTTTATTATACTCAATTCATGTCATTTAAATACTAAGGTTCTGTTCACATTTACTAAACTTGAGCTAAACTGAACTGAATTGAATAGAGCTAAAATGAATATTTTATGAGAGAAGGAAATTAGGAGCTGAACTGGACTAAAATTAAGCCGAAGTGAACAATTCAGTTCAGTTTAGTTTAACTCCAATCATTTCAGTTCAATTTCTATTTTTTTTCATAAACAATTCAGTTCAGTTCAGTTCAATTTAGTAAATAAGAACAGACTCTAAAGTTAAAGACCACAACATATCTCTAGTTATGGGCCTATTCTCATACGTTGAAATTCAGTTCAGTTCAGCTAAGCTCAGTTCAGTTTGGTTCAGTTCATTTCATTTCAACTCCTAATTTCCTTCTCTTATAAAATATTCATTTCATTTCAGTTCAGCTCAGTTCAGTTCAGTTCAGTTCAGTTCAGTTCAGTTCTATTCAGTCGAGTTCAGTCAATGAGAACATGCCCTTAATGGTAGCAAGAAAGGAGTAATTCAAATGTACGGAATTTATAGCTTAAAAAAGTTAAAACTAAATACACCAATGTAGTCAAAAGTTGGTAGATTATAGCGTCAAAATGAGGCCCAAATAACAAATTAAGGAAAGAGTTATGGTAATGCCGGATCATGTGTTTTGTGGAGGAGAAAATTGTTAGTCGGCGCAAAACATGGAAATATACGTCAACGGACTTTGCTCAGAATCGAACTTGGACCATTTTATAATTAAGGCGGCAACCGGCTTTTTAAAACTATATTTAACCAAACATTCCTTTTCTTCAATCATTTTAATTACCCAGTTAATCATGTTTAGACCTACAACATCTAACTCAAATATCATAATTAAGGTCATAATTACACATATAAACTGCTTAGGGACAATAATTCATTTAGCAAATATACTCCATAGTAAATAAATATGGAATATTTCTTAGATCTTACGGGGTAACTCTTTCTTGCTACAATAATTCATTTAATTTACTGGACGTAGGTTTCATAGTAATATTGTGTTAATAAGATAATAGTATGACTCAAGTGATGCCAACATAATTCAAGGAAGATTATTATTATCTCCTAGTATGTACTCCATAATATGGAGAATGTTAACAAGAAAAGAGATGTGAGTGAATTTTTCATCTAAATTTCTTATCAAATATCAATAATGCATTAATTGATGGTCAAAGTTCGACTTTTAAAAGATGCATTGATGTTTACATCCAAAAATGTGTTAAATGTCTATTCTAAATAAATGTTATACAATCTTGGTTTATAAACTTTGACCTACTATAGAGTAATATTATATGAAAACACATTGCTTTAAAATGTGCAAGTAACATTAATTATCTATTTCATACCAGTATAAAGTATTTTACTCAATAGTTGTTACTCAATAGACATACAAAATTTATAGAACACTACACATAATATCAATGTTATAATTCACTCGAATACTACTTGATAGATTAAGTTACGGAGTAGTTTGAAATGGTCAATTCACTATCGGATACGTCACACGGATGAGCTAATAACAAAATGTGGAGCGTACAATTGGACTTATAGTGTAGATGGCGGCTTCAATAAGGTGCCAAAGATGGGGTTAGGCTGACTAGTCGTCGCCAAACCAACACCCCTTGATTGCTGATTCAGACAAATGAACTCAACTGCTCTTACTCAGTCTTCCTATTTATTCACCTTCTCAGCCACCAGTAATTCAATTCGTTAAACTCAGTAAATAACCATCAACTTTCTGAATGCTTTTCAAACCAATTAATTAATTTTATTTTTAAAAACCAGCTAACAATTTAGCATAAGAATCAAAATCACGCGGATTAATGACACAAAAAAAGGGTTAAAATTTCTTTGTAAGTTTCTTCCTGTTTTCTTTTTTCCCAATTTTTCATACTCCGTATTTGTTCAATTCAAAAATTAAAATCATTATTACTATTAGACCCACTTTTGAAAATTTGTTTATTTCCCAGAACCCAAAAATTAAAAAAACTCAGAAAATGAAAGTACTTAAACTAGTCAAAATGCTAACCCCTCATTCATGGTGAACGCGTTTCTTCTTGTTCTTCCTCTCATCCTTAATCTCTTTCCTCCCAACTTCAAATTTCAAGAATTCTGGTGAACATTTGAAAAGATCTATTCTTTATTAGTTCATCGAATTAAAGATTGAATTTTGCTACTTTTTTTTTTGGAAGTATATGATTAAACTGAAACTGCATTCTTTGGCTGAATTAAACCTAGAATTTCTGAAGATTTCTGCTGTTTTTTAAGTGATTGAAGATGAAAAGTAATTTGTGGGTGTTTTATGGGGTGAATTTGGTATTCTTATTTCATCTCCAGCTTCTTCTTCTTCCCTGTTCATCCCTTAATTCTGAAGGTAAAATTCTGCTTCTTTAAATCATATAATTTGATTTTATTTTCTGGGTTTTTCTGGGAGTAAGCTGAAATGAATTGGGTGTGAATAATTTTTTAATTTTTTTTATTTATTTTACAGGGTTGGCTTTGTTGAAGTTTAAAGAAAAGGTGGTGAGAGATCCCTTTAATGCCCTTTCTAATTGGAGTGATAAAGATGGTGATTTGGATCATTGTTCCTGGTTTGGAGTTTCTTGTTCTGAAGGCAATGTTGTAATTCTGTATGTCCTTATCTCTCTATATTTTTTTCCTGCAATTTTTTCTCAATTTTTAATAATTTTGCTGCATTTTGATTTTAATTATGTTAATATTTTGTTACTCAAATTGGTTAATTTTGTATTAATTTCCCGTGGTTTATTTTTAGTAAGTGAATTGGTTATTAGGGTTATTGCACTTATTGGATTCTGAATTGTCTAATGATCTCCCATGATACTTGATTACTCATGTTTTGGTAGTATTTTTTTTTTAGTATTTCATATCCCAAATTCCTTTACTTTGATGAATTTAAACCCTTAAAGGCTTACAATCCAGTTATTTTCGACTCGCAGGAATCTGAAGGATCTTTGTCTTGGAGGAACACTAGCATCTGAACTTGGAAATCTATATCATATCAAATCCATGTAAGAGCATAAGTAGTAGAGTTTTTATTATGTTAGTGAAATACTGGAATTATCTTTTCAATGTTCTAGCTTAAGTGTCATTTTATCTTGTTATCATCTGTTCCTCTTACTGATGGTTTTGGTTGGCTTTTTTACTTCTCATTCTCAGTATATTGCGCAACAATTCCTTTGATGGGATCATTGCTAGTGAGATAGCTGACCTGAAAGAACTGGAAATGCTAGATTTGGGTTACAACAATTTTAGTGGACCGATCCCTTCTAACCTTGGGAACAACTTTTCGCTGTCGATTCTGTGAGTAGATCCTTTATTATTATGCTCAAGATTATCACATGCTATAATAGTCATTCTTTATCCGTTTTTCTCTTTAGGGACCTTCTGTTAATCCTTTGTTTATGTCTCTCATTTGCATCTGATACAGTCTGCTGGACAACAACAATAATCTTGGTAGTTTATCTCCAGAGCTTAATCAGCTTCAGATGCAATCTGAACATCAGGTGGATGAGGAATACCTACGTACTGTTTCTGCCAGGGCAAGCTGTAACAGTAAATCTTTTTCTTGGTGAGAACCTGTGAAATGACTTCATGCTAAATTTACCTGTTTTGCTATTATTGAATTAGTAAATTGGGCACATGATTGATTAAAAGTATAGTGCTTTTCAGCCAACAGCATAATAAACGTTCGCTCCTTTTCTTCAGGTCTTGGGAGATTACTTTGTTCAATTATAACCTGTCTCTTGCTTCTTTATCAGGTATACTACCCGGCCGGATAATTTTGTTGGGAGAAGCTTGCTGCAAGTGCCAGGCTTTCCATTTCGGAGACTTAGAGACAGAAGGCCTGCTTCACCGACCCCATCAACTCATGCGCCATCTCCCTCTAAATCTCATTCGGACTCGCCATCTCCATCCCGATCTCCTATCTCACCATCATCACCATCTCCATCGCCATCACGTGCCATCTCCTCACCGGTGCCTGCTCCTGCTCCTGTGATTGCAGATCCCCCTTCTCCAACACCATCAAATCCCCCTGTTGTTTCAGTATCACCAGCGGCACAGGCTGCTCAAGTCCCAGATAACACTAAAAGATCCGGCTCAAAGCAGCATAAGGTTATTATTTTGGCCTCCGTTGCTGGTGGCTTGACACTTCTGATTATATCAGCAGCTGCCATTATTGTCTGCAGAAGCAGTAAGATAGGTACTGTGAAACCATGGGCCACAGGGCTAAGTGGACAGCTTCAAAGAGCATTTGTTTCAGGTATGATGCTTCATCACCTACACATGAATAGCTAACTATCACTGTTGTAGCATGTTTCTTACTGATATTTTTACTCTCTAGGTGTGCCAAAGCTTAAAAGAGCTGAACTTGAAACAGCCTGTGAAGATTTCAGCAACATAATTGGCACTTTGAATGATGGGACTGTATATAAAGGTACTCTTTCTAGTGGCATTGAAATTGCTGTTGTAGCAACTTCAGTGAAGTCTTCTGAGGAATGGTCAAGAAAATTGGAAGCCCAGTTTCGGAAGAAGGTATTAATACTGTGCAATTGACATAGTTAAACCTGCTATTAGCTGTATTAGGTGAATCTAATTTTAATTTTATTTATTATTTTTGCTTTTGTTTACAGATAGAAACATTGTCCAAAGTGAACCACAAGAATTTTGTGAACCTTATTGGATTTTGTGAAGAAGAGAAGCCTTTTACTAGGATGATGGTTTTTGAATATGCACCAAATGGAACTCTCTTTGAACATCTACACAGTGAGTATCTTATCCAACCTCAATCTCATTTTCAAACTTGGAAGTGAAAAAAAAAAGGGAAATTCTCTCTGGTAATCACGAACTTTTGTTTTTTCTTAGTGGTAAAGCCTAAAACTTTTGATTATCAATGGTAATCACAAATTAATATTTTTAAACTAATGGTAACTTAAGTTAAACAAATAGTTAATTTCTTTACTCCTGTAAGTAAAAAGACAGAAATACCCTTATGTCTTTCCTCCTCCATCTTCTTCCTTTCTCAGCTCTTTCCACCTCCATCTTCTTCCATTAAAGCCACCACCACCATTGTTAAACTGTTGTTAAGGTCGGAAAAAAGAGGGCGGCGGCAGCACCAAATGCGGCGGCAGCAACGAATTCAACAAATTAGACCCCGAATTCAACAAAATCCCGACAAATTCGACTCAAAACCAACAAATTAAATCCCAAAATCAACAAAATCGACCACTAATTCGACCTTAAATCAACATATTTAACCAAATCGACTCCAAAAATTAACAAATTCGACCCTTAAAGTAGCAATTCGACCCCCAAAATCAACAAATTTGACCCCTAAAACGACAAATTCGACTCCAAAAATGGACAAATTCGACCCCAAATCAACAAATTCGATCACAAAACCAACAAGTTTGACCCAAAAACCAACAAATTCGAACCCAAAACCAACAAATTCGACCCTAAAATCAACAATTTCGATAAATTCGACCCCCAAAATCAACAAATTCGACCCCAAAATCACCAAAAATAACCTTGAAATTTCAACCCAAATTCGGGAAACGAGACGAAATCGGGGAAGGGAGGAGGGTGGTTGATTCCGGCAAGGAAGGATGGCTGATTTTCGCGTCCCCGAGAAGCGGTTTTAATTTGGTGGTGATGATAGGAGAGAGAGGGTGAGTCGGGAATAAGGGAGGGGAACTCGTTTTGGGATTGGAGTGTTGTTGGTGGGGGTCTCCGGCGGGGTAGAGGGTTGAGACGCGTCAGCCGCACCAAGCTGAAGGCCGGCAAAGGGAGGAGGGCTGGTGGTTGGCTGGTGGTCGGGGAGGGGTTTGGATTTTTTGTTTTTATTTTGTTTAAAAAAATATTTTGAAGGGTATTAATGTAAATCTATTGTTACTTAACCTAAGATTAACCCTGGTTAATTGTTTAATGATGTTTTAATATCATTAATGTTACCATTAGCTTAATTTTATTAATTCGTGATTACCATTGATAATCAAAAGTTTCAGGTTTTACCACTGAGAAAAAAATAAAGTTCGTGATTACCAGAGAGAATTTCCCAAAAAAAAAATATTAGCACTTTGCTTTCTCGGCTTGTTTGTAACAAGTGAGCTCCTTATTTGCAGTCAAAGAAGCTGAACGCTTGGACTGGAAGATGCGCCTACGTGTAATAATGGGTATGGCTTATTGCCTTGAACATATGCACCAGCTGAACCCACCCATACCTCACAGGGACCTGCAGTCTTCGTCCATGTACCTATCAGAAGATTATGCGACCAAAGTATCAGATTTTAGCTTCTGGACTGTGGGAACGGTATCTAAAATGAGATCACCTTCCATGCATCTTTTGGAGGCAGCACTGACAGACATAGAGGGCAATGTCTACAACTTTGGGATGGTTTTGTTAGAAATCATAACCGGTAGGATGCCTTACATGGAGGATAATCGCACTGTAGCAGATTGGGTTTTCTACTGCTTGGAAAAAGATTACTTACCACAAGATATCATAGATCCAACGTTAAGTTCGTTTAAAGCCGAGGAGGTCCAGAGATTGTTTTGGATCATAAAAGATTGTGTACAACCTGATCCGCAAGAGAGACCAACTATGAAAACCATTGCTGCACGTTTAAGAGAGATTACAGGGATGGGGCCTGATGGGGCAACTCCGAGGTTATCTCCTCTGTGGTGGGCAGAGCTTGAAGTTATGTCTATGGATGGAAGTTAGTAGGGTTTACTCCTGTAAGTAAAAGCCTAGAGCTATGTTTTTTTTTTTTTTTTTTTTAATTTTTTTTTGCATAGTTATGGCTTTTATCTCAAAGCCATGTTCATAGCCTAGAATATGATTGGAGTATAAAACCAATACTGGAGCAGAGCTTTCTGAGACAGGTTGTTAGAAGGACGTTACGCGTGTGATTTTCTGTACATAAATGAGAAAAATGAGCTCATTAGTTGGCTGCTTGGCCAGATCTGTGTCTCACTTTTTTTTAGACAATGTTTCCTTTTTTTTTTTTTCCAAAATAAGCACATTCTTTGATTCCTCTACTAGATTTCTTTCTTGAAAATGTGCTCTGAACTCAGACAGATTCGCGTTTACAACAGTTTGAGACAGGCTCTTAAAGCAAACTTTTAACTAAGCTGAGTGTGCAATGAACATTGTAAACTGAGTGTAAAGTTATCCTGAACACAAGCTTTGCAGATCGTTTAAGATCCAAAAGAGCCCTCACGAAGGACCTTTACAAATACATCTATGTATTACGGAGTAATATGCCACTGCTGACATACAATTTGCGCTACTTGTATGCTCCATATCACCATAACAAACTAGGAAAATGGAGACTTATTCTGTGTTATGTATGTAAGAGATGCAGGTCAAAGTATGACTATTACAAATGTGATGTAATATCTAATGTTGCCAAATATTCAAGCTAAGGGGTGATTAAATATGAAACCCAAATCAGAAGGGTTCTGTCAATTTGACCTTATCTTTTTGCCAGTTGAGGCTTGTCATGGTAATTGATTAATCCATGAACTTTGGTTAATTTGGTGGATGCTTCATCAATTTCGTCTGACAGATTAATTATATCTTAAGCAAGATTATTTGGTGGTTGATTAAAAGAGGGTTTGTATATAGAGTAAAGTGACAAATTGCACTATAATAATGTAAAGTGACTAAAACAAAGTTGCAGGGTTTACACTTCGCATTAAAAAATTAGTACTCTACCAACTTATCAGACTAAGGAATTAAATATGACAATGAAGTGTTTACACACAAAAAGTATGACAATGAATAATCACCGCCACTGAACAACCTAATCCAATGCATTATATCTCACGAGAAGGGTATGGGGCAAACTCAATGAGACAACCGAAACATGAGAAATCGAGCAAAATTAGAATTGATTACGGACCAGGGCTAGGCTACAGCAAAGGAAAGTTAGCTAGTTTCGGCCAAGGCATCAGGTCGAACCACAATTCAGGCCAAAAAAAGAACGACTTGATTTAGTTTAGTTTATAATTAAGCTAGTAAAATCACCGGAAGGAAGATTAACATGTAAATACAAGTAGTCTATTCTTTTCCATCTTTCTTTAACACATATAAGCACAGGTAACATAACTTGGTATTGTCAAGAACAATGATGATATACACACATATATATATACACATATATTGATATACATCTAATTTACACACATAACATTCTAGGCATTGAAATTACACTTTGTACCTTGATTCTAAAGTAATTCCTGCGCTCCTGGAACTCTCAGGTCATAGGATTCGACATAGGCAAAATTTGCAAACACAAACATTTTGCGAGCAACTCCTCTACCATACACTACCTAAATCATCTTCACAATCCAAAGCTTATACTTCTTTATGTACATATATACGAGACAAGGTCCAATCAAGTCGGCATCTGACAGGCGCTTGCAAAGCCTTAGATAGATCTCTGCAGTCCCAGGTTGGTGCATCTTTTTCCTGAGACCCTGCAGAACAGCAATTCTGTCCAATAAATCTGGATGCAATCCAGAATCAAGCATTCTGGCTAATGTTTCTGCAGCATCCACATAATTGCCACCTTTGATATAGCCTCGAAGCAACCATGTTAAAGTTTTCTTTTTAGATGAAGAGCTTGTAGCTTCCAATGTAGTCAGCAATCTAGAAACAGCTCCATCTTCTCTTTGAGAGGCACAGATAGCTAAAACTATGTCATAGAAGTACCTCTCAACCTCCTTACCTAAAAGCTTCATTTCCCACAACTGTTTTTCGGCATCAAGCCCACGACCAGCACAAATATACATAGCAAGAAGCTTTTCATGAACTGAACTAAGCACTGAAGTATTTCCCTCCTTGATCAACCAGCTTGAGAGTAGGATCCCTTCATCCAGAAGATCAGACTGATGCTTCTCAACAAGCCTAATATTTTCTTCATCTAACTCAGCAACTAGACCAGCCCTAGAAAAACCCTTCAACTTACGCAATGCTTTTGCAACTTCATTCGACTCTTTCACCACAGCTGTCATTGCAATGAGATAGCTGTACATTTCAGGATTCAATTCACTTTCCTTCAAGCGAATCACCAATCTAACAGCATCTCTGTAATCTCCTTTCTCCTAGAAGATACAATAAACATGTATACTTGGTTTAAGGATTTACAGACACATACTAAAGAGTTGGTTGTTGTTTTGTTGGTATATTTGAGTACTCCGTAACAAATAATTATGGCACTGGTATATCCTGCTAGTATTCTATGATAACAGGAAACATGAATCTAAGAATAAAAGAAGGGTGAAGCAGCAAGTAATTTGACACAGTGAGAGCAATCAATCACAGGAATAAAGCCTTATAGACCATGATACCCAAGCCTTGTATTATAGACAATATAACCAAGAAAATACTTGATTTATGGCAGCAATTTTCAACTAAACAGGATAGTATGAAGGTGATTTGATCACATAATGTTACCCCCAATAATTACAGAGCACGTAATTCCATAATATCCGTTTATTTTTAGCAGCTAGACAATCACATATACTTGCATAAAACATCAATATGCAATGATAATCTGACAGTTGCAAAGTGATGATCTTACTTATTATGCCAAGCCTTGAAAATTACAAATACTACATAGTTCTCAATATGACAAATGATTAATGAAGTTGAATATTAGAATGAAGTTGAATATTGGAAGAAAATCTTACCATCATCTTCCAAGCAAGATAGCCAGCAGGGCCTCCCCTGTGTATATCATCCACACCATCCTCTAAAGACAGGATTCTGCGTCTCAGAACCTCCTCGACAAAAGAAACTGCTTGATCTGACTTCCCCGAATCCCAGTACACAGAAATGGCCTTCTCCATCATGCTAAAATTGGGTTTCAGACCAACACAATCCATGTCAACCAAAAGATCAACCACTTCCCCAACTTCCTTTTCAGCTTCAATCATATTCTTAATCCACCCACACATGATTGACACCATCAACTCCATCATCTCCTTATCAACGCGATTCTCTTTCTTCAACCACTCAAACACCTCTAATGCACACCAAGAATCCCTCCCCTCTTGTGAAAAGTACACCAACATCAGCTGCAGCTCTCGGGCCGAGAGCCGGTCATTCATTTCTTCAAGAACATCAGACGGTTCTCGGGCCATCCGTTCTAATTCTTCTATTGCCTCAAAGAACCCTTCACTCATTTCATCCTCATCCACACTAGTCAAAACCCGGTCCAACTCGACCGAGTTAAAAAGCCTAAACTCTCTGGCTTTACTCCGAATTGGGACTATGTATTTTAGCTTTTTATCACTAGTTTGAGTAATTGAAACCCTAGAACATGCTTCAATCCTCAATTTTTTAAATGCAACAAGGTCTTGCCACCTAGGGTAAGATGATTCTATTCCATAGCTTAATGGAGCAAACCCAATAGCATTCACCATTTCCACAATTTCAAGAAAACCCAGATAACAACCAGAAAAAAAATTGATAACCCAGAAAATTACATACAGAAAAATTCAAACTTGGAGAATTATGGGCAAGAAACTAGAATTCTATTAAAAACCCAGTTGAAGATTGATGAACATTAAAATAAATCATACAAATATGATAATTGCACATAAAATTATGCAAAAATTATCTAATAAAGTGACATATTTTAGATAATGAAACACCACCGACCGAAAAATATAAAATTATATGAAGACATAAATAAAAGAAATGAAGAACATACCAACCATAAAAAATGGTGAAGGATGAATTCAATCAGTTAATCTGATCACAAAAACTCCAATTTTTATGCCCATCAACTTCCGGCAAGAGTCAAAAGAGTGGAAATTGGAGAAATTAAAATTAGATAATGGTACTGTAGTTTTCTACTATTATATTATGCGGTTTGGTTTTGTTTTCTAGTCCGTTATTATTGGTAGAATGTATGTACACCGTAAACGTGGGCTAATTGGAGCTTACTATATCCCTACTTGCCTACTTGGTAATGGATTTTTTTTCCTTGAAGAGTTAAAGTAGACCTTAAACATGAATTGTGTATTTGTGTGTGTTGTCGCATCTTACGACCCAAACCAATCTTGAGCTAAAATGTCTTACAATTTTTCTATTTGGTAAAGTTTTAAACAAACTAAATTAAGAATAAAAAACGTCTAATAAGACTGAATTATCATCATACAATTCTTTTGGTTTTCTATTTGGTAAAGTCTTAAACAAACTAAATTAAGAATGAAAAACGTATAAATAAGACTGAATTATCATCATACGACTCCTTTGGTGAATAACATGTGATTTTATTTCAATTGTTCTTTCTCTTTACTCAGACTCGTCTAGATGGTCTTAGACAATCTTATCTAAAAAGTTAATTCGTACAATTAATATCTTCGTTATTTGCACCTTAACTTGGAAGTCAATAGGTGGAGAAATTTACATCTTGATAGCAATGGAGTAGTCTTGCTCTCGGTAACATTTTCATTAATTGTTAATACATGTTTGAGTTCTAAACTAAATAAGAAAATTTGAAAGGACTCTTGCAATCCACTTTAATTGTTTTTATGTCACATTTTTTTTAAGGTGTACAGAGAAACTCACAAAAACAAATAATGTAAATGAGATTTGATCTCAACTCTCAAGTTTTGAGTACCACCCCTCAATACTTTAACTAACTAAGCTAGTTGATCATCCATGAATGTTTCTAGCACTATGATTGTGAGACCTCGGGTTTTGTTGGTCGGGGTTTATAATTTACGGAGTATTAGTTTAACTCATAACCTAGAGGTTTTACATATCCAACGTCTTACCCATCAAATTCAACTTTGGAACCAAATAAAACATAATTAAAAGGGTGATGGAATTATATTATATATGAGTATAGAAACACACTTAAACTACTCAGTGCAAAAACCATGACACTTTAGTTATAAAGTATTCTTCGTTAGAATTACAACAAGTATGAACCTCTTTTATAACAACTATGCTCATGTTAATATCCAACACGTATATGACATACAATATATGTATATAAGAAAAATAATAAATAAATAAAATACAAGTAATTAAAAAAAAATCTTTCTTTCAAAATAAAAAAATTGTACAAACCAAAGGTTAATCATCAACTAAACTCTCAACAATGTTAATTGCACTTAAGCTAAATAGTTTGACTTTTGACTAGTATGTTTAATTATTCTGCTTCTTCAACTCTACTTTCCCTTCAATCTCACCGGAGAGAGAAGCGCAAGGAAGAAAGAGGAGAATCAGAATGTATAGAATCGTCAGTAAATTATCAACAGCAGTATTACAGAGAGATAAACAAACTTCATCTTTTTTCTGGCGTTCTTTCTCTCATTCTTCTTCTTCTGGGTTCCTTTCTTCATCTCTATTCTCTCTATTTTTCTGCCCCTTTTTAATTTTTTCAATTTTCTGATGAATTGGGAAATTTGACAGGAATCCGTTTGGCATTGCTTTTGATATTGATGGTGTCCTTCTTCGGGGTAATTCCACCATTGGTGGCTCCCCTCAAGCTCTTAGTAAGCTTTATCATCCCCGAGGTCCGTTCTTTTTTGTTTTTGGGTATTTAATTTGTTAGTTTATTGGAGGAATTTAGGTGAAAATAACCCTTAGTTTTTAATTTAATTAGATAAATTGTATAATTTGATGGGTGCCCGTTAATTTATGACAACTTTACATGAAAACAAAAAACTTGATTTGTCACAATTGTCATTGGCATGCCAATCTACTATGTTGGAGATGTGTGGTGAAGTTATACCATCTTAATTTGATAGTCACATTGATTGTGTAATTTAAACCGGTAATGTGACAACTAATTCAAACCTGGAGTACTAGTACTCCATAGATTGTTGTTAATATTAGAGGGTTACTCCTCTTGCCCCAATTGGTTTTAGGATGGAATCTCGAGATAAGTATCTTTTAAACATACTTTGATTGACTTGGGTAAAAGTGAGGAAATATGTTAGTGTTTGTTTTTACATTATTGGTTCGTGTTTTTCGCTAATCTGATTTGATGATTGTGAATGTAGATTCCTTGAAGGTCCCCTATGTCTTTTTAACTAACGGTAAGTTTTTGTTACACTGTCAGTTCATACTTCATGGCCTCATAACATGTTTTTAGTTAATGAATCGTAGAAAAGCATTAAAGCATGCATTATCGACGATGATTGTTGAATTTGAGGATGACATACACCACAATTGTTGTTAGTTTTGTTGTTTAGGACTTTAATTTAAAGTTGGGGAGATCTTGATCTCCCCTGGTTTTGGTAGTTGTAAGTGCTCTCAACTTTTTCATTGTCAAGTAACTAGTTTGGCATATTATGTCTGCTAGGGGGTGGAGTTCGTGAATCCAAGAGGGCTATTGAGTTGAGTAAACTCTTTGGTGTAGAAGTTTCATCTTCACAAGTAAGTTTTTATGTTACTCAGCTAAGGCCTATATGTTGGTGGCTTTCAACTATCACCTACAACTACAACACCTCTTACCTTACTCTGCATCATTATTACAGGTTTTGCATGGACATTCGCCGTTCAAACAACTGGCACACAGGTATCTGCAGACATTGTTGTGATGTAATATATCTATTTTGCATAGCTGTTTCATAAATTCTCTGAAGCATGCAAAATTTTAGAAATCATCGCAATTCCTTTTCTTGGTAGAATTTAAGACTTATTTCTCATCTCCTAATTTCATGTTGTTGACTAAATGCAGGTTTGAGAATGATTTTGTTGTTGCTGTTGGCAAAGGTGAACCTGCTGCAGTGCTGTCTGAATATGGATTCAAGTATGGTCATTATCTACTTTTCTGAGATATTCCTTCCATCCTTCAATAACTACCATGATAAAACTAATGGATGCTAACAAAGGATACATACACTTATAATTGGCCACTTATTACAAGGGTGAAGACTGAAAGAGGGTATAATTTACATGACTGTTCACCAAGTTCTGTACTGCTACAACTTCTCATGCGCTTGTTCCATTTTTCCAGGAATGTTATTTCTATAGATGACTATGCATTGTGCTTCGACAACATTGATCCTTTGGCACCTCATAAAAAATGGACACTGAATAGTTCAGAACAGAGCAAAGGTTTCCCTTCAGCGGAGCTAAAGGAATATGTTTGCTCTCAGAGGGTCCAAGCAGTATTTGTCGTGAGTGACTCTGTTGATTGGAGCAGGGACGTTCAGGTTGTTTGCATAACTCAATTTAAAGTCTACGCTATTCCAACTTGTTCTTTAAAATATATTTATATTCATGGCACATTGTAAATGGTTTATTCCTAGTCACTAATTAATTGTAGTCTTAGGTTCTCTGTGACATATTGAGAACTGGAGGCCTTCCTGGAGAAGAAATTGGAACTCAACCTCCTCTATACTTTGCTCATGATGATCTGAAATACCAAGTGAGTTTACTTTCAGATTGGATTTCTGTAAGTCATATTTTAAAGTGCTTTGTTTATCTGTTATTTACTGATGTGTTATCACCGAAGATAGGGTGCATTCCCCACTGAACGATTTGGGATGGGTGCCTTTAGGATTTCATTGCAATCTGTCTTCAACAGGTAAGGTTTTTGAGATCTCTTTAACAAAGAGCACTAGAGTATATTCTGTTGATATATCATCTGCAAATTGCTTAATCTTCGATCATGTATTTGCTGTTAATTTTTGTAGAATTGTTACCCCATAATAACCTAATTTTTTCTTCGCTCTTGGTTGGGTTTGTTTGTAAATGCACCTAGTAGGCTAGCACACCAATTAATCATGAAAAAAAAATGTTCTGGAGTGTCTAATTTATTAATTTTGATTGTTAATTGTCGAAAAGTGATATTGTTTAAATGCTGAACCACCTGCGCTTGTGATCAGGGGTAATATTTTCAACCTCAAGTACTATTGATAAAAAATAAGCATATGGTCTACTGTTCCCTTGGGTGTTTCTTGGATTGACCACTTGATTGAGATTAATATTTTGGCATTTTTGACTGTAGCATCTTTAACCATATGATAAGTTGTCTAGTTTGGTTCTTAAAAATTGATGTACTGCTCTGATAGACTTATAGTGTGTTTAATTGTGTAGTATTCACCCTCATCCTTTGCAATATTCGGCTGTTGGTAAGCCAAATCCACTTGCTTTCAAAAATGCCGAAAATACTCTTCAGCAACTTCATAACCAACTGACTGCCAATCAAGACCTTGGTGGCATTAGTCCTTTTGAAACCCTATACATGATTGGAGACAACCCTTCAGTTGACATTAAAGGTGCACAACAGGTGAGTCTCATAGCTTGTTCGGCTGTTTGCATTAGTAATTTCTGGTGACTACATCTCATTAAGCAGCTTGAAACATACACATATATACTCTGATGTCATACTGACATTACAATACTTGCAAAATATTGTTTATTTCAGGCAGGACGTCCTTGGTTCTCTATTTTAACTAGGACTGGAGTTTTTAGAGGAAAAGAAAATGATCCTGAATGTCCGGCAGATATGGTATGTAATTACTGAACACTTGTGAGAATTGGTTGTCATGCATTGGTATTTGACATATTTTTGTGCATTTATTTTTCTTTGTAATATATTGAAGTCTGAACACTTATGAGAATTGCTTTCATGAACTTATATTACATGTTTCGAGTGTAGTACTCTCTGTTTCTAAAATTTGGCCATGTGACTGAATGTTGTAAGCTAATGTTGATTTTTTCTTATATTATCTTAAATTCCTAATAACTCGCTCAACTAAATTACTAAAATTTTAAGGAAAGACTACACATCAAACAAGTACTCTATAGGGAATTATGTCAAGAGTTAATTGGAGGCCAAGCTGACATTACTTTAAATTGACCCTATTAAAGCTTATCACAGACTATCTTTTCATCTTAAAGAAACTATGGAAAAGTCTAACAATGTTCCAGGCGCAGGCTCTACCTACTAGCATGTCCGCTTATTCGTTATGTTTATCAAGCTATGTTTGAGTGTCTTTTGTGTTATTTCTGTAGGTTGTTGACACTGTGGAAGATGCTGTGAACTATATATTGGACAAGGAAAACGTTAGCTGAAAATTGGTTGGCGGCATATATATTTGAAGTTTTGTGTTGGATTGAGCTACAATTGTCATTCTACCGTATAAGATTCATTGGGAAGATGCTCCAGTTATCTTCAATGATAAACTTCGATCATCTCTTTAATTTTTGATTCATTCTGCTGCTGTTGTGTATAGGCCAGAATACATTTTCAAAACAGTTTAAAGTAACAATTTTTTGATAAAATCACATGTTTGTAATTATTACTCCATAGTTGTTTATATTTCCACAACTCGCAGACTAACAGTCTCCACTGAAGCCTGAAGATGAAATTATTGGTGCTACATAGCAATTTGCAAGGCATGATAAACCGATCTCTGGATCTGGACACCAATGGCAGGGTTTTCTTTAATAAGAGGGGGGCAATGTAAAAAAAAAAATATAAAAAAAATCACCCAAATTGGAAAATCTTTCCTGGAGAGCAGGCAAAATGATCTACTGATGCTGCACGCATACTAGTATTTGCTTCATGCACAACAATAGTTGTCTGCATTTTTGGGCAAAAATTGTGTTCCGGTAATTACTGGCAATACATAAGAATCGACCTGGGTGAAAAATTAAGAACGGTAGGTAAATTATCCAACATATGTAATATTCAAACATATCTTATTATCAGTAATACAGTTAAAAATGTGTCTTATATTGTATATTAGTTTATCCATAAAATCTGGATATCAAACATAAAAAGTTAAAACTTTGTATAATTTAGGTTGCTTTGGTATCAAAACATTTGACCTTGAAGTTCCCTTTTCATTTCACACAGAATAAAGACATTACTTTATTGATGGACAAGTTAAGCAATTGATATAAACTTAGAATTGTAGTATACTAAGAAGGGAGGGTTGACATATCAACAAGTATGCAAGATTTACAGTGCTAATTTAAAGATTCGCTCAACTTTCATGAAACTGCCGCTGTCACTGAACTTCTCCAACAATTATTCTCGGATTAAATAACACTGTAACAGCACAAGCCAGCATCACCACAATCAAAAAATGAGGACTTGTTTAGGGTTGCTCCCCTGTTTACCAAGCGCCTTATCCAGAGCAATATGAAAATCTTTGAAAGGAACAAGTTCCATGCTGCAAGCAACAGATGCAAACAGGCGTAAGAAGCATATAATCTAGAACAAGCGCAATTAAGCAGGATTGAATAATCCTAAAATCTCCCTCTACTCCGTATTATTAAATACCAAAATTAGATTATCCAAAATTATCCTAGGGACATGGGGCCAAGTTGTGACTAGGGAATAGTATCCAAATTAAGTTGGTTTTATCAAAGTAAGACAAGCAAACTTAGGAGTTATTCCTGTAAAATTCTCAGACAATTTATTTGCTCTTCGTGATAGCAGATAGAATTAGAAGAAATAAAAGGACAAACAGCCAGCTTAAATGTCTAACATTTGCAGCAACTAGAGTTCGTAACAAGGGGGCAAAAATAGAGTAGTATGGAAAGGTTAAGCTATCCAACTAAAACTTCTAACATCGTATGTATAATGCAGCATAGATAATTTCACATTCAAAAACATTGAAAATTTATAACGTATATAATTCTGCAAAAGAAAACTTACTCATATTTTATCTTTCCATCACGCATCAGACCTAAAAGTTGATCAATCATATCTCTGCATTCATCAGCTTTATCTGAACTCATCCATTTCTGAAGCCAGAATCCCCTCAAAGAAAGATCCTAGAAATCCATGGAACAAAGGATATCATCAGCTAACAATATACCACATATTAGAAACTCAACATTGGTGATAAGGTGCATGATTAACATTTACTACCTCTATTTCATATTATTTGCAACAAATAAGTTTGCACGTACTCCTAGGCAAAATTTGCTCATGAGTGTTAAATGGAGAGGGAAAGATAGAGATGCATGTGATGAGGAGAAGATAGGGAGAAATAACAACTTAAAAATAAAAAAATAAAAAAAAAATAAAAAAAAAACACAAACATTTGTTGTAAATATAAAGCATCCATTTTTTACAAATGTTACATATAATATGAAACGGAGATAGTATTTAGCAGCAACAAATGTCACTTTTTAAAAAAAAACAAAATGATTGGCAAACAGCAAAGATCAATGAAAAGTAGTTAAATGCAGATGATTCATTCAGACAGACTATATACTTAATACAATCACCTAACCAACTAAATTGGATCCTCACTTCTCACAACTCTGTCTCTGTGATGCACAACAACATCATAACCACAAGTATACCTTGAAGATGAATGATGAAGTAGACACTGTAACAGGCTTTTTAGACATTCCGCCATATGTCACCATAGTTCCTCCACTCCTGGCAAACAGAAAATGTTGTAAATATCATCATAAGAGCAGAGAGACTTAACATTACAAAGAATCAAGTTGAATATTGAAACCTCAAAAATTTGAGAACCAAAGTAGCAGCATTTCCCCCAACACAATTAAAACCCAAAGCTGGTTCAGGCAAAGATCCCTAGAAAGTTCAAATTCTTATAATTAACAAGCAGATATAATTGATGAAGAAGATCTTCAAACCGACACGCATGAGGATCCAGTAACTATAAAGATTTTGATAGTGACATAAATTACCAGCAATTCCTTCACTTTTTTCACGTCTAATTGGCTTTCAGTAAATACTTCATCTGCCCCAAGCTTCTTGAGATTTTCCTTTACTTCATCTGCCCCAGCCCTGAAGCAAGTGAAAGACTCACGAAATTAAAACCAAACAGCATCATTTCAACACCGATCAATCGTTCACACTAGCACCTGTCTCTAATAATGTTGATGCTATGGACACCTTGAATTCGTGCAAGCTGAATGATGCACTGCCCGACCATGCTTGTTGCTCCGTTTTGCACAATTGCATCACCTGTTGATAATTCAGCAAGATAAATAAAGTACTACTAATTTGGAAAGTGAATAAACTGCAGGTATTAATCATCACTAATTATATCTAAGGCTGCAGAGCTGCATACATCCAAACCATCCTAGACAAGTGACAAAAATTGTATAATTACTGAGTAGTGATATTTAAAATGCAAGATAATTTTATTTTTTAAAAAAAAAGGTCAGGTTACCTGGATTCAGTTGGACGAAGTCTTTAAACATTCTAAAAGCGGTCAGAGGATTGACAGTGACTGTGGCAGCATACTCCATAGGTGTGTCTTTGTTAATTTTGTGCCATACACTTTGCTCTTGTACGATATAGGATTGCCATGTTCCTGAGTAAAGCAACCAATGCAGCATAAGCTAAATGCCCCACAATGGATTGGCATGAGAAAACTAAAGCAATTAGCCAATTACACTTTCTCCCTCAGCATTGCAAGAAAGATCAGGTCAATAATTCTAGAATCATAATGTTGTAGTAGTTTTCATCTCCTCAGGTACTTCCCAACTTTAACAAATCAATATCATATACGCCATTCTTAATAGCACACGTAAAGCACATTGGAAAAGCACCTTGATAAGGGATCATACCAAGATAAAGTATGTTGGATAATAAAGCAAAATATACTATAATCATGCTATTGAGAAACTAACAATGTCATTATTCGGATCCTCATGATGATGCTAGGTCCATTGTAAACACGAATTCCAGGATAAGATGGGCAATATACGATAAAACATTCCTATTAGAAGTTGCCTCATATCTTACATAATACGAAAGTCCTACACTCATATTAACTAACTATACTGCAATGCAAACCATGAAATGCAAATTACAACAAAAAAAAATAGATAATAAGTTTGAAAGTTGAATACCAAAGGAAGGGGGAGAAGGAATAACCCAATCACCAGGGGAAAGACCATTAACACCAGACCCGACCGCGTAAACTTCTCCAACACCTTCATAGCCTCCAACTGCCGGTGGAACAGGCCTTACTGGATAAACCCCTGTATAAAACATTCAAACAATTGCACAAAAACTCATTCAAAACCCTATAACAACCAAAACTAAACCAATCAAAATTCACAAAATTGCATCAAAATATAATGCAGCAAGAATTTATATACCTTCAATTCGATTAATATCAGAAGGATTGATGGGAGCAGCAAGCATTTTAACACAAACATCATGTGCTTTGATTTCAACCGGCGGAAATTCCACTAATCTGCAAATTTAAACCCTAGAAATGTTTATGAGATGAATTTGAGAAAGTGCAATGTAGTGAGGAGAGAGAAAGAGAGAAGGTGGGACCTGGTGAGTTGGTCAGGTGGGCCGTGCTGATCGTAAACCACCGCCATTGACGGCGGAGACATGATCGCTGCTGAGAAAGCGCGGACATAGTTTCGACGAAGAGGAAGTTGGTGTGAACCAAAGTGAAACGACGCAGTTTTGAAAGCTGATCTTAGAGCAAGTTGCTTCATTGCCGCCATTTTTCTCACCTTTTTTTTTTCTGAAGGTGGATTGCTGGAGTATAGCACTACAGCTCTAGAAGACACGAGACTTATCAGTAAGACGACACGGTGTCGTTTTTCTTACCAGGGGAAGTGAGAGTTTTTTTGTTTTTGTATTTTTTTTTTCAAAAAATAAAAGTTTATTTATGTTAACCAATTTCAAATCATTTATGGAATTTAGGTCTTGTTGTTCTTGTTTATGGTTTTCTCATTAGCTTTTCGCTTTTGATTTGTTATCTTGGTCATACAGTTTAAAAAAATTAAACAATTAAATGTTATTAAAAGCGAATCTAAGGGGACAATTAACAATGCATTATTAAAAAATTTCCCGACAAAACTACTTTCTAAATACACCAATGTCATTTTCAGATAAAACAAAAGGTGGCTAAGAGCATCTCCAATGGAAAGCTACAATGCTTTGTAGCTTGCTTTTCCATATCAATTTCTAAGATACAACACTTTTTATGCAACAAATTGTTCCAATAGTAAGCCACGACATATTGTAGTATGCAAAAAATAAAATTTTCAAAAATAATAGATAATTATACACATGTAACAATATGAGTGGAGATTATTTGTCTTATTTTTCAATCAAGCATGTAGCTTGGTTGGGCTACAGTTGATTGCATGTTGCTCAATTTTTTGTTCTCCAATGGTAAATATGTAGCTAGGAACTTTATTTAAATTGCAAGCAAGTCCTTATAATTGAACCATTGGAGATGCTCTTGCCCAACTTTGTTAATATAAATTTTTGCGAATTAATTTGATTAATGTCCTCATCTAGCAATTCACAATTTTGTCTCACCCAAACTAATTCATAATTTCTTTCTTTTTTTTTTTTTTTTTTGAAAGAACATAGTTTCAAAATTTTAAGATATTATTCGGTTTAATATTATGTAACCCCTTATCACAACAATATAAGTGGAAATAAAAAATCATTCAAGAGTGTCAAAATAAGAAAAGAGAAATACAAATTTAAAATATCCCACAAATCCACAATATAGATTTGAGAATAAAATTGGAATATATATAGAACTATTGAAGCTTGTTTTATTACAAAGAGGTCACATCATTGGTGTGACCACTATTTTATGCATTAAAATGGTCGGTGGCCGGCGGCCATCCTATACCACCGATAGCCACTATTATTTGACATCGGCAAACATTTGACTATAATTTTACACAATTAATTACTTGTATTTTCCTTAATTGGTGGTCCTCATTTCTGTTCGATTTCTTGAAAAATGCAAATTATTGGTTTGGGCCCACAAATTACAATATGAACCTAGGTTGGTGAATGTTTCCCTTGGAACTTTGACCCATACATTTTTATTAGTATGTCTATAATTCTATATGACCATAAATCTATGTCTAGGCCCATTTCTTTATACACAGATTTATGAATGTATTATTTTGGAGTAATAAAGAAAGAAATTAAGTTTTTTTTTTACAAAAATTAAGTATGAGTTCTTTCAATAGTATTTTCATTTTTTTTTATAATAAGAAAAGATAAACAAGAAGTTAGGATACTATTTAATTCTTATACTTTGATAATATTCCTAGAATCCTAAGTCCCTAAGGAGTAAGGAGTAGCCGAGTAAGGATCAATATATATTTATATTTACATTTACATTCACAACTCATAAAAAAACACTATAATGAATAATAAAAACTATTAGAGCACCAACAACAACGAGGATTTGTATCCTTTTAGCTCACTTTTTTGTTGACTAAAAGGATCCTCATTGATGTAAAAGAGGGGGAAAGGATCCTCTTAAGAAGAGGAAAAGGTGGTTTCCTCTTAATGGAAAGGATTCTTTTCCTTGGCTCTTGTGCCAAAAGCTTTATTATTTTTAGTTTTTATTTTTTATTTAAAACTATTATATTAATAAATAATTATATAAATAAGAGATAGAATATATAGTGGGGTATATGTAAATAGGAGATTGAAAATGGGAAAGCATCCTTATTGATGTTAAAAATATTAGAGAAGGAGAATGAGAAAAAGGATGGAGATAGTGGGAAGTGATGTGGAATAAAGAGAATATGATGTGTCGATTGGAGAAAAAAAGAAATAAAATGGGAAAGGATATATTTATCCTCACCATTGTTGATGCTCTTAGTAAGATTACCGTTATAAATACTTTGTATGTACTAGGTTAGGTCCCGTGCCATGCACGGTTATTTTTAATAATTGTTTCATATTAATACTACAATTAGTTATAAAATAAAAATTTGTTTAAAATATTATGCTTAATTTATGAAAGAGCCTATTAGCTAGTATATTTTCTTTAAAACTACTTTTGCCTACACATACCTCTATGTGCACCCGGGGGTATGTAAAAGGTGATAATTAGCCACTGCTCATTGGCAAGACATGATTTTAAAGCTATGCATTTGTTAATATGCATATATTTTTGTATATATTTGATTTCACTAAATGAATTTATTAAAACGCAGGACATTAAAAATTATGTTAATAATTTTTTTTTCTTTTCTTTTTTGCTTAAATTTAAAGTTGTTATTTTTTTTGGAAGGATAAATCAAATCTTTTATTTTAAGTAATTTTTTAATATTTGATATTCGAATTACTTTCTTGGAGCTTTTAATATATAATTAAATAAAAATAAAAATAAAAATAGAATCCTTCTAGTAATATTTGACACAAATTCTATAAAAAAAATCTATTTTTTTTTTATATAGTTGATAATATATTATGGAAATATACATCAAATCTTTTAATTGTGTATAAATTTGTTATCTTTTATTTATGTATTGTATAAGATTTGTTTCCAAAATATTTTTTAATAAAAAAAAAACTAAGGACACACCAGAAAATGACACGTGTCATTGCTGGTGTGTCTTTTAGTATATAGTTATTGATTGATTGATTTTATTTGCTTTCTTTTTATAAGAGTAATTTTTTTTTTAAAAGGAGCCCTTGGTTTTATTGGTAGCATAGGGCCTCCAAAATGCTTAAGTCAACCTTAATATCATTTTGACCAAGTAAAAGTAACCCTTAGTATCCTTTTACTGGTGAACAAATTACAACTCAATATTATATATTTTATAGTAAATGTTAATCGAAAGAAATAAAACACAATTCAACTTTGTTTTTCAACTCTAATAATGATGATAATTATGAAAGCCAATAAAGATATTAAATTAATGTTTTAGTTTAGACGATGAACTAATTAATGATATTCCATTTGATTTGCAACAATCAAAACCCATTAGAAAGCGTGAATTGCTTGCAGAACTTAGCTTAGCTTGTCCCTTTCACAAATACAACATTGAAACGAATATGACAAAGGTATATTCAAAAATCGATCAATGCCTTATAAAGTCATCCACTATTTATTTGATTTTAACGAATTTACACATTGACTACATATTATATATATGCTTCACCACTAATCCTGAGATAATGATACAAAGATTAATTAAATTATCATTAATTAATTTCACTTCTAGCTAACGTTACATACTATTTCTTGCTTATGTGTGTGCATCACAAAACTGAAAAAACGGCCGACCAATTTTTTTAGTGGCAAACTTTGATTAGTTATTAGCTCAACTAATCCTAAGTTTATCATGAGAAATTACATGATAGGAGTATGAGTCATTTCTAAAGCTATCGACGTTCGACACGTGTAAAGTAGAGTGAGCTAATGTTATGATCAATAAATCTAAACCGTCCATATGTTGAAACCTTGGAATATAATTTCTAGATTCCTTGTTAAACTTCATTTCACGTAAAGTAAAATTAATTAATTAAGGTACTTTATAATAGCATGAGCTCGGCAAACTGCATGGTAATATTGTAGAAAATAAATGGTGAATTGGGTTATTGACACATGGCAAAATTAGGTGGTAGAAAAATTGGGGTTTTAATTTAAAAAGCTTAAGTTTGTTTGAGTTGTTTCTTTCCAAACAAATCTAATCCGTAGCTTACAAGTTGGTGCACGATTGTTTGAGTGCTAATTAGTTAACCACGCCTATTGGATTTGATAAGGATTCTTTTAGTTTTCATTTGGTTTATGACTTTAATTTGAGGGAAAAATATTTAATGATTCATTCAAACAATAAATGGGGTATTTACTTATGTTAATTACGTGGTTGTCTAGTGTCTACTCATATGTAGGAAATATCACAATTCACAACTAGTGATGAAGTTGAAATTTTCAAAAAGTTTTCACCTATGTTGTAAAAACTAGAGGTTAGTTGTTGTTATATGGAGTACAATTTAGTCAAGTAAACATTTCTTATTTACTCCACATTTTATGTCAACCAATTCCAAAAAAAAAACAACGGATTATTACTAAATTTAATTAGTAACGTGTCTTACTATTAGTTGATATAATGGCGTGTTAAATTGGCATTATAGAAAAACAATGAAATTAGACTCAAAAGATAAAGATATTACTACAATAATGCATGTATATATATATATATTTGTACATTAATTCTCTTATCTAACGTCTTGCGAGCGCTCATTAACTTTTGCCTATATATATATAGTCTTCATAAAAAAAAAACATATATTGATATATGTTAACTAATTTATAACAATGAGGTTACTTCTAATGAATTGATAGTTTTGAGTTAGTAATTATTCTATAAGTTAAAAACTTATAATGTTATCAATATATATATATACATTTTGATAGAAGAAGATTGATGATATTGAAATTTGAATATGTCAGTTGCACTGACAATTGAATATGTGTAGCAAGTCGATCAGACAAAAGACTAGCTGAACAATCATCATGTACACCAAGGATTTTTGTTTCTTAATCCACGCTATTTTCTTACAAACATAACGGTATCCAAGTAAGGATAATTTATCTTTGAGGATTGACAACTATTTTAAGAATAATTACGATGTCTATGCATGTGAAAGTAGTCATCCACTATATCACAAAGATCAAATCGACTTTGTGTAATCCACATCAACATGCCTTCAAAACCAATCTAATTACACAATTTAAATTAACTATTCTATACAATATTAATTATGTTTATCAATTAATAAATTTTAATAAACTGACCTTCAATATTTTTAAAAATCAATATTTTTATATAAAAAAAAATCTTATCCAAACCATCTCAGATTTCAAATATTCAAAATTAACAAAATGGAAAATCCAAAATAATAAATGGATTGCATTTTACTCATTATCTTACTCAGCACCACATCATACTATTTGATTTATAGGTAGACAAATAGTCATGTCATAATTAAATTATATAGATGCAAAAAAATTACAGCTGTTAAAAGTGGAAAACAGCTTGAAGGCAAAGAACATGAATATAAATTTACCGATCCAAAATTAAAAGCAATGAAAATGTGGATAACAGCTTCTTTATACGAGTAGTTATGTAAATGTTGGTCCAATTCCAACAACCCATAAGCTACAACCCTCACCGCGTTATTCAGAAATTAAGAGCTGGAGTAGTGGAGCTCACTACCCCAAACAGGGTTTTATTTTTGTAATTACGGAGAAACCTCTTCTTAATTGAATTTACTATTTTATCCTTCCCTATTTCTAGTACGAAACGTGGTACGCAACCAGCGGGGCTACCAAACTCAACCGTGTGGCTTCTGTAGGAGAACTCAGTCAATGTGTCCAAATTTTAGATTTCTTTTTCTCAGGAAAATGCTATTTTTAATTATTATTGTAATTTATACAAAAATGGTTCCACCCTCATTAAATGACAAAAGTGACTTTTTTTTTAAAAAAGCATGATGAATATTAACCACTTAATATTAATATATGAAGTACGGAGTTTTTCATAAAAATACTTTTCTAATATGTTTTTGAAATGCATAAATATTTACAGAGTATGTTAGAAATATATTACGTATTATACTTCACTCGAGCGATTTTCATAAATAATGCTAAAATAAAAAATATTTCCGTGTGTACGTTGCTTTAAAAAATATTTCCCACCATACCATCCACGTAGGCTTGGATTTTTGGTTTGTTTTTTGGCTATTAATAAACCGCTAATAAAGATTGCGGTGCTACACAAATTAGAGCCGCTAATGGTATTAGAGGTTCTTCAAATAGAACCTCTAAAGGCTCTAATACCATTAGCGGTTCTATTTGAAAAACCGGTAATGGTTAGAGGTTCTTTAAATAGAACCTCTAATGGTATTAGCGATTCTATTTGAAGAACCTTTAATGGTTAGAGGATCTTTAAATAGAACCTCTAATGGTATTAGCGGTTCTAGTTGAAGAACCTCTAATACCATTAGCTGGTCTATTTGAAGAACTTAAACATAAAGCGTTATAAGTTACTGAGTATTTTAAGTATAAACCGCTAATGACATTAGCGGTTTTAATAAATAAATCGCTAATGACATTAGCGGTTTTAATAAATAAATCGCTAATGACATTAGCGGTTTTTTTTATAAACAATCCGCTATTGTTATTAGCGGTTTATAGCCTCGGATTTTACAACCCTACACTAATTCTACGTGTACGGTATCACGGGAAATAATTTTAAAACTGACATATATACGGAATTATTTTTTATTTTAGCTTTATTTATGAAAATCGCTCTACTTCACTCTGTTCATAAAATAATTTTTTTTATAGGATAAATAAGACAATAACGTATGGAAGAAGAAAATACATAGTAAATTATTTTTTAAAAAATATAGACGTTAATTATTTACACAAAATGCAATTACTTTTAATTATAATGTAACATTTTTATTTTGTGTGGAGAATAGTCTTTTACAACACATAATGATAGATGATTTTTCATACTTGTTTTATTCAAGTACGTTTCGTTTTGTTTTTTTAGTTGAATCTATCAAAATTTGTCGTCCTTTTTTTTTTAAGTAATTTTGCGGTAAATTGTATTAATATAATTCTATTTTTTTTTTCTTTTCAATACTTATTTTTGGTAAAACAATAAAGGGAACATAATACACACTTTATAAAATATTGCACTATAATTTTTATACTGTTAATTAATTACGAAATATTACGTGAATATTAAGTGGAAAAAAACCAATAGGAGTTTTAAAAATGATAACCATTTCAAAATTTGAAAATATGTTTACATTATTACACCCTAAATATAAATATTTTTATGTGTCAAAAATGAAATATTTGTCTACTGTACATTACCAAACCCCAACACTCTCTGCCTTGTCTCACACCCAAAAAATTAAAAGCAAAAACAAAAATAAAAAAAGGAAAGCAAAACACAGATAAAAAGAAAAGGAGAGAGAAAAAGAAAGAGAAAAATTGTCAATTTATTTTTTTCATTTTTGAACAACTGAAGAGGGGCGGGTGCTTTGCTTGTTGTTAGTCACCCTCCTCTAAATTTTTTCCCCAAATTTTCTCAGATTTTTTTGATTGGGTTGTTTGTTTCTTGTAAATTTTACAAAAGAACAGAGAAACAAAGAACAAAGGAAGAAGAAGATGGGTTGTTTTTTTGGGTGTTCTGGAAATTCTAACAAGAAAAAGCGATCAGAAAACCCTAATCATAATCCTAAAGATTTTGTCAATTCTAATTTTAAGAATAAAGCCCAGGATCGTACATCTTCTACTGCAGGTAATCTAACTTTCCCAAATAAATAATTTAAAAAGTTTCTGGGGTTTTGAGTTTTTGTTTAATTTTCTGGGACACATTGATTAATTTCGTTGAATTTTGATCATTTAATGTGAACCCATCTTTTGTTTTCATCAGAATACACATCAATTCTACTTCAATCAACTGAAATGGGTTTGAATTTTGGGTGAATTTCATCCTTATTTACAGGGGAATTTGATGTTGTATTCTTTTATCAATATGTTGATTCATGTTGATTTTCTGCAAAATGTAACAACACAAATTCACTTTTAGTTTTTCGAAATTTCAAGTTTTCAAAATTTATTTCTTTCTTTTATAGTGAATAGTTTGGTGGTTGAATTCAATTAATTTTCCGAGTTTGTATTATTTATTTCTGGGTATGTTCATGTTTATAATAATCTGATGTTGATTTTTTGTACTTGATCATGCATGCTTAATTCTTTCATGATGTTGTCATGTCAATACGTAGTCTTTCATGCCCATGTTCTTACAGTCTAATACGTCTCTTATTGCTCATTTCTTTGACTTTTACCCCTCAATTTATCATTAATCTTTTTACTAAATTATTAGGCTATAATAATTACCTTAAAGAATTTTCACTTTTCATTTTGTTTTTTAATGCATGTTAAACTTCACACTATTTGGTATTATTGTCTAGTAGTACTTATTTTTGATGTGGTTTTATAGACGAATCAGCTGCTAAGCAACAATTGGACTCCAGAAGGGATGTTAATGCAAGGAGGGAGGAGGCTAGGGAAGTGACTGTTCCGTCTTCGGATGCTAGACCGACGGATGGTAGGGTGTCGGGTGTGACTGATGTTACAGTCCAAGGTGACCCTAGTAGGTCCAAGGCGCGGACATTTACGTACCAAGAGCTTGTGGATGCAACCAATAATTTTCGATCAGGCTTCCTAGGCGAGGGTGGCTTTGGCAAAGTGTATAAAGGGAAATTATTGGATACTAGTGAGGTCGCTTTGTTAATCTTGTTCTTTGGATATGTTAGATGCTAATTTTTGTATTTTTTTGTAAGCTCTGATTCATTTTAAACTGCTGTTTATATGCCTGAAATGGTGGATGATGGTAGTTTCTTGGAGTAACATATATGCCTTTTCTGATACAGGTGGTTGCAATCAAGCAACTTGATCGTAATGGAGTACAGGGCATCAGGGAATTTGTTGTTGAAGTGGTGACACTTAGTCTAGCTGATCACCCTAATCTTGTGAAATTAATTGGGTACTGTGCTGAGGGTAATCAGAGGCTATTGGTGTATGAGTACATGCCACTAGGATCCTTGGAAAGCCATCTACACGGTACATAGGCGCCTTTGTGTGTTTTTTTTGCTACAAGTAGACCTTCTCTAGCAATTTTTTTTCATATCCTAATGCATTTTTTGTATTGCCTTGATAATGAATGCTGCAGACCTCCGAAATAAGCAGAAGGCTCTTGATTGGAACACAAGGATGAAAATAGCTGCTGGGGCGGCTAGGGGCTTAGAATATTTGCATGACAAGATGCAGCCACCTGTAATATACCGTGATTTGAAATGCTCAAATATCTTGCTTGGCGAGGGCTATCATGCTAAATTGTCGGATTTTGGGCTGGCCAAAGTAGGTCCAGTTGGAGACAATACTCATGTATCGACTCGGGTGATGGGTACATATGGTTATTGTGCACCAGATTATGCAATGACGGGTCAGCTGACTTTTAAATCAGATATATACAGTTTTGGTGTTGTTTTATTGGAGCTTATCACAGGAAGAAAAGCAATTGATAGCACAAAAGACGGGCGCGAACAGAATCTTGTTGCTTGGGTAAGATTGCTGTTTCATATGTTAGATTGGTCTATTGTTACTTGAGCCTTTTGTTGCTTTCATGTGATTTTGTTTTTGTTAGAGATGTTGCTTGGCTGTGAAGTATTACCTTCTTGCTAACTTTAGTTGCATCTGATTTGGGCTGACCTTAGTCTAAATTGGCTGATTATATTGATTATGTTTACATCAGCTTACTACTTGCCCTGAGGTTCGATATCTTAGAGTTTGAGAGCAAAGTTAGTGATTATAATTAAAATCTTAGTCCAGATTCGCTTACTAAATATGGAGTGTTATAATTAGAAGTTTCATGTCTTTTAGAGGTTAATACTTTCCTTTAAATCCATTAATTATTGTCCATGATTCTATTCTATGTCAGGGTCCTGCTTTTACTGTCAAATCATGTGTTGTTTGAATCAGGGCTTATCTCAAACTATGGGCTGCTAGTGTCTGGCTTATTGAATATGGAAATAACAATTAAGCTTTGATAAATTTCCTTGAATTTTTGTGCATCTCTAGTAATTAGGTTGTATATTTACAATTATAGGTCACATGGCTACTGTTCTGAAGCTCTTTTGGTAATTTACTAAGGTGCCCAAAGGGCTTACCCAACCCGCTTCCCTACTATGTTTGGTTCTAGGAAATTTTGGAAATTCTTCTCTGTTGCTTAGTCAACACTCAATACTTATCTCTTTTATCAGCACAATTGGAATTGTTGTTTATTTGTTCGAAATACTGGATGTGCTAGGATAATGCCTGGTTGCAGATTTTTTAAAGACTAAGCTTTCACCATACAAGGAGTGAGATAACTGTTCTTAGTTAATTTGTTGACACTGCTTTATATCTATCTGGCCTGGACTTTGGCGCTTCTAGTTGGCTAACATATTCTGTATTGCTTGCAGGCAAGACCATTGTTCAAAGACAGAAAGAAATTTCCTCAAATGGCAGACCCAGCCCTTCTAGGCCAATTTCCCTCGAGAGGATTGTATCAAGCTCTTGCAATCGCTGCAATGTGTGTTCAAGAGGAACCTTCTAAAAGGCCTTCTGTATATGATGTGGTCACTGCTTTAAATTACATTGCTTCTCAGAAGTATGATCTTGAGGTACATACTCCCCACCATCGAAGAACCCCGTCTTCCTCCAACAATAAAAAAGATTACAGTGATAGTAAGATGCCTGAAGCTGAAGACAGCCGAAATGAGAATGATTCAGAAGACTAGAAGATGGAATAATCAAATGACGTATATCCAGTAATCCAGTATAGTTCTTGCATATTGAAAGATTTTTTGTTTTTTGATATTGATCATACAAGTGGGTGCTCTGTTATCGAATTTTGTAACGCTCAGATAACAGGTGTGACTTCAACCATATTGACAGGACCGGAGTTTCTCCACCTCATCCGCTCTGCTGTGTACATGTGAGATGTGGATCGTTCTTTTTCTCTTCAGTTTTTTGTACGTAAGAATTAAGATACCTATACCGTAGGTAGTTGTCTTAGAGAAAAAATAATCATCATCAATAATAATGATTGTACTTCTTACATCATGTTACTCCTTTGTTTTGTCATCTGAAGTCCAGTACTGGATTAAATGTCCCATCTAGTAACTAGTCCTTCCTGATATTGGCATCTTCATATGTAAGTAAATGGTGATTTGGATAATAGGTGATGGAGTATAAGACGGGATCCATAATACTGTAATATGGAGAAGTACATAAGTTGGAGCAGTAATGCAGTTTGAAGGGTCGCGACCCTTAACATGTTCAGATTCATGAGAAGGATGGTAATAGCGGAAGTTTTTGTACTGTTATAGCGGAAGTTTTTTTGCATTGTAAATTTGTAAGTGAAAGTTATGGATGGTAATTGCACTGTAATTGTGGAAGTTTTTTGCATCGTCATTGAAAGTTCTTAGGAGTGATGTTTGTTGCATACTTGCCGCGTACCAGGTTCTGATTAGACGTCAGTTTTTTCTGCTTGGATGCATCGCTTAAAATATCTAAGGACAGAGGTCTGAAGGTCTGCAGGCTTATTATCTTTCATACTACTAGCCTACTACGTACCTTAATTGTCTTTATGATCATGATTATGTGTATTGTGTTTAACATTGCAAGGCTTAGCCCAATAACAATGATAAGCACTTACAAAAGTTTTTACTACTTTTTTTTTTAAAGACTTGCAACCTTTGTTACTTGTATTAGTTGGTACGCCTTCCATTTCGTCTCCAAATACTTGTCTAATATTACTACTTTGTTAAAAAACTTTTGGTTTAGTGAAATTGATAAGAGACATAAGTAATGAGTAAAGATGTGACTCTCATGGAAAAAAAAAAAATAGCAATGAGATACGAGTAATCTTTTAAGGATAAATTTTAATAGAATTCGGACAAATAATAAGATACAAAAGGACTACAGACTATGGAGTAAATAGTAGTACCAAATAAATGATAATTAATTATTTTTTATTTTCTTTTACCGTACTTTTCTTTTGTTTGTTGTAAACTCAGTCTAATTTCATCCGTTTTCAAAATTTAAAAAAAAATCCAAAAAAACTTACAAACAAATTATACAAGCTTTGGTCCCCGCTCTTGTGGCTCCCTAAACACCCAAAAAAAAAAAAAAAAAAAAAAAAAAGGTTTAATCTAAACGCTTAAAGTCTGTCCTGTCCCATAAATCCATAATTGGACGATACGAGTAGTATAAACACTCAACCCATTTCTTTATAAGACGGATCCAACCCATTAATAACTGTGGCGGGTCATAGGGATCCAAGGCGTCCAACCCATTGAATTGCTCTATTGAAGCGCACTCAACGTTCTCCATTGAAGCGCAGTTGCCGTTCTCCGTTGAATCTAGTTTTTGTATCCCCGATTGAAGCAGCTTCTGAGGTAAGTTGTTTGTATTTGTTATCATCATATCAATTTCATAATCTAGGGTTTATATTTGATTTAATCTAATTTAATTATCAGTGCTTTAAGTTTAGGGTTCGTAAATATATTGGTTCTAAATTCTTAGATTACGAAACATCATAACCAAAAGATAATTGAATATCCCTAAAATTTGTGAGAGAAATCGTATATCCCTAAAATTATGAGATAATTGAATCAAATTTGGTTGCTAATGTATTGCACAACACTTATATGTTAGGGTTCAACTATGAAATCAGAGCTGTTTTCCGCTCATGTTAGGCATGTCAGTGAGAATGATGGGGGAGATAAGTATAGGGAGAGGAGGAGAGGAAGTGAGAGGCGAGAGCGGGGGCAGGAGCAACCGCGGAGATGGATGGAGGAGGAAGGAGATGGGAACAGGAAGAGACGGGATGAAAGAGAAAGTAATGAATTTGGAGGGAGTGATTCAGAGAATTCTGATAAAGAGCGGGATAGGAAGAGAAGTGAGAGGCGAGAGGAACCGAAGAGAAGGGTGGAGGAGGATGGAGATGGAAATAGGAAGAGAAGAGATGAAAGAAATAGGAATGGACGTGGAGGGAGTGATTTAGAGAGCTTTGATGAAGATAGGGATAGGAAGAGAAGTGAGAGGCGAGAGGAACCGAAGAGGAGGGTGGAGGAGGATGGAGATGGAGTCAGAAAGAGAAGAGATGAAAGAAATAGGAATGGACGTGGAGGGAGTGATTTAGAGAGCTTTGATGAAGATAGGGATAGGAAGAGAAGTGAGAGGCAAGAGCAGGAGCAGGATCGACCCAGCAGAAGGGTGGAGGAGGATGGAGATGGAGATAGGAAGAGAAGGGATGGAAGAGAAAGGAGTGGGCATGGAGGGAGTGATTCAGAGGGTTCTGATAAAGAGCAAGATAGGAAGAGAAGTGAGAGGCGAGAGAGGGAGCAACCTAGGAAGAGATCCGATGTGGAAGAAGATGGTGACGAGGAGATTATAAAGGAAAGAGATAGCAGGGAGAAGAATAGGAGCCTAGAGAATGATTCAGAAAGTTCTGGTGACGAGAGGAATTGGAAGAGAAGTGTGAAACGAGAGCAAGAGAAGCCTAGGAAAAGGTTGGATAATGATGAAGCTGGTGATGGGAAGAGAAGTGATGATAATGGACGTCAAGAGAATGATTCAGGGAATTCTGACGAAGAGAGGGATAGGAAGAAAAGTGAGAAACGAGAAAAGGAGCAACATAGGAAGAGGTTGGATGACAAAGAAAAAGATGACAAGGAAATAGTCATTCAAGGCAGGCATGGTAGAAGAAAGAATGAAAGAAGCAGCAGGATTGGGCGTCAAGGGAGTGACTCAGAAAGCTCTGGTGGGGATAGACGACGGGATGGGGAGAGACGCAGACGTGAAAGAGAGAGGAGAAGGCACCGATATGACTCGGATGATTCTTCGGATTCTGATGGGCGTAGAAAGAGGCATAGCATGCGGAGGAGTGATCGAAGAGAGGATAGGACTAGCAAACAAACCCATGATTTTGAGGAAGGGGAAATAAGATCTAGGAAGGAAAGGAATGAGAAAGTGTTTGAGTCAAAGCAAGACGGCAGGAATGTGATTGGAGAAGAGCCTGCAAAACCACAAACACAGTCTACTGCAGCAAATATGAATCCAGGTGGTGATCTTAGTACCCTTGGCAGGACTGGAGGAGTTTACATCCCACCATTTAAGTTGGCTCGAATGATGAAGGAAATTGAGGACAAAAGCAGTGTGGAATATCAGCGTTTGACATGGGATGCCCTTAGGAAGAGTATCAATGGTTTGGTAAACAAAGTGAATGCCATTAATATCAAGAACATTATTCCAGAATTGCTTGGTGAGAATCTGATCAGGGGAAGGGGACTGTTTTGTCGATCATGCATGAAGTCCCAAATGGCATCACCTGGTTTTACTGATGTATTTGCTGCTCTGGTTGCTGTGGTCAATACCAAGTTCCCTGAAATCGGGGATCTTCTTTTAAGGAGGATTATTCTACAGCTAAAGAGAGCTTACAAGCGTAATGATAAGGTTTGTATGATTATTACCTCTTTCCAATGCCATATTTAATTAATTGTTTTCACTGCTCATTTATAGAGTTCTAATCTGCTGAAAATCCATTTACAGCCTCAACTGATGGCTGCTGTTAAATTCATAGCTCATCTTGTGAACCAGCAAGTTGCTCATGAGCTTGTTGCTTTGGAATTGCTCACCATTCTGTTGGAGCAGCCTACTGATGATAGTGTTGAGGTTGCAGTTGATTTTGTCAAAGAATGTGGCTCCATTCTTCAAGACCTTTGTCCCAAGGGTCTTCATGGTTAGTTTACTTGTGCCTTGTTTTTTGAAATTTTCGTTGTTTTCATCATGATTTATTTTTCTGTATCCTTCCATATTGCTTCTTTTTTTTTTTTTTTTTTTAAAGCTTAGAATCTCATAGCTGCCAATGCCATATAGTTAAATTAGTACCTAAAAGAGTATATGAGTGGGAGTTGAGTACCTGAGTACCCATTTTTGATACTCAAGACCTTTTTCCCAAGGGTCTTCATGGTTAGTTTACTTGTGAGTATGTGACACTACCTCTGTTTTTTGAAATGTTCGTTGTTTTCAACATGCTTCATTCTTCTGTATCCTTCCATTTTGCTTCTTTTGTTTGTTGCACTTAGAATCTCATAGCTTCCATATAGTTAAATTAGTACCTAAAAGAGTATTTGAGTGGGAGTTGAGTACCTGAGTACCCATTTTTCATACTTAAGACAGTAAAGCATTTCTCATGATGTTAATTCCTATTCATCTGTATATTTTGCTATGTTCAAGTCAGATGAACATTGTATGGTTTGTCCAAAGTGGAAAAATGCACAAAATCATTTTATAAGCAAATTTTGTTATTGACTAATTGTGCATCTTCTTTGGGTCTGACTTTTCAATTACTCTGCTTTGCCAATTTTTCTTCGGTCTTCACACTGTCCCATCTCATTTATTTGTTTGAATTCTCAGGTATTTTTGAACGTTTTCGAGGAATTCTTCATGAAGGAGAGATTGACAAAAGGGTTCAGTTTCTGATTGAAGGCCTATTTGCCATTAGAAAGGCTAAATTCCAGGTCTGGTATTGTATAACTTATGATGGCATGTTTACTTGTTTGAATTATCAATAATGCTGGAGTAGTGAAGCTTTTGGGGTTTTTTGGATCTGCAGGGGCATCCAGCTGTGCGGCCGGAACTGGATCTTGTGGACCCAGAAGATCAGCTTACTCATGAGATGTCACTGGAAGACGAAATAGATCCTGAGACTGGTCTTGGTATTTGAACTATTCTCGCTATAATTATTCATGATTTCTGCATGTATTAATGTAAACTAAATTGATTAGCAATGTATCATTCTTGTTAGCGATTCTTAGTACTGTTATCTGCTTATATGCAATTTCAGACATTTTCAAACAAGACCCTAATTTCGTGGAAAATGAGAAAAAGTACGAAGAGTTGAAGAAATCCATACTAGGAGATGAGTCAGAGGACGATGATGGATCTGATGCTGGGTCTGATGATGACGAGGACGATGAAGAAGAGGATGAAGACGAAGAAGAGCAGCAGATGCAGATAAAAGATGAAACCGAAACCAACCTTATAAATCTTCGAAGAACTATATATTTAACAATAATGTCCAGTGTAGATTTTGAAGAAGCTGGCCACAAGCTGTTAAAAATCAAACTTGAGCCTGGGCAAGAGGTATGCAATTCTTCTCTTTAAATTCCTCTACCAGATTTTCGTACTGCGTTGAATTTTGCTCCATTGTGACACAGACTCTGCTTTTGGAACTTGATCTAAAATTTTGTCTCTCTGATAGTTTTGGAAGATCTTTTTCTTTGTACCCTTTTAACATTTCACATATTTTGTGTTGAAACATTATTTGCACACCCTATCAGAGATATTCTCGAGACCCTCTACTTGTTATTTTACTCAGGCTCTAATTTATTCTTTGTGCTGCTCCAAATGCCAATGATGCATGTTATTTTGTTACGCAGTCAGTATTATATCTGATTTTTCCTTTGTTTGCCGTTCTGAATCTGTCAATGAAGTTTAATTTCCTGCTGCTCTTGCCTTTATGCTGTGGGCTTTTGGCTACCATTTTAAAAAAGGTTTTTGGGTTGCATGTAGCACTTCCTTTTTCTTTATGCTGGTTTTATTTGCCTGTGGCATCTGTCTTTGGGACTTCTGCTTCTGTGTGCTCTTAGCTGTTTGTTGTAAGCTGTTACTATGTGAAACTTATCTCAAATTGTTGCTGCAGATGGAGTTGAATATAATGTTACTGGAGTGCTGCAGCCAAGAGAGGACATATCTCAGATATTATGGTCTTTTGGGCCAACGGTTTTGTATGCTTAACAAAGTGTATCAGGAAAATTTTGACAGATGCTTTGTTCAGCAATACTCCATGATACATCGACTTGAGACAAACAAATTACGTAATGTGGCCAAATTCTTTGCTCATTTGCTGGGCACTGATGCTCTTCCTTGGCATGTTTTAGCTTACATTCGTCTGACTGAAGAGGACACAACTTCTTCATCTCGTATCTTCATCAAAATCCTTTTCCAGGTATCGTAATATATGACTGTTGTTTCTTACAAAAGAGTTATAGTATTGTGTTCTCTATGGATGTACTTCTGCTTGATTGTTCAAGTAATAAAAAAATCATTTAATGCAGGAATTGTCTGAGCACCTTGGTATCCGGTTACTCAATGAACGGCTAAATGACCCAGCAATGCAGGACTCCTTTGATTCAATTTTCCCTAAAGATAATCCCAGAAACACACGTTTTGCAATCAACTTCTTCACATCCATTGGGCTTGGAGGAATAACAGAGAACTTGAGAGAGTACCTGAAGAACATGCCACGATTGATAATGCAACAACAGAATCCAGAGCCGGAAGTGCCAGAAGATGAATCTGATTCTGGTTCTGGTTCCGATTCCGGTTCTGGTTCAGGTTCAAGTTCAAGTTCATCAGGCTCGGAGTCGTCCTCTGCTGAATCTGATTCTAGCTCCGACGCAAGTTCATCAAGCTCAGACGATGATAGGCGTAATAAAAGGAAGAAGAATGACAGTGGTGGTGGTAGATATAGGAAACGGAGGAAGGGAGACTAGGAAACACAGTGAAACCTTCTCTTCCCTCTCAGGTCTTCTTGCATCGGAGAAACAAGTTTTATGTCTTTTCCTTAGTCTCCGTCAAATGTAGGTGATACTATGTAAAAATGGAAACATAATTTCTACTTGCATAGCTGATAAATTTTATTGAAGGTTTTGTAATTGCTTGGTCCAATTTGTCTCAATTTTTTGTTGTTGAAATTTCATGTTATTTATTTATTTATTTTTGACACTATATTTTGGGTTTCTTTCTTTCTTTTTAATTCCTAACCTGAAGGAATTTATTTATTTATTTATTTTTTTATTTTTTTTTGTGTGCGTGTGTGTGGGTGGGCGCAAAAGTTAAAAGGATAAGAGATCAATAAAATTAGTTAACAAAATTATTTGAAATAATTAAATATTCTACAACTTAACATTAGTTAATAAGTTTCCAAGAAAAAAAAAAATATATTAGTTAATAGTAATACTGTATGTCGTCTCTCTACTAATTTTCTGTAAATTTTTCACTCTTGTCTTCTCTTAATTTTTTATTTTTTATTATTTTTTTTAAGCTCTTAACTAATACAACTATTTTAGATGCAGATAAAGCTTGGAGTGGGCAGATGCAGTAAATTCCGAGTGAAAACAAAGGTAAACTTTTCCCGCCAAAAATCTGTTATGAAATGTAACCAACTAAAACCCACTCCAACCAACTAACTCACTTGAGCTCCTCCACCTTTTTTCTCTCTCTCCTCCATTTCTGAGTTCACAGCAAAAACCCATTTTCTCTCTCTAAAATCAACCTATTTTCTCTCTCTAAATCGGAAGCCATGGAAAGGAAAGCTTTGAGAGGAGGGAATTCATCACCAAATTCAGAGGAGCACATCATCCAAATCCCAAATCTTGATGCTGAACAAACAGAGGAACAACATTCGCCATTGTTGTCTCAGTCTCAGATTCTGCAGCTGCCTCATACTCCTCCGAGACGAAGGGTTCTTCCTAATTCCAATTTCGATACTAACCCCACCATTCTTCCTCCTGCCTTCATCAACAACCACAATCACCGCAACAACTACCGCCGTCTCTGGGCTTTTCGTCTTCGTCATTTCTTCGGCTCTTCCTGGGTTCTCCATTCTATTCCTGTCATCATCATCCTCTGTTTTTTCCTTCTCTGGTGGTTCTCCAACCCAGGTATGTTTAACTTTTGGTTTCTATTTTTGCAGAAATTCAATTGCTCTGTTTTTCTGGGTTTTCTTGATGAATTCTGGGTTTGTTATTTCTGGTCTTTGTTGTTTGTTGATTGTTAGTTCTTTAAATTGCTCTATTATCCGATTCTTGTTTCATTTTTGATCAATTATCTTTTTATGTTTTCTTGATTATTATGGCATCTTTTCTGTAAATTTCTGGGTATAAATGGGAGTGATTATATGAATTTTGATTCCGATTTTCAGTAATGCCAATTAGGTAGACAACCAAAAGTGAAAAGAAATCAATTAATGGGTGATTTTTTCACTTTAAATTCTACTTTTCCATGTTCATATATTAATTCATGGATATAAATTATTTTTCCATTGTTTGAAATTATTAAAATACCACATTTCCAGTCTCATGTTTAGCTAATTGGTTTGGTAAAGCAGTCGAAATTCTAGTGATATTTCATCTTGTTTGGATTTAGAAAAATCTGACAAGTATGTGATATTGTTTGGATCAATGTAGTGAATTTGGCAATCAGGGATGGCAGATTCATGCAAGAACATTCCTCTACTGTAAGGCCTTTTTCTCTGAATGACACTGACCTTAATCTGAGCCGGATGACTATGTTGGCAGTAGCTACTTTGCCAGATCCCAACATAGAGCTCATGCTGTCGGTGGTCGATAAGGCAGGTGATGGTGCATCTCCATTGAGCAGCAGTAACTGAAGCGTGCCCTCTTCTGATATCTGTAAAGTGCACTTATCTTCGAAGATTTATCATTGCTTAAGACTATCCTGGCTTCATAGCAGTTCATTTTAGTTTTAATGTTCTAGTTTCAATAATAAAAGAACTCTATTATGGAGTACTAAGTAGGTCGATAAGGTGGATGATGGTGCAATCTTCCATTGAGCAATAGCAGTTGAAGTGCACACTCTTCTGATCTGTGTCATGTGTTCTTCATTGCTCTGCACTATCCTAGCTACATAGCAGTTTATTTTAGTTAGTGTTTTAGTTCCAATAATACAAAACTCTATGGTGTAGTACTAAGTAGGCTGATAAGGCAGATGATGGTGTAATGTACACTTATCTTTGAAGATTTTCAATGCAAGACAGTAGACACTATCCTAGATCCGCAGCAGTTCGATTATTTGCTGTTTTGTTTCAATAATATGAGATTGCATGATGTATTAATGAGTAGGCTGCTCTGTGTTATGAAGTTTATGCTGTACTGGAAGTATTGTCTCCAACTTTTTGGAGTAAGATACAATAGCTATGATGGTACTGCTCGTATGTAAAACTTACATTTCAATGAATTCTGCTTGAGACATCAAACCCTTACATACTTCAGAGTAGCCAATGAATGTAAATGTTACAATATTCAAAATGTTACATAATTTGCCTTGAATTTCTGAAATGCAAATTTACTTCTTACAGTTGTGTCCTATGATGTTTGTGGGTTCTTCTTGGTACGAGTCCCCTTCTAATTTTCTTTTCTTTTCTCTTCTGTGCCTCCAATAGATCCCTTTAGTGTGGTTGATCCACCTTTTAGCATCGCCTTTTGTATGTTTGGAACTCGATTAGCTATTTCAGTTCACTGACCTCACCAAGTCGACAATTGCCCACCCATACGTATAATACTGAGCGTTTCTTCGAATTTACCACCCTACAACAATCCCTCCTGGGTGACTGTTACAAAAAAGAAATAAGTATTACCTTTGTTCTGTAGCTGAGATGATTTAGAGATTGGGAAATGAAGAGATGGATATTTCCAAATAAATAGTCGATGAATTGCATATTTTAGAAGTAGATAGAAGGAACTGAAGCTGCATACCTTTTGCCAACGGAGGTTATCTGGCCTCTTAAGCACCACAACAGAGTCAATTTTTTCAGGATTTTCCATCTTCCACCGGCAGAAAGGGTGCTTATACCTATCATGAGCCCGATAAATTCCAATTGTTTGCTTGCTGCCGCGATCATACCTTGTTCTGCTCATATAGAAAATGAAGGGAGACTGACAAGGGTGTCTGGTGACTGGTCTGGTATTGAAGGAATATCCTGTGTAATCAGCTCTCTTGTACCAATTTAGGAAGGTTCGGGTGGGCATTTCAAGCTCTCTTGGAGAGACTACTCCCCTAATAATCTGAACCACATAGCCCCAGGAGACACTGATGGACCAGAATCTTTTCTTGTCATAGCATATGGATTGCTGCATTATACTGGCTGAATCCTGGCTGACCGACTCAAACAGGTGACGAATTGCTTGGGGCCGTGTCATGCCTGGAAATATGGGCTCTACCACATCAAGGTGGTGGATTGAGACTAGTGGTGTAACTGGATGCGCTGCTAGTAGCCCCAATAAGTCTCCATACACATCATACTGCATTTAGCAATTTGCATCAGAGATTGAACTTTAGTTGGCATAATGTGTCATATACCAAGTATACTTAGTTGCCTCATTGCAATGTTACCATTTTATTGCCAACAATAAAAAGTTTTCATGTTACATTATAATTTTAGATTCAATCAGATCAATGGTGATAAAACTCGTCTTTTGTTTGTCTTTTTAGGCTATATAAAAACGGAGTGCCAACATGACTATATGAGAAAGAATTGTATTAAACCTTAATGAAATCCACTGGATTCCAGAAACATCCCCTGTGATAAGCATGTTAAGCTTATTACAGCAAAAGTCTTGGCAAAACATATTCTACAAGTAGTACTTAATAAGAAGAATGATTAAAATTACCTGATGAAATCCAAGTTCTTTAGTAAGGGGAACTCCTAACTCGGCCATACAAGCTTGTATCCTGTCATCACTACCATACAAAGCAGGATAACGCTGGATGCAGCGATCCTGCATTTTCGCTAACTCCTTAGCAAGAGGATAGCTGATGGCAAAACCACCACCTCCATAAGCCATAGCATAAGAGAAGATAATATTTTGGACATGACTTTCTGAGTTACTCCCAATGTAATAGTATTGGTTATGATCATACTTTTCTAAGATCCTAACAACATTATCAACCACGAAAACGGTGTCATCATCTCCCATGACAAACCACCTGACATCCTTCAACCCAAGATTAAGGGTCTCAGACACCACCCTGGAAATCCTCAATGCAGATCTGCTTCCAAGTCTGTTGGTATACCTTAACTTACTGGTGTCTTCAGAGATGCGTATTTCAGGCAGATTCTCATTCTTGTATGTTTTAACATTTCCGTCGAGCCAAACAACTCCTCGGGTTTGATTAGGCCTCCACCAATGCTTGATATACTCCTTCCTTTTGTCCCACAAAAAGGAAGAAGCCGCGATCCCAAACACAATGTGTTTCAGCTGCGTAGGCTCTTCCTTTTCCTCTTCATCTTGTGATCCACTTGTTTCGGGTTTTGTCAATGCTAGGTGACCGCCACTAGTTGAAGCAGATCGTTGATCATATTCCTCCTTGTCATCAGGAGAGCTGATGATTTTATGTTGTGGGGTGGAATGATTAGAGAAAGAGAGGGAAGTCTCTAAGTTTCCAAGCTCAGAGATGTTAGAAATCGCGGTTGTTGTAGGACATTCAGGGTGGTGATATACAATTTGGTTGAATGTATACAAGAAACAAATGGCTGATGTTATGATGATGATCCAAGATATGAGCTTAATCATTGGTGCTAGCTAAATACTAAATGACTAATGATATGATTAATGTCTAATAATTTTCGTCGAATTTTGTCTAGGTAAAGATTATTGCCATGGATTGATGATTAGTTCGAGTTGCAAATGAGAGAGAGATACAGAGGAAACAGAGGAGATTGAAATTAGTTGTGGATTAACGAAGGTGAAGCCTATTCTTTCTCCTTTTGCCATCTCAAGTGTGGGGTGCTCAATTCTACCGCCCTTATAGTTGTTGCCTCTTTTGTAAGCTCTTTTCCCTTCTATTACTATATTTATTTATTGTTAATTTTTTTCAACAACAAAAGAGCTGATTTTTAGGCTTTTAGCTCATTCATTTTTTTCTTTTCTTGAATGCTTCTCATAAAAACAATCATTAATTATGAGAATCTATGATCTACGGAATGTTTGTTATGTCTGTTGTTCGCTTAACAAGAATGGTTGTTATGTAATACGTATATGACATATAACGAAATAAAGAGATTTATACTTGTAAGAACAATAGCTAATTATGAGAATGTAAGCAATATCGAATGTTTGTTATGTATGTCTAACGTTAGTAATGTACCTCTTTTTTTTCATTTTAATTCTCAAAATCTCAAAATGTAAGAATATTTTAGAGCATGCGGATAAAAGGAATGCACGGAATTCTTTGTATGTACTACGAGTATTATATTTCATGATGACAATTTTATTCTCCAGATAAATTATTTTAGGACCTCCTTTTTCTTTATCGAATGAAATGATAGGATATGATAGTTGCAGTCTTTTTTTTTTTTTAATGCCACTTTAATTTGAAGGTACTCCACTTCACCAAGTCACCAACCCACTTCCCAACTAATTTTTTCAGGCATAGATGTTCAAGTATATTGGTTTCTTTGAAATCTCGTCATTGAAGGTAATAATTTGCTAGTCATCTTCATTTTGAAAATTTTCAGCAAAATCGCTGAAAAAATGGCTACTTATAGGTAAAGATAACGAAAACTCTCCATTATTAATATTTAATAAATCCGATGATTTGCACATCTATTTCTAGAAGCAAATAGAGCAATGGATCATAGGAAGAAAAGTAACTTTTGATAGCTTTTTATCCTTTTGACATAAGAATTGCAAGCTTGCAGATTATGTGTTATTGAGAATTTAGTAATAGAGAACAGATACGAGTACTAATTAGAATTATAATAATGAGTAATTTTTTTATAATTATGAATGGAACACCTTATACAAATGAAGTATGTACTAAAAGACGTATACAAAATACATTATAAATTAAATCCTACTACATTGGCAACTGACAATGTTCATGTAGCAAGTTTAGGTACAAACAGCAAATAAAAAGAGAGATTCTTTATTCAAGAGCATGTTTTAGAGAACAATTGTAAAAATTTTCGACGAATGATCTGAGCTGGTAAGTGTCAAGTGCACAGATAGGACCATCAACAATTGCGTAGTTCAGACTTCAGATTATCCCCTGAGGAATAAATTAAACAAAGATCAAGTTAGTGACCATTAAAAAAGGTTCCAAATGTCCTGAATTTAGTCCCTTTTATAGAAGTTAGCTGGTTTACCAAGTTTCGCCTTTTGTAGATCTTTAAGTTGAGTTCTTCATCCCATTTGGTTTCCAAGCAAGCCTCAACTGTGTCCAATGCCTGCACCATATACATGTCATTAGTCGTCGTACTGATTGTCACAATCTAATATGAAGTACATGATTCTGTATTGATCACATGTAATGTGTTACAGACTAAGTTATCAGAGGTGTGCTATACCTTGAGCCAAGCAGCAAGCTTTGGCCTCCCTTCAGTAATATCGTATTTGTGCAAATCTGTAAACAAGTAATAGTATCTTTGTACAAATGGAGCATATGCAACATCGGCCTGATCACAAAATAACAGCAAATATTTGTCAGAGAAAAATTAGCAGGATGAAAAATATCTGACAATGTAAATATTCTCTGCAACATGTTCATAGATGTTGCAATTGATATTATTAACAGGAGTTTATATAAATGAATTAGTCTGACTGACCGCGCTGAATTGGGCACCAAGGAGGAAAGGCCCTTCATGGTTGTATTTTGAAAAATATTCTTCCAATGTGTCAAAAGCAGTTTCTATAAAAAGCAGAGAAATGCACATTGTTACTTACAAATGAATAGCAATAGATAGTCTAAATTAATGAAATCGCGCTTCTGATGCGTACTCATTTCATCATCTGATTTAGTTCCTTTAAGGTAGAAGAAAAGAGTTGGGTTCCACTTGTTACTATAGTCAAACAACTCCTCTGTAAACTCTTTCTTAGCAGGATCCTGCAGAATTTCATACAACCAAATTAAATTAGTTTTATCATAAGAAATGTCAGACCAAAGTTTTACAGCATATTATGAAATTAAATTAGAATTTATGTAAACTTATAGACTTAATAACTACCTCAGGGAAAAGTGAGGGTCCTTCGAAATGGGCATCGATGTATTTGATCAAGTCGAGACTCTCTCCGATGATCTTGTTGTTGTGCTCTAAAGCAGGTACCTATGATTAACAAATCATAAGCATTCTGAGTTTTATAAAAATGGAATGAAAAAGGGAGAAGAAATGGAAAACTTAATTTGACAAATTAATCACCTTGTTTTCTGGGTAGACCTCTTTGTACCAAGCTGGTCTATCATCTAGATCAATTGGAACTAATTGGATTGTATCATGTAATCCCTGAAAGTTGTAAAAAGAATCTTTCATATTCAATCTTAATCTTTTGATCAAGAGAATTAACTTTAAAACGTTAGCAATATTGTACAAACTCCCAAGTATTTTATCAATTAAGCTAGTTGATATCCAAATAACAATGCGAAAGTCGACAAATGAGAGGGTGGTGCATGGAATGTAAAGTTATGATGTCAAACCTTGTAATTTCGCGCTAACCAGGCACGTTGGGCAAAAGGGCAGTAATAGGTTGTGTACAACCTGTTAATTTTATTTTTTAAAAAAAATGTTAGGATTAAAACCAGAAGATCATTTTGAAATTGCATAATTAAATGCTTAAAAACCTTAATTAAGAAGTATATATCAACCTGGTGGTTCCGTCGAAGACAGAAGGTGGTTCAGAGTTGGAACCTAGGAATGGTGGAAGAATTTCTTGAGTTAACCTGCAAATTATACAACAATTCATTATAAACATCAAACAAATTTAATTAAGATAATCCTACCAAAGAAAGTTGCATAAAGGTCATTATTATTACTGTGTAGCCATTGATTGAAGATGAAATTGAACTTAAGAATTATCTTTGATGTGGATCAGAAAGTTTTGAGATGGAGAAAGAGTACTTAGATTTGAAGATATGATTCCAATATTAGCCCCTTCTTATACTTATTTTTATGATAAACTTTGACCAAAATTCAATTTTATAAAAATAGTAGTATATTTTTGATCTTATTTGACCAGGGAATTAAATTATTTTCTATGATTTTCTTCTAAAATCTTCAATTTAAATATTGATTTTTTTCTATGATTTTTTTTCAATAATACTATCTATTATCAACACTTCTTTTCACACTTTAGATTATTTCCATTCTTTATTATAATTCCCGTTAAAATCATAATTGCATGATTTGCATAAAAGTGAATGTTATAATAAGATATAGTGTATATTTAAGTGAATGGATGATTTTACACTCCGTGAGTACGATGGACACTTTGATTTTTCACAAACTTTTAAAAAAAATCGGGTGTACAATAATTATTGTACATCCACTATAAAGATACACTGGATCGATCAAAAGTTACCCCTAAATTAAATAAAAGTTACCCTGATATGCATAAAAGTAATCAAATACAAATAAAAATTATTAGTCAAGAATCACATTTTAAATGACTAAAAATCAATTATTTGTGATTAAATGTTATTAAATTACCATTATAAAACTTTTCTTATTGTCTATTTATATAAAAATTGTATTATGTTAAAAGTTACCAAAAAAAAGGAAAAAAGTTATCCTAAAATTAGGTAAAAGTTACCCTTATACGGCTCGATGTACAGTAAAATTAGTGTAAAGCGGGTGTATACAAAAGTTTTTGTTGTTTTTTTAATTTCCTACAAGTGTAATATATTCATATTGGAAATTTTTTTCTGTACAAGTAAGAAAAAAAGTTGTGTAAAACAGTAGTCCCTTCGTCCCTAAATTACACTTTTGTTTGGAAATTTACACGGGAATTAAGGAGAAAAGAATAAGACAGATAACAATAATTAGATAATGCAATGGGAAGAAAAATAAAGATAGATTAGTTATTACTCATGACATGTCATCAATCCTTTGCAAAAAAAAAAAAAAATGACCAATCACATGCTCCTAATTGAAATTTTTTTAACCAATCATATTCATTGTAATTTGACACAAAGATTCTGAAAAATTAAAGGTTGAAAAAGTACATTAGTCAACCAAATATTAAAAGTGGAATGTAAATACATTAATTATACAGTAAAAGTACAACTGAAAAAAGAGTGTATTTGGGATATTTAGAAAAAAAAAAAATACTCCCTCCGTCCCCGATTGATAGTCACATTTGTCATTTTTGATGACTCAAAATGTTAGTCACATTTGCTTTTTTCAAGTACCATTAATATTATTTTTTTACCAAAATTCTCTAACATTTGCAAAAATATTTGTGCAAATTTAACTTTCCTATGTAAATTTTACTTTTCCATGTACTTTAATTACTTTATCTTTCTACTTTTTTTCATACCCAATGTAAATTTACTTTTTCAATGTACTTTATTTAATTCTCCTTAATTCCCGTGATTTTTCTTCAAAAGTGACTATCAATCGGGGACAGAGGGAGTACTAAAAATAGAAAGGTGAAATGTAATTTTAGAATACCCAAAATAAAAAGAAAAAATATAATTTAGGGATGGAGGGAGTATCAATTTTCATCTCTTGTTTATATTTAAAAGTCAACTTCTGGAAGAAGGCTGATCCAGTGCATACAAGGACTAGTCAAGTCTCTGTGTTTGCTGGTCAACTCTGACGTCTCTTTAATAATACTCCGTAATGCAATGTTCAATTTCGACTTTGTAAAAAACGGCATTCAATTTGAAAGTCAACGATGCCCTCTTTAGTCCTTAGCATTTTTCTCAATTTTTTTTTTTTTTTTTTTTTTTAAGAAAACATTTTTCTCAATAATTATAAAGGATTATTGGGTGAAATTGTGAAGTAATTACTACTTTAGTGTTATCAAAATACGGAGTATAATTTTGTTACTTGTTAGCTTAGAATATACTCCGTAGATAGATAGTAATAATGTCTCCTGTGATATTTCATAACTACTTTGTACTACGTATTACAATGAACATTAATGGTAAAAATTAAACTTTCTATAAATAGGTATACGAGGTCAACGTTATTATTTTAGGATGAATGTATTCCGTAACATAACACTAGATAGTAGATAATACTAGAGCTAGCTGTCAAAAGTGACCCGATCCGAAATACCGACTCAAAATCGATTATTAACCGACCCATTTGAATCCGAAAAAATGGTGACCCAAACCCGACCTGATCCGACCTGAAACCAACCCTAGAGCTGAGTTGACCCGAGTATGTGATACCCGAACCCGAACATAAACTGATTTGGAGATGACCCACCCGAATGTAACCCGTAAACTATTGACCGAACCGAACCTGACTTGAGCCGAAATTGACCCAAACCCGTTTTAACCCGTCAAAACCCGAATTTAACCCGACTTGTTACCAACCTGACCTGAATTCAACCCGACCCGTTCCTAACCCGACTCGAATTTAACCCAACCTGTTACAAACCCGACCCAAAATCAACCCGACTTCTTATTGACCTGACCCAAATTCAACCCGACTTGTTATTGACTCGACCCGAATTTCACCAGACCTATTACTAAACCAACCCAAAAATTCAACCCAACCTGTTACTAACCTGACTCAAAATAAACACGACTTGTTATTGACCCGACCTAAATTCAATCCAAATTGTTCCTGACCCGATTTCAAATCACCTTAAATGCAATTTAGACCACCTTATTATTGTTGATCAAAGCATTTTGTCTAGGAAGACTTGAATCCGAATATGACCTGACTTGGAAATGACCCGACCTGATTGTAACCTGCAAATTATTGACTTGAACATAACCCGACTTGAATCCGAAAATGACCTGACTTGGAAATGACCTAACCTGATTATAACCTGCAAATTATTGACTTGAACCGAACCCAAGAATGATTCGACTTGAAAATGACCCGACCTGATTATAACCTACAAATTATTGACTTGAACTGAACCCGACACAAAACCGAGAATGACCCGACCTGATTCTATCCCGCAAATTATTGACTTGAACCGAACTAGACTCGAACCCGAGAATCACCCTAACCCGTTTTAACCCATGAAAACCTGAATTAAACCCGACCTATTGTTCACCCGACCCGAATATAACCCGAACTGTTATTAACCCGACCTAAACACGACCCAAACCTGATAAGAAGTATGACCCGACTCAAGCATGACCAAACCCAAACCGCATAAGTTATGGAATTAATCTGAATTGACCCGACCCAAGTTGACCTGACCCACTCTTACTGACCGAAATCCGACCCGTTTACCCGAATTGACATCTCTACCCGAAATCTCAAAAATTTCTCAAAAAGCGTGGATATTAGCCTTTAATTCTGGATTTTTTTCGACTTTTTTCACCCGGAAATAAAAATTGCCGAAATGTTTACCATGGTCTCTAACACCCTCCAGGAGTCCAATTGGCTAGGTAGAACCATCCAATATCATTTGCCTTTAAACGACCAATTTACCGGTTTAAAAATTACACCGATTTCTTTAAATCAGGCCTACCACGAACAATTATGACAACATATAATGATCATATATGGTTCCAAAAGGCATTATATGACCCCAAGATGTATCCCCTATAATCTAAAAGCTTTTCGACACCGGGCCTCAAAATCTTCAAAATCTCTCAAAAAACATGGATATTAGCCTTCAATTTTGGAATTTTTTTTACTTTTTTCACACTGATATAAAATTGGCGAAATGTTTACCAGGGTCCCTAATATCCTCCAGGATTCCAATTGGGTGGGTGGAACCATCCTATTTGCCTTTAAACGACCAATTTACCGGTTTACAAATTGCACTGATTTCATTAACTCAAGTTTACCACGAACATTTATGACAACATATAATCATCATTTATGTTTCCAAACGACATTATATGACCACGAGATGTATCCCATAAAATCTTATTTCTTTTCGACACCGGGCCCCGAAACCCACGAAATTTCTCAAAAAGCGTGGATATTAGCCTTCAATTTTGGAATTTTTGTAACTTTTTTTCGCCCGTAAATAAAAATTGGCGAAATATTTACCATGATCCCAAATACCATCCGGGAGTCCAATTGGGTGGGTGGAACCATCCAATTTGCCTATAAAAGACCAATTTACCGGTTTACAACTTGCACAGATTTCATTAACTCAAACCTACCACGAACATTTATGACAACATATAATGGTCATTTATGGTTTCGAACGGCATTATATGACCCCGAGATATATCCCCTAAAATCTCATTTCTTTTCGATACAGGGCCCCGAAACCTTCGAAATTTCTCAAAATTAGCCTTTAGTTTTGGAATTTTTTTAATTTTTTTCGCACGGAAATAAAAATTGCCGAAATGTTTACCATGCTCCCTAATACCCTCTAGGAGTCCAATTGGGTGGGTGGAACCATCCAATTTGCCTTTAAACATACAATTTACCGGTTTACAAATTGCATCGATTTCATTAACTCAAGCTTTCCACGAACATTTATGACAACAAATAATGATTACATATGGTTTCAAACGACATTATATGACCCCGAGATGTATTCCCTAGAATTTCGAGACTTTTAGACACCGGGCCCTATACACTCCAAAATTTCTCAAAAAGGTGGATATTAGCATTTAATTTTTGAATTTTTTGAATTTTTTTCGCCTGAAAATAAAAATTGCCGAAATGTTTATCATGGTCCTTAGTATCCTCCGGGAGTTCAATTGGGTGGGTGGAATCATCAAACTTGCCATTAAACGGCTGATTTACCGGTTTACAACTTGCACTGATTTCATTAACTCAAGCGTACCACGTACGAACATTTATGACAACATATAATGATCATATATGGTTTCAAACGGCATTATATGAACCCGAGATGTATCACCAAGAATCTAAAGGATTTTCGACACCAGACCTCGAAACCTTCAAAATTTCTCAAAAAACGTGAATATTAGCCTTCAATTTTGGAATTTTTCGACTTTTTTTCACCCATAAATAAAAATTGTCAAAATGTTAAACTTGCACCGATTTCATTATCTCAAGCCTAACATGAACATTTATGACAAAGTATAATGATCATATATGATTCCAATCGGTATTATATGACCCCGAGATGTATCCCCTAAAATCTCAAGGATTTTCGACACTAGGACTTGAAACCTCTAAAATTTCTCAAAAAGCGAGGATATTAGCAAGCCTTAAATGTTGGAATGTTTTTGACTTTTTTTCGCTTGTAACTAAAAATAACTGAAATATTTACCATGTTCCCTAATACCATCCGGGAGTCCAATAAGGTGGGTGGAACCATCTAATTTGTCTTTAAAGGCGATATACCGATTTACAACTTGCACCAATTTCATTAACACAAGCCTACCACGAACATTTATGAAAACATATAATGATCTTTAATGGTTTAAAAGAGCATTATATGACCTCGAAATGTATCCCCTAAAATCTCAAAGCTTTTCGATACCGGGCCCCGAAACCTAAAAAATTTCTCAAACAACGTGAATATTAGCCTTTAATTTTGGAATTTTTTGACTTTTTTCGCCTATAAATAAAAATTGTCGAAATTTTTACCATGGTCTCTAATATCCTCTGGTAGTCCAATTGGGTGGGTGGAACCATCCAATTTGCCTTTAAACGGCGAAATTACCAGTTTACAACTTGCACCGATTTCATTAATTAACTCAAGCCTACCACGAACATTTATGACAACAAATAATGATCATATATGGTTCCAAATGACATTATATGACCCCAAGATGCATCCCCTAAAATTTCAAGACTTTTCGACATTGGGCCCTGAAACCTCCAAAATTTCTCAAAAAGCGTGGATATTAGTCTTCGATTTTGGAATTTGACTTTCATACGCCCGGAAATAAAAATTGTCGAAATGTTTACCATGGTCCCTAATATGCTCCGGGAGTATAATTGGGTGAGTGGAACCATCCAATTTGTCTTCAAACTACCAATTTACCGGTTTACAAATTGCACCGATTTCATTAATTCAAGCCTACCACGAACATTTATGACAACAAATATTGATGATATATGGTTCCAAACGGCATTATATGACCCCGAGATGTATCCCATAGAATTTCAAGACTTTTCGACACCGGGCCTTGAAACATCCAAAATTTCTCAAAAGCGTGGATATTAGCCTTCAATTATAGAACCTTTTGACTTTTTTTCGCCCGGAAATAAAAATTGTCGAAATGTTTACCATGGTCCCTAATACCCTTCGGGATTCCAATTGGGTGTGTGGAACCATCCAATTTGCTTTTAAACGGCCTATTTACCGGTTTACAACTTGCACCGATTTACCGGTTTACAACGGCCAATTTAATTTACTTGCACTGAACCCGACGTGCATTGAAATTGACCCAAACCCATTTTAACCCATCAAAACCTGAATTTAACCTGACTTGTTACTAACCTGACCCGAATTCAACCTGACCGGTTCCTAACTCGACCCGAATTTAACCCAACCTGTTACAAACCCAACCCGAAATCAACCCGACTTGTTATTGACCTGAACCTAATTCCACCCGACTTGTTATTGACCCGACCCGATTTTTACCAAACCTGTTACTTACCCGACTCAAAAATTTAACCCGACTCGAAATTAACACTATTTGTTATTGACCTGACCTAAATTCAACCCAAATTGTTCCTAACCCGATTTCAAATCACCTTAAATGCAATTTAGACCACCTTATTATTATTGATCAAAGCATTTTGTCTTAAGGAGACCAAGTCGGTCCAAGCCAGCAAAAGAAAGGATCATTATCCTCAAATTTAAGAGTTAAATATAGTATATATATTTGTTGAATGGTTAAATGAGTTAATTATCTTCCTAAATTATAGACTATAGTTCCCTAGTACATTGCCATATATATTATAGTCAAAGGAAATAATCAGCTTGATAAAAATGATAATTATCTATTTATAGTTAGTTGAACCCGAATATGACCTGTATTTGAAATGACCTGACATGATTGTTACCTGCAAATTATTGACTTGAACATAACCCGACTTGAATCCGAGAATGACCCGACTTGGAAATGACCCAACTTGATTATAACCCGCAAATTATTGACTTGAACTGAACCCGACTTGAACCCGAGAATGGCCCGACTTGAAAATGACCCGACCTAATTATAATCCGCAAATTATTGACTTGAAACCAACCCGACTCAAACTCGAGAATGACCCGACCTGATTCTAACCCGCAAATTATTGATTTGAATCGAACCTGACTCGAAACCGAGAATTACCCTAACCCGTTTTAACCCGTGAAAACCCGAATTAAACTCAACCTATTGTTCACCCGACCCGAAAGTAACTCGACCTGTTATTTACCCGACCTAAACCCGACCCAAACCCGATAAGAAGTATGACCCGAATCAAGCATGACCTAACCCAAACCCGAGCCGCATAGGTTATGGAATTAATCCGAATTGACCCGACCCACTCTTACCTGACCCAAACCTGACCCGTTTACCCGAATTGACATTTCTAGATAATACTCTGTACAATTTTTTTTTTTTTTTGAAAAGTAACACAATTTATAGTTTGTATCGTTCTTTCCATATATAGTACATTCACAAAGCAATAGTAAAGAGACGAGAGAAAAGTGCATTAAGGGATTTAAGGCTATTAGATTATTTTCTCTAAATCTAATGTAAAATCATATTGGAAGTTTAATTTGTTTGTACAACATTGCATTATCTGCATAGGCTTAAGCATTTCATGCCAACATTTTTTACAAAGAACAAAGAACTAGCTATCCGTAGATACTAACTAGTTTAATTTGTAAAAGTCTAGGACGGTGGTATCCTAAGATAAAGTTCCGTCTACATCATTTGTCGTTTGTAACACACTTTTGACCAAAAAAAAAAAAACTATTTGTCTATGAAATTTTTTATGTATAAGAACGTAGAATTGAAAAATACACCATCTACTTGCTTAAACTCAAGCGTGATCTGCTTGTGCTCTTAGGAGAATTTGCAACGCTAACACTGATGTATGATTCATCATCCCTGCTTTTATTGGAAGAGTTCATCTTCCAATCAACTCGCGGTTGTTGTTGCACAACCAAGATAGAGTATCTAGAATCCGAAGAAACTAAGGTATCAGCTAAAGCTCCAATTTCGGGGCTTTCGCTCCAAGCATCGAGGCCTTGGATGGCAGGACAATTTGCTTCATGGTATCTTCCTAACACGAACAAATCCGCGACATTTTGTACCGAGAGGAGTGCTTTGGTTGTCCCTATTCCATCGTCGACAAATTTTTCTCTAACACTAATTCTTTCATGCCCTTTGGCTTTTATATGAAACTCCCTCATTACTCTTATATCTTCTTGATACTCTTGTAATTGGGGCTTGTAATCGTTTACTCTTAACCAAATCACGGTTAGCCAAACACTCGGATGCTCAGCCATACGCCTAGTTAATGCTAAGGCCTCGTGATCGTCGGTCCCTCCTATGAAGATCATCACTATTTGGTAAGTTTGGTGTCCAAATTTTGATATTCGATAGAGGCTTCCTCCAGCTTGGTCAACTATTTCTCTATCGATTAGGATGGCAACGGAGCAAGGGGATTTTCGAAGCACACTTCGATTTATACTCCTTATTTGTTGATTGTAGGTCTCTACATTACCATCGATACCCCATTTTTTATGAAATGGGACGACGATTAGGTTTGTTCTCTTGTCATGTGCGAGTGCACATATGTCGTTGTGCATACTCTTATAAGGTGTGACGGACACAAATTGTTGCACCCTCGCGTAACCTTGGCTTTCTTCCTCGAATTGTTCAAAGGCCTTAATTGTGTGATCATAGAGACTAAAAGTGCTCGCCGTCTTCTTGTACTCATGAAGTGGTGCTAAGACGGGCATAGCACTTCCGGCAAGGTTTATTAGTTGGAGTGCAAAAACCGATATTGATGCACCCACTTTCTCACACTTGGACACCTCTAGGAAGTTAAAAATCGCGGAGATGTTTTCTTCGTTATGGATGCACACTAACACTTGTAGATCCCCATGATCGCTTAGTCCCATAACCTTTCTTTTCCTCACGATGTTGTACTTATGTGAAGGGTCATACAACCATTGTACTAGTGGATACGCCACTCCGGTGAAGATCATGACGTTTATCATCGCCAATGCAAACAATCGATCATCCATAATCTATCAAACCATAATTATCATTACATTATGAGTAAGTTAATCAATAAGGCATAAAGTAATACACAAAACGATTTAATATTTTTTCAAGGCAATATTTACTATGCTACCAAAATAGGAAAATGAACATAACAATACCGCTTGATCGATCCAAACACCGAAAGTGGCAACCTCCATGATACCTTTGAAAGTCATGATAAAACCCAAAGGCACAGCATCTTCAATTGACACACCAACAAGCATACACGAAAAGGCGGTACCTAAGAACTTGCCAAGCTGACTAACAATGAATATGATCTCGACGGCCCAAAACGAGGAAGTTCCTTTCCATGACATCAAATTAATCCTCCAACCAGCCATGGTACAGAAGAGAGGAAGCAGTACTCCTGAAGTAAAAAGCTGTAACTTCTGGACCAATGCAGAGCCCAATGGGGGCCCATGAGGCAACGAAAGCCCAAACAAGAAGGCTGAGAATCTTTGGCCCACTCTTTCACCCCAATGCCAAGTAAACATTACAATCCCTAATATTAGCAAGAAATGAGTTTGTTTCATGTCACACCCTTCAGGAGTTCTCCTTACAATGCACATCACCATAGGGCGAAAGACGCCGAACAACACGAAATAGTAGAAGGCCAAGCTCGCTGCCGATAGCCATTTAGGGGGTGCATCAGGATTTGGGCTCAACCAAATGAGCCCAAATGTGGTGGTTAAGAGTCCAAATATATCGATCACCAACGACGAGGAACAGGCTATTCGGCCCACCTCGGAGTTGATGATCTTAAGGTCATGAAGGTAGTAACTTGTTACCATGAAGTATGTTAGTGAATTGAAGAGGATTAAGACTCGAATGCCTGTGAATAGGGTCTCATCAAGTTCAACCACTTGTCGAATCAATATAAAGGCCACGGACCCGAAGATGATGGATATTACTACGCCTGAAAATGCTATTAGTATCGATTTAGGCCCGCTTTTCCTAATCGCGCTCATGTCAATCATGACTCCTGATATGAACATTTGAAGCATGAATCCGAATCCTGCGATTGTCTTGATAATGTATCTTCCAGGAGGGGGGAACAAGGTGTTGATGATTGACTGATTATAGTTAATTAATGTTCGGCCTATTAATAATCCGGCCTGAAACAAACAAAACATAACATTTAGAGTAATAACAACGTGACAAGGAACATATGTAGTATCGTACGATAATTTGTATCGCATCATTCATTTATGTACTCGAGATAATTTTTATAAATTGTGAAACGGGGTGTCACGAAAATATTGCCCTCCTATTAAAACATACAAGTATTCGTGCACGGTGCACCCAACTCTTATGTTTAGAATGCCAAGGCAACACCAATTAATTGTACGTGTGTACATACATGTAACGTACGTGTGTTGTGCCTTGGCCTGGCCTATAATCACATTCGATGGTGATAGAGTAACATTGGAACATACATGTATTGTATGATCCGAAGTAATATAGAAATAATGCATTATAAATAAAAAGAAAGGCTTACAACAATCTGGACGACAGTCATACTTTGGCGCAGGGGTTGAGCAAGGAAAAAAACGGTCCGAGTGACGAAAAAAATGATTATAATTTGGAGCAAAACTAATGGTGTGGGATAACTCAAAGGATTTTCTCCATACCAAACACCATTCGATGTTCCTGACCTTTGATATTGGCATATAAGCCTATCCTTGAATACCATTCCCATTGCCCACCATTGCTTTGGATACGCGTCGCCACCGTGCACGTCCATTTTATTTCTTTTGTATAAGTATGCCCTTAATTAATCTTCTAAACACTAAATACTAATTATGGTTGAATGTAACAAATAATCATAGTTAACGATACGTTTGACATAATGAACAAGATGGAGAAGATTGAATACAATGGGTAATTAAATTGCCTAAGTAGAAAAAATAAGAGGGAAAAGAAAAAAGAGTCAAAAGATGGTGAAGAATAATATAATTGGTGATATTTGATCAAAAATATGAAAAGAGATGTTGAGGAACAAAATTTGAGGGATTGGACTAGATTTGCTCCTTAAAATTAGTGACCTTAATATTTATTTAACCATTGAGAAAATTAAGTTTATGTGAGGGTCTTCTAATTATGTAAATCCTTCATCTTCGGTACTCCCTTAGTTAATGACCTCAAATGTACAATTAACACTTATAACATACATATATACCAAAGAATAATCAAAGATAATAAACTATAGGTTGGTGTTTTGGTTAATTGTACCCTTTTTTGGTAAATTGGTTGACTCAACCTTTAATTAGTTACAACTAGCAAGTCCATTGCATTGTCTATAGCTAGGGAGGGCATACAATAATCTAAGTGGACAATCACTGGACTTTATTTTGTTTCTTAATACATCTAACATTTTTTTTACAATTTACCATCGATGCACTAATTTGAAATATTAATATCTATTAATTAAAAGTATTATAACAAATTTAAACCTGATTTGATTGGTTGAGAATAGAGTTGATAATTAAATATAATAAATTTAATAAGAAGTAGAGCTGAATTATTGATGTCGATGATTTAGTTGATTCAATTTAATTTTGGTAATTTATTTAATAATTTTTTTTGAATTGAATTAATTATTTCAATGACTATTATTGCTATCATATGGTTAATAATGTAATACATTAATAAAAGATAATGAATTAAGAAAGTGTATAAATGTTTTTTTTATTAATAAAAATTTATTATTTATTAACAACAATTAATACGGAGTATGAATTGACTTTTGTTTTGTTTGTTCCAAAAAACAAAAAATTATTAATTGACCTGAATCCACTTTTTTTTTTGTTTTGTTTTTTTTTTTTTTTTTGAGAAAGATAAAATCCATTAATAAGAAAGCCATACGACATCTACAAAGACATTCAACCACGACAAGAACATTACAAAATAAATCAAAAGGCTAATCGCTTCATCAACACTACAGACACCGCATAGAATTTCCGTGGGGGAGCGTCCCCCGCTTGAAAAATGCTAGTTCCATTTTTTAAAAAGACTATTTGATACAAATAAACGTTATTTTATATTCACCTTATTTTTGCTCATTTTAGAGAAATTAAGTTCAAACAATTTCATATACGTAGTAAGATAAATTTATATGAACTTAATAAAATTTATTTTACTTGTAATTTAAATTTGGATAATTCTTATCAAAACTTATTTTCCTAGAACTTAATTTATCTGAAACTTAACTAATCATAAAATTTACTCCGTAATAAGTTCTGATAAGTTAAGATAAGTGAAAATTAGGTGAATAGAACATACTCTAAAAAAAACTATTTTTGGATAAGATAAGATATCCAAAAATTTAATTCAACATTCCTTATACTCAGAGTATTGAATTTAATTTTTGGATATCTTATCCAAACCATTTAAAGCTAAATACATTATTAAATTTTATGTTAAATTTTTGGAAACATAATTTAAATGAGTTTATCAATGCTTTACAAATATGAGCTAATATAAACTTATTACATTATTTAGTTGTATAGAACTTGGGTAACCTTCTTTGTTATTTTAATTTATTAAGCTTAACTTATTTTTTTTAACTCATTTAGGTTAAACAAGTGAAAAATAATGTGAACAAAACACAGTCTTATGAAATAAATGTAAAATTAAAATAACCCTAATCATAACATAAGTAATTTTTTTTATGCAAATCATAACATAAGTAATTAATATTGTATTAATTGCTTTATAAAATAAATCAAAATGAATTATTTTCACAACTGCCATGCACATTTAAAGGTACATATATTTGGTAATGTTAATAATATATGTTTCCAAAGAAAAAAAGTAATTATAAAAAGCAACTATACATCAATAATTAACCTCCTTTTTTTTTTCTACAACAAAGCCTTAATTTCTAAATGATTTGGGATCGGCTAACATTTATCGTCATAAGGACCTTTTTTAATCAAGTTTGACTCACTAGAGGAGGGGAGATCACATTGATCATCACTGAGTTGAACTGAACTGAATTGAGCTGAACTAATTGAAGCTGAATGGAAATGAATTGAAATTAAGCTGAAGACAACAACCCTCTTTTATTCCAATTAATGAAAATTGATTATTAATGTTCCTTTTATTAATAATTCTGACCTGACAAAATCTCTTATTTCCTTAAAACAAAGATATCACACATTATGTGATGCTCCTCCTCATTTTCTATGCTTAAACATGTATTTTTCTCACTAATTGATGTTGTGGACTGTGCTTATAAATACCACCATCTGAAATCTCTTCTATAATTCATATTTAATTTTGTCTAAATAGAGTTTATAATCTTATAATATCAGTCTAATATACACATATCATTTTAAACTCTTGTTTCTTGTAATAAGAAAATGGCTGGATCACCTTTTGCACCAAGCTCTTCATCAGCAATCCCGGATTGCGCTGAACTGGCTAGGCTCTTGCCTGACTATGCTTTGGATGGAACCATTGGCACTGGCGCGACTAGTGTAGTCAAGAAAGCGAGACATGTGAGGACTGGACAACTAGTAGCCATTAAGATCATCTCCATAAGGGATAAACTGTCTGAATATCTAGGTGATGTTTTTTTTTATTTTTTTTTTATTATTTTTAATTTAATACAAAAATTAAGGAGATTAAATATATATGCTGTGATCCTGCTTTGTTTGCTAACAAGATTCAGTTTTTAATTTTTATTATTTTTGCTAGTTATGTGTTGAATTGAATGTACATAAGAATCCTTTGTTTTGTGTCTTTACATTCATAGTTTAGATGTTACCATACATGTTTGTCGCGATGAAATGATAAATTTTCATTTTGTCCTTCACTAATTTAGTTTGATTGTACGAAATAGGGGGTCTTTTATTGACTTAAGTATGTGTGCTAAGGGAATTTTATATAATTGTCGTAATTTAAAGATTAGCAAGCAAATTCATAAATTAGTCATGATGAATTGGTAGATTTTCTTTGTCCCTCGTTAATTTTGATTTGACTGTTCAATAAGAGGTCTTAAGGTAGTCATTTGACTTTAAAATGTGTGATTTCTGATATGTTATTGTTACATCATTCTGGGGTTCAAGAGACTGATGAACTTTTGTTTTACTTTGGTGAAATTCCCTGTTTTTTTTTTTTCATGTAGTCAAAAAAGAGATTAGATTACTGAATATGCTTGACAGTCCTCGAGTAATTCGACTGTATGATGTTTTATACACCGAGGATTATGCATGTCTCGTGCTTGAGTATGCACCAAATGGGGATTTCTTAACTTATCTCACTTCAAGGAACTTGATGTCAGAGGCCGAAGCAAGGCCATATTTCCTTCAGGTACAAATCAGACTATATACATAGATTCATTACCTAAACACATTCTATAGTATATTTTGTATAATTTTTTGATACTAGTATGATATGGTTCTCTTCTGTCCGGAATCAGCTGATATCAGGGGTGGAGTACCTGCATCAGAAGATGGTTGCACACCGTGACTTGAAACTTGAAAATCTACTCATTGATGGAAATTTCAATCTGAAGATATCGGATTTTGGTCTAAGTGCTATCATGAACAATAGCTATTTGCTGAGACAAAACTGTGGAAGCCTACAATACGCTGCACCTGAGGTCTGATAACTTCCTGTACTAGAATATTATGTTTTAATGTATAATCTAATGCCTCTTGGAAGCTGAATTTTTTCATTATATATTCGTGTTCAATATTTTCTCAGACATTATGTGCAGGACTTTTCTTAGATAAGTTAAGAATAATGGAGTTATTAACAGAATTTATACCTGCTTTTGTAAATATAATACGTGTTTGCGTTGCTGATGGGAAATTTCAACTTCTTTGATGTAGCTTATTTCGAATGAACCATACTATGGTACACAAGTTGATGCCTGGAGTTGCGGCATCATCTTATATGCTATCGTCTGTGGTTCATTCCCATTTAAGGATCTGGATCGTGATGGCCTTAACAAAAAAATTATGGTATTTGTAATTTTATAATCTTGATGAAACAATATAATACGTATTATCTAACCATCAATCTTAATCTACTTTTAACAGAAGTTTGTCATATATAATCTTGGTATAACTAATGTTAGCTAAACCATTTATTGAAACAATGAAAGAGGTGTATGTATTCATCTTGTATGCTCATTTTCTATTCAAGTTATATTATGATCTGAATATAATTATTATTTTCTTCTGTACAATATAATTAAATTCAGAGTAGTTCTATTCAGTGAAAGAATTTCTGCTGCAAGTTAAAAGGTTCATTATAGTAATCAATGATTCTCAGAACGAAGATTGTGTATTGCAATTATATTAAAATTATGCCTGGTTTGATTTTCCTGGTGTAAGATAATTGTGTCCTAATTGTATTTGATCTACTTATACATCATAGCTCTACTGATGTCGACGTTGTGCAGAGTGGACAGATTGAATTTCCTGACATGTACTTATCAGCTGAATTCCGTGACCTGGTTACTGGGATGCTCACTGTTTGTCCTCTGAATCGAATGACTATCTTTGAGATTCGTCAGCACCCCTGGCTTCTTGCCTAGCTACCTCAGTATTGATATCGAGACTTATCTATGTCCAATGTATCGGGAACAATATATGTTTCACTCTAGCTATGTGTCATGTTGCATTGTCCTATAATCTGCATTGTGGATGTTTTAAAAATGTCTTGGCCTATATATCCTTTTAGTTATGGGCTGTTCTATGAAACAGTTATAAAATTATCTTTGAATGGAATAAAGTTTTTATTATGGAATATGTATGAGCAATATGATCATGTACGTGTTATTATTTTTTTAATGTGTGTATGAAGGCATCTAATCATGCAAGATCGCGAGCTACTGGCTGACTAAAAGAATCTACAGATTACGTGTTTTCTGGGATGGAAAGAGTATAACGTAATAACAGAACATAATAAAAGGTTTGATCTCGATCAAATTTTGTTTCCTACTATTAGTAGATTACCAAAAGCATCAAGTATTTACAAACTTCAAGTATGTAGTCATTAAACACAGGTTTCTGATCTAAGCACTTCTCCTTACAAAATCTTATGCTTACCAGAGAACAAAAGAGGTAAGAAATGGGAAGGAAGGAACCTACAAATCAATTCTTCTTAGATGCGTGGACTCCTCAGGGTCATGCAGACCCCAAACTCTAGTTTGTTGTTGCACCACCATTATCGAAGCCTTGATTTTGTAATTCAAAGTGAGCATCTCTCCGACTGGTCCCAACTCCCCGGTGCAGTCACTCCACTGTAAAAGTTCAGACATGAACTTTGAGTTCTTATGACGTCTTCCTACCAAAATCAGATCGTAACTAGAATTTTCTAGTGATTTTATCAGAGTTACCAAGCTCATCACATTAACTAGTATCATCTCTTCATAAAAGGTTCTATCTTCCTTGTGCAAAGTGTTGAGACTAAATTCACTTAGTATGTCACCATCTTGCAACCTGCTCTTCTCACTGTCAATAATCATGTCTTCAGAAGAGGTGCTTGAAAATTTTATCAGGGTCAGGTATACTCTGGGATTCTCTGACATTCTCATGCCATATGCTAATGCTTCTCGATCATCTTGACCCCCAAAAAATAATACTGCCACCCGGTATGTTGCAGGCTTTGATGTATAAGATCGATTTTTCTTAGTCTTTTGTGATCCTCCATGGTCAACAAGGACACCAACAGAGCAAGGAGCCTTGTCAAGAACTTTCTTGTTAAGATTCCTGTAAACAAAAGAGGGCTCTATGTCTTTTTCGCTACATTGCCTTTGGAAAGGGATTATAATAAATGATGTCCTTTTTTCTAAGGCGATGGAGCACACATCATTGTGCATAGATGCATAGGGGGAGATACCCTTGTAACATTGCACCATGAAAAGGCCTTGGTGTACTTGCTCCAACTTTCTGAATGCATTGAAAATCCTCTCGGATTGGCTAGGATAAGTAGAGTATGATTCCCTTGGTTGATGAGCAACAAGTAGGGAAGAGGAGCGGCCTATTAGCCTGATAAGATGCATGACAGTTAAGTTAATGGGACTCGCTTTGGTGGGACTAGAGACATTCGCCACATTCATGACCTCCCTGACATTATCTGCACTATGGACACAGGCCAAAATGCGGAGCTCCTCATCGCGTTTATGGTGTCTTATGGTTCTCCTCTTAAATGCCACATACCTCCTTGAAGGATCATACAGCGCCTTTACAATAGGCGACAGAACTCCTGTGATGAACACCACAGATATGATCATAATTGCAAAGCATTCCTCAGTCATGCCCTGCAAAAGTAGCAGATTTGTGCCTATTGCATTTTCAGGAGCCAAAGTATTGAACACATCATAAATTGTTACAGTACAAAAATTTTAGTGAGAATCTTTTACTAACAATTTTAGAAGAAAGGGGTGGCTCAGGAAAAATAAGACATGATAAGTTCAAATATATAAGTTTATTTTCAACTCACATAAATTGTATAAAGTTCTGATAAGATCACATAAACAATTTTCAGATGAAAAGAATGTAGCCTTACACTGTCCTTCATTCTGTGATTCAGCAATGCCAATTCAATGAGGCCTTTTGCATTCATGATCAGACTTAAAGAAAGAGCATCTCGAAATGGCATCCTGTAAAAAAGTGGAGGTGCAATCGTACCTACAACCTTCCCAATAAAGGCAACGAATACCACCAATTGAATAGCACCGACATTCTTCAGCTTCTGAATAGCAAAAACATCCATTTGTAGGCCACAAATGGCAAAAAAGATGGGCATCAGAAGCACAGAGACGAAAGAGTCAAGCTTTTCAGATAAAGCGGCTCCTAAAGGGGGTCCATCCGGTATGACAAGTCCAACAATGAAGGAAGCTATAACAGCACTAAGGCCAATAACTTCACCTATAAACCCACATCCTAGAAGAGCAAGAAGAACACCAATAATATACTTTTCTTTTACAGGCTTCCCTTCAGGCGTTTTCCTAATCGCCCATAAAGCTGCAGGGCGGATTCCATACAAGGCTAGAACAATAAAAAGGGCTACTGACAGAAAAGATCCTACAGATGATGAGAATGATTTTGCTTTGGCTATCCTAACCGCGAACCTAACTGTCATAAGAGACCACTGAAACACATCTGAGACTACTGAAGAAGAAGAGGCTAAACGCCCTATCTCTGAGTTCAGAATCTTAAGATCAGCAAGAAAACAAGCAATAACAGGAAAGGCTGACATAGACTGAGTCTCAATTACAAAAGGAAGTATTCTCAAAATGTCACGGTCCAATGTAACAAAGTGTTCTAAGAGGCAGGCAACTAGACTAGCCATGGCATAAGGAATTATAAATCCTAATATTCCTATAGCTATCGGCTTCTTGCCTGACCTCAATGCCAAAGATAAGTTCATCTTCACTCCAAGCAGAAATATAAAGAGCATCAGACTGAAAACAGATAAGTTCTCCAAAAGAACTCTGCTTCTAGCTGGGAATACTTCTGCTAGAAAATTTCTGTTATGTCCGAGGACTGAAGGACCGAGAACCACACCTCCCTGCAGGCACAAAAAAGGCAAGCATTGCATAATTAGTCAGGCTTAATTTTGTCATTAGTATTAGCTTAGTATAATTAAATCATTACCTTAATCAATACATAACACATTTGCATAACTAATATATCTATATATACTGTATTCACATAGATTTTCAATTAGTATCTTAATAAAAGTTCTAGGTAACATATACAACTTCCTAGGATGTTCAACCAACCAAAATTATTTATTATTAATGCTATCATATGAAAAACAATCAGCTAAAATGACATGTATAATAAAATTAACAGATTTGTTTACATCTAAAGGGGTGTGATAATGAACCAAACAAAAATTTCTGTACACATTTATTTCATATACACAAAAAGCTTAGTGTATGACATTGTTTAAAATTAACATAAGATCAATTCATGAATTTATTGATGCATACATATATTATACACTGACCAAGATCTGAGAAACAATAGAAGGTTGTCCAAAAGGCTTGAGAAGGAAATAAGCGACACGTGTGCAAAGAGAAATGATGGAAAGCTGGAGTAGCAAACCAGGTATGGTGAACCGGATAGGATCATCCCCAAAGAAGATGCCTCGAGACCCGGTTCGACCCATCGAATGACAAAGGTAGCCATTATCTAGGTGAAAGGCATCAGCTTCTATAGCTTTCTTTTGTGCTTCTAATACCATTCTTGTTGATGTTGTTGTTGGGGTGATCATATCATCATTATTACTATCTTCTTGCATTAGCATCGCAATGGCGGCATTACCCATCGATACCAATAACTTCCTATTATGATCACCACCCATTATCATAATAATCTTGCTATTTGGGGTTAACAAATTCCATAAACATTGTATGATAATTGCTTGAAATTAATGAAAGATCGAGTTTTCGATGAAGGATGGATTAGGAAAGGGAGGAGCCAAAAAGAGGAAGAGGAGGAGAAAGAGGGATGTTTAGAGAGAATTGAGAGAAAGAGATGGGTGGAGGAGCAATAGAGTTGGAATTGAAAGAGAAAAATGAGAGGGAAAGAAGTAAGGTATAAAGGAGAACATTAATAGTTGGCATTTCTATTTGATCCAAAATAAGGCATTTGTAACCCAAAAAAAATTATGTTATAGACTCTATGTTTATTACCGGAAAAAATAACCACCATTTTTTTAAGGGTTAATAATAGGATATTAGAGATTATATTTGTGATATTCTTTTGTTTTAAAATTCAATTTTATTCGAATAATGTTTTATTTTGATGAGAAGAAAAAAATTTCATTAATGAAAGATAGTCAAACGGCACTTATAGGAATTCTAAAATTTTAATACAAGTACAAATCAACTTAAAACTAGTTAAATCGCATATTCGATTAACGATACTGGACAAATAGTAATTAGTATTTATATTGTTTATCTAACACATATGTATCCGAAATGTACCCATAAAGATCAAAGCAGATCAAGTAATACTTTGGTGCGTTCGATCAATATTATCGATCATTTGGAAATTAATACGAAAATTATTTGTGATGATAAAGAAGAATGTCTCTCACGAAAGGAATACACAAACTCCTAGAGGGCATTAGGAGCCATTGTAAAATCTCGGTAATTTATATTTCCGGGAAATAAAAAGTCAAAATTCTTCCAAAATTGAAGTCTATTACCAACGACTTTTGAGAAATTTTAGAGGTTTCGGGATCCGGTGTCGGAAAGTCTTGAGTACTACGGGTATACCCCCCCCCCCTCGAGGTCTTATAATTCTATTTGGAACCATATATGATTATTATATGTTGTCATAAATGTCCGTGGTAGGCTTGATTTTGTGAAATCGGTGCAAGTGGTAAACGAGCGAGTAAATTAAGCGTATAAAAGCAAATTGGACGATGGTTCCACCCACCCAATTAGACTCTCAAATGATATAAGGGAACATGGTAAACAGTTCGTCAATTTTAATTTTCGGACAAAAAATAGTAAAAAATGTCCAATATTGAAGGTTGTAATAAATTAAATACACGTTTTATTGAGGAATTTTGGAGGTTTCAAGATTCGGTGTAGAAAAGTCTTGAGAAACTAGGGGACACATCTCGGGGTCATATAATGTCGTTTAGAACTATATATGACTATTATATGTTGTCAATGTCTTTGGTAGGCTTGAGTTTAATTATGAAATCAGTGCAAGTTGTAAACTGGTTAATTGACCGTTTAAAGGCATATTGGAGGGTTCGACCAACCCAATTAGACTCGCGGAGGATATTAAGGAACATGATAAACATACATCTCGTAATTTTTATTTCCAAACAAAAAAAGTAAAAAAATAACCAAAATTAAAGGCTATAATACACGTTTTTTGAGGAATTTTGGAGGTTTCGAGACTTGGTGTCGAAAAGTCTTGAGAAACTAGGTGACACATGTTGGGGTTATATAATGTCGTTTGTAACCATATATGACCACTATATGTTGTCATAAATGTCCATGGTAGGCTTGATTGTATGAAATCGGTGCAAGTTGTAAACTGGTTAATTGACCGTTTAAAGACATATTGGATGGTTCCACCCACCCAATAGGACTCCAAGAGGATATTAGGGAACATGGTAAACAGCTCGGCAATTTTTATTTCTGGGCAAAATGTTTAAAATTGAAGGCTATAATACATGTTTTTAAGGAATTTTGGAGGTTTAAAATTGAAGGCTATAATACTCGAAAAGTCTTGAGAAATTAAGAGACACATCTCGGGTCATATTATGCCGATTGGTACCATATATGACCATTATATGTTATCATAAATATCTGTGGTAGGCTTGAGTTTATAAAATCGGAGCATGTTGCAAACTAGTTAATTGACCGTTTAAAGGCATATTGGATGGTTCCACCCACCCAATTAGACTCGCGGAGGATATTTGGGAACATGGTAAACATCTCGACAATTTTTATTTCCGGGAGAAAAAAAGTCAAAAATGTCCAAAATTGAAGGCTATAATACACGGTTTTTTGGGGAATTTTGGAGGTTTCGGGACTAGGTGTCGAAAAGTCTTGAAAAATTAGGAGACACATCTCGGGGTCATATAATGCCGATTGGAACCATATATGACCACTATATGTTGTCATAAATGTCCGTGGTAGGCTTGAGTCTGTTAAATCAGTGCAAGTTGTAAATTGGTTAATTGACCGCTTAAAGGTATATCGGATGGTTCTACCCACCCAATTAAAATCCCGGAGAATATCAAGGAACATGATTAACATCTCAAAAAATTTTAATTCCGGGCGAAAAAAAAGTCTTAAGAGTAAAAAATTGAGGCTACAAATACACATTTTTAAGGAATTTTGGAGGTTTCAGGACTCAGTGTCGAAAAATCTTGAGAAATTAGGGGACACATCTCGGGGTCATATAATTCCGATTGGAACCATGTATGACCATTATATGTCATCAAAAATGTATGTGGTAGGCTTGCATCTATATGAAATCGGTGCAAGTTGTAAACTGGTTAATTGACCGTTTAAAGGCATATTCGATGGTTCCACCAGCCCAATTAGACTCGCGGAGGATATTAGGGAACATGGTAATCATTTCGGCAATTTTTATATAATTATTTCCGGGCGCAAAAAAAGTCAAAATGTCAAAAATTGAAGGCAATAATACACGTTTTTTTTAGGAATTTTAGAGGTTTCGAGACTCGGTGTTGAAAAGTCTTGAGAAATTAGGGGACACATCTCAGGGTCATATAATGCCGATTGGAACCATATATGACCATTATATGTTGTCATAAATGTCTGCGGTAGGTTTGAGTTTATGAAATCGGTGCAAGTTGTAAACTAGTTAATTGACCGTTTAAAAACATATTGGATGGTTCCACCCACCTAATTAGACTCGCGGAGGATATTAGGGAACATGGTAAACATCTTGTCAATTTTTTTTCAGGGCGAAAAAAGTCAAAAATTTCCAAAATTAAAGGCTATAATACACGTTTTTTAGAGAATTTATGAGTTTCGGGACTTGGTGACGAAAAGTCTTGAGAACTAGGGGACACATCTCGGGGTCATATAATGCGGATTGGAACCATATATGACCATTATATGTTGTCATAGTTGTCTGTGGAAGGCTTGAGTTTATGAAATCGGTGCAAATTGTAAAGGGGTTAATTGACCGTTTAAAAGCATATTCGATGGTTCCACCCTCCCAATTAGACTCGCGGAGGTTATTAGGGAACATGGTAAACATCTCAGCAATTACTATTTTCGGACGAAAAAAGTCAAAAATGTCTAAAATTGAAGGCTATAATACACGTTTTTTAAGAAATTTTGGAGGTTTCGGGATTCGGTGTCGAAAAGTCTTAGAGAAATTAAGGGACATATCTTGAATTAATATAATGCCGATTGGAACTATATATGACCATTATATGTTGTCATAAATATCTGTGGTAGGCTTGAGTTAATGAAATCGATGTAAGTTGTAAACTTGTTAATTGACCGTTTAAAGGCATATTGGATGGTTCCACCCACCCAATGAGACTCGCGGAGGATATAAGGAAACATGGTAAACATCTCAGCAATTTTTATTTCCAGGCGAAAAAAAGTCAAAATGTCCAAAATCGATGGCTATTATACACGTTTTTTGAAAAATTTTGGAGGTTTCGGGACTCGGTGTTGAAAAGTCTTGAGAAACTAGGGGACACATCTCGGGGTCATATATTTCCGATTAGAACCATATATGACCCTTATATGTTGTCATAAATGTCTTTGGTAGGCTTGATTTTATGAAATTGGTGCAAGTTGTAAATTGGTGAATTGACCGTTTAAAGGCATATTGGATGGTTCCACCCACCAAATTAGACTCGTGGAGGATATTAGGAAATATATTATACATCTCGGCAATATTTTATACACGTTTTTTTAGGAATTTTGGGGGTTTCGGGACTCGGTGTCGAAAAGTCTTGGAAAACTAGGGAATACATCTCGGGGTCATATAATGTCAATTGGAACCATGTATGACCGTTATATGTTATCATAAATGTCTGTGGTAGGCTTGAGTTTATGAAATCGATGCATGTTGTAAAAAAAATTGGTTAATTGCCCGTTTAAAGGCATATTGGATGGTTCCACCCACCTAATTAGACTTGCGGAGCTCATTAGTGAACATGGTCAACATATCGCCAATTCTTATTTCCAGGCGAAAAAAAGTAAAATATGTCCAAAATTGAAGGTTATATAATACACGTTTTTGGGGGAATTTTGGAGGTTTCGGGACTCGGTGTCGAAAAGTCTTGAGAAACTAGGGACACATATCAGGGTCATATTATGCCAATGTGAACCGTATATGACCATTATATGTTATCATAAATGTCTGCGGTAGGCTTGAGTTTATGAAATATGTGCAAATTGTAAACTAGTTAATTGACCGTTTAAAGACATATTGGATGGTGCTACTCACCCAATTAGAGTCACGCAGGATATTGGGGAACATGGTAAACATCTCGGCAATTTTTATTTTCGGGCGAAAAAAAAGTAAAAAATGTCCAAAATTAAAGGCTATATATAATACACGTTTTTTAAGGAATTTTGGAGGTTTCGAGATTCGGTGTCGAAATGTCATGAGAAATTAAGGGACACATCTCGGGGTAATATAATGCCGATTGGAACTATATATGACCATTATATGTTGTCATAAATGTCTGTGGTAGGCTTGAGTTAATGAAATCGATGTAAATTGTAAACTTGTTAATTGACCATTTAAAGCCATATTGGATGGTTCAACCCACCCAATTAGACTCACAGAGGATATTAGGGAACATGGTATACATCTCGGCAATTTTTATTTCCGGGCGAAAAAAAGTCAAAAACGTCCAAAATTGAAGGCTATTATACACGGTTTTTGAGAAATTTTGGAGGTTTCGGGACTCGGTGTCGAAAATCTTGAGAAACTAGGGGACACGTCTCGGGGTTATATATTGCCGATTAGAACCATATATGACCCTTATATGTTGTCATAAATCTCTATGGTAGGCTTGAGTTTATGAAATCAGTGCAAGTTGTAAACTGGTTAATTGACCGTTTAAAGGCATATTGGATGGTTCCACCCACCTAGTTAGACTCGCGGAGCTTATTAGGGAACATGGTATACGTCTCGGAAATTTTTAGTTCCGGGCGAAAAAAAAGTCAAAAATGTCCAAAATTGAAGGCTATATAATACACGTTTTTTGGGGAATTTTGGAGGTTTCAGGTTTCGGTGTCGAAAAGTCTTGAAAAACTAGGAGACACATCTTGAGGTCATATAGTGCCAATGGGACCATATATGACCATTATATGTTATCATAAATGTCTGTGGTAGGCTTGACTTTATGAAATAGGTGTAAGTTGTAAACCGGTTAATTGACCGTTTAAAGGCATATTGGATGGTTCCACCCACCTAATTAGACTCACGGAGAATATTAGGGAACATGGTAAACATCTTGGCAATTTTTATTTTCGGGCGTAAAAAGTAAAAAATGTGCAAAATTGAAGTCTATTATACACGTTTTTTGAGAAATTTTGGAGGTTTCGGGACTCGGTGTTGAAAAGTCTTGAGAAACTAGGGGACACATCTCGGTATCATATATTGTCTATTAGAACCATATATGACACCCTTATATGTTGTCATAAATCTCTGTGGTAGGCTTGAGTTTATGAAATAGGTGCAAGTTGTAAACTGGTTAATTGACCGTTTAAAGGCATATTGGATGGTTCCACCCACCTAGTTAGACTCGCGGAGGTAATTAGGGAACATGGTAAACATCTCGCCAATTTTTATTTCCAGGCGAAAAAAAGTAAAAAAATGTCCAAAATTGAAGGTTATATAATACACGTTTTTTGGGGAATTTTGGAGGTTACAGGACTCGCTGTTGAAAAGTCTTGAAAAACTAGGGGACACATCTTGGGGTCATATAATGCCAATTGGAACCATATATGACCTTTATATGTTATCATAAATTTCTGTGGTAGGCTTGACTTTATGAAATAGGTGCAAGCTGCAAATTGGTTAATTGATCGTTTAAAGACATATTAGATGGTTCCACCCACTCCATTGGACTCTCAAAGGACATTAGGGAACATGGTAAATATCTCGGCAATTTTTATTTCCGGGTGAAAACAAGTCAAAAATGTCCAAAATTAAAGGCTATAATACATCTTTTTTTTGAGGAAATTTTGAGGTTTAGGGACTAGGTGTCGAAAAGTCTTGAGAAATTAGGGTACACATGTCGGGTTCATATAATAACGTTTGGAACCATATATAAGCATTATATGATGTTGTCATTAACGTCCGTGGTAGGCTTGAGTTTATGAAATCGGTACAAGTTGTAAACTGGTTAATTGACCGTTTAAAGGCATATTGGATGGTTCCACCCATTCAATTAGACTCCCGGAGTATATAATGGAACATGGTAAACATCTCGGCAATTTTTAATTCCGAGCGAAAAAAAGTTTGAAATGTCCAAAATTGAAGGATATAATACACATTTTTTGAGTTTTTTTAAGGTTTTGAGACTCGGTGTCGAAAGGTCTTAAAAACCTAGGGGACACATCTCGGGGCCATATAATGCCATTTGGAACCATATATGACCATTATATGTTGTCATAAATGTTCGTGGTAGGATTTAGTTTATGAAATCGGTGCAAGTTGCAAACTGGCTAATTGATCGTTTAAAGCTATATTGGATGGTTCCACCCACCCAATTGGAATCTCGGAGGATATTATATATGGAGCATGGCAAATATCTCAACAATTTTTATTTCCGGGCTAAAACAAGTAAAAAATGTCCAAAATTGAAGGCTAAGCTATATGCGTTTTTTTTGAGGAATTTTGGAGGTTTCGGGTCTCGATGTCGAAAAGTCTTGAGAAACTAGGGGACGCATGCCAGGGTCATATAGTACCGTTTGGAACCACGTATGACCATTATATGTTGTCATAAATGTCCGTGGTAGGCTTGAGTTTATGAAATCGGTGCAAGTTTTAAACTAGTTAATTGATTGTTTAAAGGACTATTGGATGGTTTCACCTACCCAATTAGACTCCCGAAGGATATTAGGGAACATGGTTTAACATCTCAACAATTTTTATTTCCGAGCGAAAAAAAGTCACAAATTTCTAAAATTGAAGGCTATACACGTTTTTTGAGGAATTTTTGAGGTTTCGAGACTCGGTGTTGAAAAGTCTTGAGAAATTATGGGACATATCTCGGGGTCATGTAATGTCGTTTTGAACCATGTATGACCATTGTATGTTGTCATGAATATCCGTGGTAGGATTGAATTTATGAAATCTGTGCAAGTTTTAAACTGGTTAACTGATCGTTTAAAGGCATATTGGATGGTTCTATCCACCCAATTGGACTCGTGGAAGATATTAGGAAGCATAGTAAACATATCGGCAATTTTTATTTCTGGGCAAAAAAAAATGTCAAAAATGTCAAAATTGAAGGCTATAATATACATTTTTTGAGGATTTTTGGAGGTTTTGGGGCTCGGTGTTGAAAAGTCTTCATAAATTAGGAGACATATCTCGGGGTCATAAAATGCAGTTTGGAACTATATATGACCATTATATGTTGTCATAAATGTTCGTAGTAGGCTTTAGTTTATAAAATCTGTACAAGTTGTATACTTTTTATAAAACACCGAACCGAAGTAAACTGGTTAATATACTTTTTAAAGGCTATTGGATGGTTGTATCAACCAAGTAGATTCCCCTGGTGTATTAGGATCCATGTAAGTATGTTGATGATTAAAAAAAAATTAAATTAATATGTTATTTTAAAACGTCTCTCATGACGTGCATTAAAGCATGCGATGTGCACACATCAGCTTTCATGCCACTAGATTTGCACACCTTTGTCTAGTTACCTAATTATGTTTTGATGCGCATTTATGTTCAATCATGTTGATTTGGTATTCCTTTTGCTAATTAAGTACTTTAATATGCCCTAATTTAGCTAAGTTAACATTGAATATAAGAGAATTTAATGTTCACTTCATTAATGAGCGTTACAAACTTACAAATATGTCTTAATTGAATACAATTGAATGTATGATAGAATCCACCTTTAGACGCCACTGAACTATTTAGTCATGCTGGTCATCCACTTCATTATTGTTAAGATTTACTAACTTTTTTGTCCATTTATATGTCATAGTTGAGCTATATCCAAATTTGCATTGTGGGTTAATCCTTAAACAATTCCTAAAATAGATAATCCATGTGTATGGAAATTGATTGGTGTCAAGTGTCAACCAAACAACTTATAAATCAATCAAACTGAAAGAATCCATCTTTAATTGCAGAATGTAATAAAGTTTCATGTACATTTGTGAGAAACAAAATGACAACATAATTCTAACCAAAAACTAAGACCTAAAATAGTAAAATTTTATCAAACTACCACCATTGATGAACAAGTACTCCTCTATCTCTTAAAAAAGACAAGAGATTAAGACATTGATCATATGTTTTATCATACTTAGGACTTCTAACACCAGGACAACATTTTTGCCATCGATTATAATGACATTCTAAGAAAATCTCATCAATTAAACAGAGTGCCCCTGTTTCAATCAACCTTGGAATCAATTGAAACTCTGTTCCTTCAACATCCATTTTCACCACTACAAAATCTCTTTCCTCAAATTCACCTTTCAACCACTCTGCAAAATCAAATCCCCTTATTTGATCGACACTTCCCTCGAAATTTATTGACGATTGCACCGGTTGAATCCTCCCCATTCCTCTGTTTGCCTCGATCATTTTCTTTGTGGGTTCTCTGTTAATTTCAAAGAACAATGTCTCATTCCTCACCCAAGCTGCATACGGCAGAAGCGTAACGCCTTTTTTAGCTTGTAATTCTCCGTGGAACGATTTATCAGCTTCGATTGCAAAAACTTCAAATGTTTTGTTCTGTTTTGGGTATCTTTTGTTAAACCAGCTACCAATGCTGGAGCCATAGCTTCGAGACCCGACATCGATGTAAGCGTATCGAGGCTTGAAGCTTATATCAACCATCGAAGTCAGATACTTTACATTCTTCAAGTTCCTCTTCAATGTAATCCAAGGTTTCAATGGCTCTTTCTGAATCAAAGGCTCCGAATTATTGATCAATTGAATACTATACCCAGAAACAGAGCATTGTTCAATTGAATCTTTTCGATCAATTTTATGAATTGGAATAATGGGTTTCTTCAAAATAATCTCACGAATTGAAGGAATCGAAGGGTTAGGACCAGGAATATCACGACCCTTAACAAAACTGCAGAAATCGAAAAGCTTAAGAATCGAATGAAAGGCGTAAAAATCTTTGATTTGTGTGTGAATTACAAGAATCCCAGATGGTTTAAGCTTTCTTTCAATCTCTAAAACAAAACCCAGAAGGGGAATCGAAGAGGGGAGATCAAATTTATGAAAAAACATAAAATCAAAAAATTGATCAGAAAAGGGGAGATGAGAAGATACAATTTCAGAGGAAAGACTAAAAGATTGAACAATGCCTAGGTCTTTGAGAGCAATAATGTGGGATGAATTAAGACAAAATGCGGAAGAATTAGGAGAGAGAAATCCATGGATGATGAAATCTTGAAAGATTTTGCAGTAAAATTCATATTCATTCGAAGCGCGGAAGTTGGGAAGAATGGTGATTTGGGTAGAATGTTGTTGGGAAGAAGATGGAGTATTTGAGAAGAAACAAAAATTGGTGGAAGAAGAAAGATTGCAGAAATCTCCATTGAAGGAAATGATGAAGATGAAGCGTAAAAGGAAGAGGAAGATGAAGAAGATTAGAAGACGAAGGAAGATGTTTTTCACAGAATTTGGCTTCATGTTTGTTGTTAATGACGATTTTTGGGGTAGTTTGTGTAATTGTAGCATTTGGCGCGAGAGTCTGGAATGATATAATGTGTGTTTAGATAAATTGGGGAGGAAATGAAATGTTTTGGGTTTGATTCTATTGCCATTTATGATATTGGCCCATGTTATCCAATTTTGAAGATTTGGGTTTGACCCAATTGCTACAATCATTTGTACTTGAATAACCAATAAACCATCACATAAGGTAAATTGTGCAATTAAATATGTAATAGGTAAAGTATCTTGCTATTTTTAGCAAAAAAAAATCAAGATTTTTTTTTTTCTTTTTTTTGACAAAGGTTAAAGGAAAGAAATCTAATACATATTACTACTAAAGCAAATAAAAAGAACTGCAGCCTCTCCTTATCTCCTACAATCTGGTGAGCCCTATGAACACGATGTCTATCTGCCTTGTAAATACCACAGGGTTGAAAGGTGGATCCAAGACGTTGTATCCGTTGTACTAAAATTTCAAGACTTGGCAACAAAGTATCTCTTGGTTTGAAACTTAAAATGTTTATAAAATTCTAAGCAAGTAAATGTGTAGTTTAACTATGGATGATATGCATTGAGTTTGTAATATGGTTTAAGCAAGTAAATGTATATTTTGACTCGTATGGACACAATAAAGAATATGACTCAAGTTTAAAAAAAGACCCTGAATTGATCTCACAAAACCCGACCCGGATAAACCAAATTGACACATCTAGTTATTTGGAGGAGAAACTTTAAAATAAAAAAATTCCATGATGAAATAATTAGTGTTGTAATTATTTACAAAACGGACGAAAGAGACAAGTGTGGTAAACCTGTAACTATTCAATAAAGACCAAAAGGACAAACCAAAATTAAAATGAGAAATACATAAACCAGACTAATAAAGGAATAATCCATACTTTGTACTCTTTCAATCCCTTATTTTTTTGTTCCATAGAGGTAAATGAGATAATGTGACTTTAGTTTTAGGTTGGGAAAAAAATGATAAAGAGAAAAGTGATGGGGTTAATGAGACAGTTGTATTGTGAGAATAAATATATAATTTCATATCCCAAAAATTGAATGAGATAATAAAATTAAAAGAACGACTACAAAGGAAATTGGGGAATAAAATAAGGGACGGAAGAAGTTGTATTTAATAATACATCAGAGTAGTTTGTTAACAGATTAGACAAACAAATAACAAATTAATTAATGTGTTAGATTGAGATAACAACTCACCGACTATGTACTATATTGAAGTATTGATGATGATGAGATAATGTTATTGAATAATTAGGGTAGGCTCTATTTGTACGTCTAGAGAAGAAAAAATAAAGGAGGTTGATCATTAAATACGCTAAAGAGACCCTCACCAACGTGACATGTAATTTCCTTAGCCTTCTTTATCTTTTTGTATATGTCACTGCTGATGTAACAACGTGTCATCACTAATACAGTAATTTAAAGCTCATGAATCATGCTTTTAGAGTTTTAATCACCTACTAATTAAGCTCACTTTAGCTAATCTCTCTTCCTTATTTTTTGGTAATTGATTATTAGATTGAAGGATTCTGCTTCCATATGCAATATTGATTGGTTGTTTTCATCTAACACATGCATCATTTTGTTTTAATCCTTTTCTGGTACTCCAATTAGATGCTCCCACATTTATAGTTAGCTTTAAGTTTGACTATATTTGCAATATTCATATTCAATACCAATACCGGCAATATTCAATATGTATGGTAATGACTAAGGAGTAGTATTAAACACAGAATGACACGCACTTTAAAAGCAAATGTTTGTTTTAGAGTTTACGATTTTTTAGGTTTTTAGAGTAACGTACGATTTTTTAGGTTTCTAGAGTCACGTACAATTATTGAAAACCAGACACATCATGTATACTTTTTGATCGAAATGCTGATAAAATGTAATGTGTATCCCCTTCGATAAAGTAATCGTTAATCGAAATGTTGATAGAATGTAGTGTGTACTCCCTTCAATAAATATAATCAAGAACAATGGCTATAATAAGTATTTTAAGCTGTGACTGAGTCTGTGAAAACTTTCTTCCAACAATTATGAGTAGTTTGTGTAATTTTGGAAGACAACTACTTTGTACGTTCTCTTTGTCCCAAAAAAAAAAAAAAACAAAAACTAGTTTGTACGTGTGATAGACTTGGGGTGAATTATGATCAGCAAGTTGAAATGGACCTACTTTTTTTTTCTTTTTTTTTTTTTTTTTCTTTTTTTGACGAAATGGACCTACTTATTATGGGAAACCAAATCAAAGTATTAGTCATCGGTCAAATATTGGTGATCCCACTAAACAAAAAAATCTGGATCATCATATTTTAATATATGTCAAAGTGAACAAATAGATATAAGCTCATCAAGAACATTAAAAAGGCAAACAAATTTTAATACAAAAATGTTCACTTTTACTGTTTTACAATAGATTTAGTTATAATTAATACGGCCTTTGAACCAAAATCAAAGGATTAGAAGGAAAAGAATATTTGTTTACTTTTGGATTTTGATAATCCTTTACCAATTACAAGTATACAACATCCAAGTAATCAGTCACTTTTATTTTGCTTTGACTATGACTCTGGGCTTCCTCACTTCTCAGCTCCCATGATGAGTTGCTGAAGTGCATTCCCTCTCATATTGTCATAACCGGAGATAGAGTCATTAATCATATAGTCGATGATGATACTTTGTTTGGAAATAATAGTCACGTAAATTATTTATTATGTTTAAAGAGATCAATAAAATTTCATACTTAGATTTGAGTAATCACATACAGTACTTTTACATTACTAAATTTGTTTTACGCTCTCAATTAAGGATTGAGACAATCTAATTAATTATAGTAACTTATTTATGAACAATAGATTATTAATTAGTTAAAAAAACCACAACCATCGAATCACCTATTAATATTACGTATCTTCAAACCCTACATCAAAGTCGAGTTTTTAATGTCAAATGGTGGTGCATTTCCCAGCTCGGGCCGTTGAATCAGTATGCAAGACGCTTGATTCCACCGGACAAGAATCAAAGTGACGCATAGTGAGTTTTACTCTAACGACATCATGCACTTACACTACTTTCTAATCCTTTTCCCATTAAATTAAAGGTTGTCTCTCTTTTGGTTGGAATTTGACTAGCACAGCCAAATTCATGCAATCTACTCTGACCAAGTTCACATTAGAATCAATGTTTCCTTTTCAGATACTTCGTGCAAAATAACATTGTCAATTAGCCCTTTGAAGCCAACTATAAGACAAGTCAAAGAATCCCAAGTCTTCTTCATACAAGTATGTATGTAGTGTTACTATAATATTGTAGGACCATGGTAGTGTATAGTAGTACGCATTGAGTTAATAGAAAACTTCCCTCCAATTAAGCTCCATTGCGTAGCGTAACATGCGGGTATAAGTCATCCTAAACAGTTATGGTTTTCCTCTTTTGGCTTCATCGAGGAACTCCTAGTTGATCCCTGAATCGTATCCTCTTGGTCAGCTCTCGGATGTTTTTAATCCAAACTACCCTCCTGATAAAGTAAGGAAACTTCTAAGATATTTCTACATAAATATCAAAATTTGCCTTCAAATCGGAATAAAAATCTAATTTATGAGAGTGTTTTATCGTTGCTCCTACCCCTCGTAGTGTATTAAATAAGCCTTATGAAATACGGAGTATGATACTATAAATTCCATCTGGTGGCAGGCTGACAGCCACAAATCAATAGGAGGAGAAAAAGTCAGTGAAAAAAAGTACTAAAATCAATCCTGTTTATACATACAATTTCATGTATACAATATACAATAAGGCATTTTTGGCCTAAACTCCTGTATGTCATTTCTGTGTACACTCCTATATAAACAAATAAACAAACCAACCATGTTGAATACAATAAACAAATGAATCTTGATCTTTTTTTTGTCAGTAAAAACTAATACTACTAATTTCCTCTTAGTAAAAATTTCCTCTGACCCCCTAAAAAACTAAGAGGCAAAATATACTGTATAATCTTTCAGCAATGCAACGACTCAAAAAGCACGTCTTCTTTTGGTTCCTCCTTGGCTCTAGCAGTAGTAGTAGTTGTTGCTGTTGTAGTATTACCAGAAAACATGTTATTGTCTGAGTATTGAGGTTGATTTAAGTACCCTGAGAACCCGAAATTCCCAGTGTTCTGCAGCAGCTGTAATGTAAAGGGAGATAATGGTCCAGCACCTTCGAAAGATGAGGGCATTACTTGATTAGTCTGGTAAGAGTGGCTGTTGCCTGCATTCGAACTCATATAGTTCACAGCCGATGGCCTTATAGCCATAGCGGGCACTGCACCATTGTTAGGAGGCGCGACTGCCCTGCTCATTCCACTGCCACGAGCAGCAGGAACGTCATGATTGTGCTTTCCTTCATAGGTTGTGATCACTGCCCTCAGATCATGAGCTGCCCGTTCCACGTGTTTCCTCACCGGGCAATTGGGGTGAGTGCACTTGTAGTAGCTCCTGTAATCAATTTGGCATCATAAGTCAGATAATGTGACAGCAAGTATCTTGAAAAGTGGAGTAACTATTAAGTATGAACTGAACTTCAACTAATTGAATTAGGCCTAATAAAGATAGAATCAAAATGACAATAGTGGTTACCAGCCAAACACTAATCAAAGATCCCGGATTATATCAAATTAATGATACTTATAATTAGCAAAGTAATGAAATTAAAGCCATTCCATCATCATTATTCGTCAATATGGAAATTTTTTATTCCTATACCCAAAATGCATCAAAAAGGCAGACAAATTTCAATACAAAAATGTTCACTTTAAATATACTAAAACTAACCAAAATTCAATTGAGCTTTTTGAACAAAAAACAAATGAATGGTATTAAAAAGGGAAAGACTATGAATTTACCTTGGATTTGGATTTCCCTTGACAACTTTCTGACCATATTTCCTCCACCTATATCCATCATCCAAGATATCAATATCACTTGTTGTTTGAACTACTACTCTCGGCTCTCTCACTGCTCTACTCCCTGGTGCTGCTGACATACATTCATTCTCCACTTCCCCTCTCCTAATTTCACATAAACAAATCAAATAATTAGCATTTGTCGTAGACGGGATTAATCCCAATACTTTAACCGACTAAGTCAGTTGAAATTACATAAAAGTAAAATAACTTGAAATCATGAAAAGTAGGTTAAAAGGTATACCATCTTTTAGCCTCAGGTTGATCAACATCATCAAGATCAGTCCCAGCTGATCTACTCCTCTGAGAACCCACCTCATCATCAGCCATCGAAATCGACGAATTCTCCGGTGTAGCAACGGAGTCCATCTGTCCCGATGATGATTTCTGTGGACCAAATGAATGATCATGGTAATCATTGGATGATTGAGGAACAGAACCCTGCTGAAAAGCTGCAGAAACAGCAGAAGCAGAGGATCTTCTGGTATTAACAGGCTTAGGATGATTATGAGTACCCTTATAAACAATCTCAGTAATTTGACCATCAATTCCCCTTTCAATCTTCTTCTTCATTGGACAATTTGGGAATGTACACTTGTAATAACTCCTTGGATTTTCACTCCCTTTTACCTGTTTTTGCCCATATTTTCTCCAATTATACCCATCTTCTGATTTTCTTTGTTCTCTTATATATTGAGCTGGTTGGAATGATGGATTTTGTTCACCTTCATATTGAACAACGTTTCCCTGATTGTAACTCTCACTAGGATACTCCGATTTCACCATCGTTGTAATCGAATTCGATGATTGCTCATTGTTTTGCTTGTTTTGATCTCCAAAATTCCATGATTGTTGTTGGGTTAGTGGTGGTGGTTGTTGGTTTTCCCTTCCTCTTATAGCCTGTTCCTGAAAAAAAAGTAAATATAAACAGCAAAGCTTTTATCAACAACAACGCGTTTTTAAACTGAAAAAATGCTAAACGTAACCCCTTTAAAAAAACAACAAATACTTCATACATATCCCAAAAACGACACTCGATATAATAAACATTTAATTACACTGATTAACGCGTGATTGAAAATGAAACAAAAAAAAAAAAAAAACTTGCATTAATAAACGAAGGCATTGAAGATTGAAACATAGTAGATGAAACGTCATCAATAGGCTTCATTTGGGTTTGAAATGTAAAATCTGAATAATTGTTGTTCACATCTTCCTGTTTGTTGTTGGTGTTGTTGGTAACGTTGCTGCAATAAGATTTCCAGTTGGCAGCAAAAGCGCCAGTTGTTGGAGATGGTAACACCTACAAAATTTAACAAACCCCAAACAATAATTAATCATATATTTCATAATTAACCTTAAAATTATTAATGGGTTTTGTTTAAATCAATTATTTGTAATTAAAACTTACATTAGAAGAAGAGAGAAGAACAGGGGAGTCTAAGAGATCAGTAGGACTCAAACCAGGAGGAATAGCAAAGTAAGAAGAAGGTGAAATGGGAGGAGGTGAGATGGGTATCGAAGGAGGTGGTAACGACTTGAATTTGGGAATACCCGACCCAGTTCGATCAGCGATGCGATCGGATAAGCTCCGATTGGCGGCGGTGAGGCTGGAGTTGTCGGAGGAGACGGCGGCGGCGCCGGAGTTGAGGAGGTCGGTGAAAGAGGACATGAAATTGTAACTGTTGTTGTTGTTGTTGTTGTTGTTGTGATTGTTGGTGTCTAAGGTGGCATTAGAGAAGCCCATAGCCCATGTAATGAAAGAGAGAGAAAGTTAAGTGAGAAGGATGAGATGATGAAATGGGTAAGAGAGAGAAAATTGTGACAAGGTAGAAAGGGAGAGACTTTTATAGGGTTCAATGAAATACAAAATTACAAAATGGGCTGCTGAGTCTTGTGAGATTTTTATGCTGTGATTTTTTCATGTGAGTTGATCTTATAATTTATTTTTTTTTTAAATTTCGACATGAGTATTTAGTATTGCGGTATAAAGTTTGTACGGAGTAACTAAATTATACGGAGTACTTGTTTGTCTCACAAAAATGGTTAAAAAAAAAAAGGATAGCTGGATAAGTCTCCAAGAAATATATTACAGTACGAAGTACGGAGTACAAAATTAATGGATCAGAAGTATTGATTATAATAATTTAAAAAATTATATAAAGTTGAGTATAAATTCATGTTATATTATCTTATGGTAAGAAAACTGAAATTTGTTGATAAACTTGACTCAAAAATAATGTGAAATCAAAAATAATGTGACTCAAAAAATAGGTTGGTGGTTTATTTTTTTATTATTATTTAATTATGTAGAATATTCAAAATGAGAAATAAGCATTTTAATCAAGGAAATAATGTATTGTAAGCAGTACAATAATGAATGCAAGTAAAACAATAAATCTCGATTTGAGGATTTAGGTAAGTACTCCGTACTACGTAATAATAATGTGAATTCACACAAAGTAGTTAATACATGTGCATCTTTTTAAATGTTAAACTCCGATTAATTGAATTAAACATAAAAGACTCCGTATATTATAATCTCAATTAATGTTGAAGTATTGATACTTGTGTTAAAGTCTTGAGATTCATGTGAATGCCAAAGCAACTTACGGAGTACAAAAATTTAAATTTTTTCTCTAATTTATTAATTATAATATCTACTCTATATCAAATATACGTACATAGTATAAAAAGTTTGAATAATTTAGACTAGTAATAAAGAAAAATTACGAGTAATAAAGCTTAATTAGACTACCCAAATGAACGGTAAAATACGATATTTGGTAGGCATAATAGTAGTTGATAATAAAATAAAAAAGGGTGGTGTAAAAGGGTCACGTAACGCGCAAGGAAAAGGCTATAAGAAGGGTTGGCATCTTCTAAGAAGGTGATGAGGCATTTGACCGTGGAATTCCCACGGCAATAACACTTAAAATGAAAATAAAATAAAGGAAAATAAAAAAATATGAAAGAGACTAAACTGGTCAAAACATGTGGGTTTGACTGGATTGGTGATTAGGATACAAATACAATCACGAAGCAGACATTAGAGGCGGCTCACTAAGATACGAATACAATTATACTTACCACAACACATAAAAAAAAGAGACAAATTAATGGCTAACGTCCCATAATTTCTGGGTGGGACCCTTTTTCATACTGTGGCTTCTTCCTATTGGCTATCCCACAACATCTCTCCTTTTTTTTCTCCCAAATTCCAATTTGTATAACTGTAACATTGAGAGATTCTGAAGACATTTTGCTACGTCAAGAGTAACCTGAAATCGAGAAAAAAAAGTTATAAATAAATCATACTATTCCATATTGTTTTAGTTAACTAGTAAAAATGTGGGAAAAGAACATAGATATCTTGGTACTTACAGCTGAGCCATATGCCAATATGATCTCTCTCAGGGATCTAGCACCTCTAGTCAAATTGGCTAAACCAGTGTGACTGATGTTCTGACGGTTGGATAAATCGAGTGTCTATTGAAGTGATAAGATGGATAAAGAGCATAATAGAGGGTTAAAATCAGAAACTAGACAAACATGTAGGTATCAAGTAAGGAAATGATCTGGATCACAAGAAATTACAGACCTTCAACATAGAGTGACCTTTGTCAAGTAAACCAAGTCCCTCATCATCAATGCCAAGACACCCCACTAACACTAGATCTTCCAGAGAAGATAGCTGCAATATAGGCTTAAGGCTTTTCTCTGTAATCTGTTATACATGTAAATAAGGATAAGTGTCTTTCAAGTACTAAAAGTGTTCCTAAATAAGAATCATTACATACATAAGTATAATTATAAACAATAAAGTCTATATAAACATGCATAGCCCAATAACATTAGAATGCAAAAAATTATGACTAATCATCAAGAATATCACTTAATCAACCAAAATCATAATTACTACTTAAAAATACTGTAGTATTTGTCCACTTAACCAACTTTTTCATCCCACTTAAGTAATGCCACTTTGAATTTCCAATATAACACTCCCACAGTCCCATTTTGATCTTCTTACACAAAGCCAAAACTTTGCAAATAAATTCTCTCCATAATCTATGCATAAAATAACCAGAGTCCTTGACACTCTAGTGGGACCCTATTGGTACTAACTCGTACGTTGTTGGTAGTCTTGGTACCAAACTTGGTATCTCCAGGGTCCAACCGTCCACTGAAGTTATCAAAGACTCACATAACTCTTACATACACGGAAAAACATAGTCACGTGACATGGTAACGTATTAAAATCAGTTTACATATTAAAAAACGGGACGCTTAAAATGACAATCACAAAGATAAAAATATAGGAGAAAAGCAAATACCGGAACATAAGAAAGATCCAAAGAGCAAAGGTCCTTGCATTTAAGGGCAAGAAGACCAACCCCTAAATCAGTAACCCTTAAACACCATTTCAAACTAACCCTCTTCAATTTCTTACAACCAACAGCAATACACCCAATACCCATATCAGAAACCCGTTTACATCTCACCATTACCAACCTCTCCAAGTTCTGTGCCCCAGCAATGGCGGCAGCAGCAGAGTCACTAAGCTCAGTACCATTACTAAGATCCAACTCCACCAAATTCGGGCATTTTGATACCAGTTCCGAAACCCCTGACCCGGTTACAAACCTACACAAAGTAAGCTTAATGGACCGCAAAACGGGTCCCAAAGACGACGTCGTTTGGATCTGGGTATCAGTGATTCGAGGGCAGAGAGAGAGGTCGAGATGAGAGAGAAACGGGTAACGACGAAGGACGCAAGGGAGGAATTCGGGTCGGAGGAGTTTGGCGGATCTTCGGTGTTGGTATTCGGCGGAGTGGAATGATTTTGAGGAGAGAGAAAATGATTTAACAGCAAGGTGGTCGTCAATGGAGAGATGATCGAGGATTATGAAGAGGAGTTCTTTGTTGAGGAGGTCGAAGGGGTTGTTGTTGTTGTTGTCATGCTTCATTGATTTCGCCATTGAAGGATTGGAGGAGAGAGAAAATGAAGGAAGAAGTACAGTAGTTGATAATTATAGAAGAAAAATGGTTGAAAATTATATGGAGGATAATATTATTTGTTGGGAAGAAGGTGGTAAGTGGGAGAGGGTGTGATATCATCTGGGGCAGACCATATTTGAGGAAATTAAAGTACTACCAAATAGGGGTGAGCAAAAATTCCGGGTACCCGGAATTGGAACCGGAACTGGTTAGGAACCGGCAGGTTCGGAACCGAGATTGGACCCGGTGGTTCCAATTTCGGGTAATAAATTAAGGACCCGGTTATAACCAATTCCAATTCCAATTCTCAACTTTTTGGACCCGGAACCGGTTGGGTACCCGGTTACCCAATATATCCTAAATTAAATAAACTTTAAATAATAAAAATATGTTAAATGTATCTAATTTGTACAATAAAAAAAGTATTATTAATACCTAACATGAATACAAATAGCTTAATGCATATATAAATATAAGTATTAAACACTAATAATGATACTAACTAAAATAAGAATTATAATTTGTATTATATTTTAACAATTACATACATAAGTGGGTACCCGGAACCGGAACCGGTACCCATTGGTTCCAATTCCAATTCCTAAAATTTAGGACCCGGTTTAACCAATTCCAATTCCGGTTCCGAATTTTAGGACCCGGTTCTAACCAATTCCAAGTCCGGGTCCTAAAATTTTGACCGGGTACCTGGTTTGCTCACCCCTACTACCAAAGTACCAAGTGCATATTCTAGTACGGTATTTTCTATAAATAAAATTTTTTAATGACCAAATAAAAAGTCTTAAGATTACCCTTTGATTAACGGCTAGAGTGATTTTAGTCTATGTATTCATATTGTATTTATTTTAACGAGGATCGAATTGATTTGTGAGAGATTCTGACCCTATAAAATCTTTCTCCTTATCTTTCGAAAAATAATTTGTGATGTATTTAAATGAATTAATCAAGTACAAGTAATATGTTATATGAATGATTGATAATGTTATTATTCTGAAAATTACGCGAGTGATTTTATAAATGAAATAATATAAGAAAGGAATTTAAGGAATTGACAAGGGTTTCCTTATGTTTGTAATATTGACCTCTATTATCACTTTTATTAGATGAGAAAAATGGTTACTCCATATATCTAAACCAGTGCGGGTAACAGGATTATGCATTTTGTGGTTGTCAAATGATAACAAATGCTTGGAAAAGTATAAGAGTATTAGAGTACTCTTATAATCTACGTCGCCTAGTTGATTTCGACTTTGATGAGAGCAAGGTTCTTGCTTTGGGAGGGACAGTGAGAGACTCGTGTATGTGAATGGAAGTGCAAGGAAAACCGTAGTATATATTCTTCATGCGAAGCCACATTCACAAAGGGCTTATGTATGAGCTACATGGATCCATAGGTTGGGTGGATGCAAGGATGGCACAATAAGGATATATGACATGCATTCTTCACACGTTAGGCTGTGGGAGAGGACAAGCTGGTTCTCAAGTGGTGCATCTTATGGAGGCGCAAGTGTATTTAGTCTAATATCTAATCAGCTAATTGCTACGGAATGAATTAAAGTCCACTAATCTTTGAGGTGTAAAGACCTTGTGCGACAATCCCCATCCTACTAGTATTTGCTGGATCAACGAATTATGCAGCTTGTTGTGGAGTAACATACGATGCTATAGCAACTTGAAGCTTTTGACTATCTCCTTGAAAACAAACTAAGAGATTCCATTCACCATTAACCACAAAATTATCGACTAATCATGTGTAAAACGAGTTTTGGACAAACTGAAATATGTTTCTCGCTAATACTAGCTAGTTTATAACTATAGCTACTCAAAATCAGACCTTCTCATAACAGGTAACAGGATATCATCTGATGTACAGTTAACATAATGCAAGACACCTTTGAACAAAATTTGACACTTTTCTCTTTGCATCTTGCATATGGTAGAACTACACTCTACAGCTGCCATTGACAATCACACTCCCACAAAAGGGAACAGAATAAAATCATTTCTTAGCGTAAGTGATTTCCATGGGATTCTGTGGTGTAACTTTGAAGCCCTGAAGCGCCTGCATTGCTATTGCAGCTTCGTCCTCGTCGTCAAACTCCACAAAAGCAATGCCTGGCTTTGCTTCAATCATCCGCACTTCCCTGAAACCTGGATACTGTTGGAAAAGCATTTGCAGCATTATACTGGTTGTTTCATAGGGCAAGTTTTGTACAAACAAAATATTGTTTGGAGCTGCAGATTCCTGTGCACCAGTCTTGCGATTTGTAGCCTGTAATAGAAATAAAGCATTAACAATTAGCTTCAAACAATATAGAACAATACCCCCAGAACAGTAACAACAAGAACTAGTGACAGTGTGACACCAGTCATTCATGATAGTTCTAATACACTAACATAGCCATCCAAGGTTTTTCATAGAATTGAGAACTTTGTGAAGTGGGTAAGTGGCACCAAGTACTGTACACTAGAACTCTCCTTTCACTTGTCTCATCTTCATACTTCGTATATGTGTCTGACAATGAGCCAAACTTTTAAAATAAAATGGGCAAATACAGAGCAGAACTAACATCCTGGTTGTCAATAATTCAATATGAAATCATGACTAAAGATCTAGATCCGCTTGGCCAGGAAGCCACAGAATGTGGTAGAAACGCATAGGGCATGTAGTGGAAGAAGGCCCCAACAAGGACAAAAAACTACAGATGTGGTTAAGATAGTAATAATGTATGATAAGCAACCCAGAAGCAAAATTTGGTGCTTGTAAATAGCATATTATGGAGAACATAGCTTTTGGTCAACATCGCCAAGCCTTATTGGAAGTTGTTAGAACTTGCAGAACTTATCTAAAATATGTTGTTTTTAAGTGAAGAAAACAGAAATTCTGAGCAGTATACTTACAGATGGGCCACCATTGGTTTGAGAAGCATTTCCATTAGCAGCAGCACCTGTTTGGTCTTCTGGATGACGCTTCCTTTCACCTGGAGAAAGGAAAAAAATTATCTCAAAATCAGATAAAACTAGCCTCGTTCCGAGCTAGGAAAAAGTATTTAATGAATGGCTGATATGCCGCTATCTGAAGTCTACATAATAATTAATCTCCAAATCACAGTAGTAGCCAAAAACGCATGCTTCACTGATAATAATAGATATATTGCTAATGGATAACAGCTACTAAGCACACAAAACATACAAAAGGTCAAAATAAGGTTACTCAAACTTCAGAAAAACAAAGGTTTGACAGTATAAATTAAAGATCGTGAGTATGTGGGCTCTCAATGGGTAAATTATTTCATACATAAGCATAAGAGCATGCCATAACCTGCCACATGCCTCAAACAACACTCTTACAGTGAGGCAAGGAGATCAGTTACATAGAGAGAACATATTGGGACGTCTATATATATAGGAAAATTTGTCAAGAATAAGTCAACCTTTGCACAGTTAGCTTAAAATAAGTCAACCTTTCGACTAATTCAGAATAAATTGAATTTTAAGGGTATTAACTTTTAAGAAGTCAAATGACCTACAACTTATCAAACAAGTCACTTTCTTTCACATTTTATAATTAAAAATTATTTATTTTAGATAATCAGGCTATAAAAAAAATAAATAAAAAAAAAAGGGAAAACCCCACCCCTTCTTCTAACCAGCAACCCATCACCATCTCCAACCCCCCACCCAACCAGCCACCGTAGGAACCCCCCTCCTCTCGATACTTTTCTTTCTTTGCCCTCCCGCCAGGCCACTATCCCTTCCCCTAGAACACCGGCTGAACCCTTTGACTTCCCATCCCTAAACACCGGCATTCGTTGGCCGAGAGCAACCCAAAAGGCCAAAACCACGAACCCACACCAAAATTCAACCTGAAAACCACAGTACCCACCTCGATTCCCCACTGTAACCACCAAAACATCACCATATCTACCCCGAAATCAAACCATAACTACCTAAACTCACTCCATTCACCCCGAAAAATCCAACACTCACCCGAAAAAGCATACCACCAAAAAATTCGAAAAAATAGTGTAGGAGCGAAGGCGGCAATGGGAGGGGAGAAAGAGAAAGTGATCAACAGTGATCGGTGGGTGGGGGATGATTGGTTGTTGCTTGATTGGACTGATGTTGCCGGCACGAGAGGAAGGCGGTTGTGTTGTTCAATAGTGAGCAATCAGTAAAGAAAATTAAAACAAGGTAATTGAAAAGAAAAAAATTAATTAAAACTTTAAATTGAACCAATTATATTATGACATGTGGCATACTTAACCTAAACGACCGGTTAACCCTAAATCCAACAGGTCATACCATGTGGCATACTTAACCTAAACAACCGGTTAACCCTAAATCTAACAGGTCATACCATGTGGCATACTTAACCTAAAAAACCGGTCAACCCTAAATCCAACAGGGAGAGTGTGTCTAAACAACAGGTTAACCCTATATCCAACAGGGAGTGTGTGTATGTGTGTGTGTGTGTGTGTGTGTGTGTGTGTGTGTGTGTGTGTGTGTGTGTGTGTGTGTGTGTGTGCGTGCGTGTGTGTGGCACAAACATTCAGAAACATTCAGAAGATGATCCAGCCAACCAATGATCTCTTTCCAATCATAGAAAATTTCCCACAAAATATCTACTGATATTAGTTACAGATAAATTACAGATCTTGACTCTTGAGTATGTGAGCTCTCAATGGGTAAACTATATCATACATGACCATAAACTACCATATGCCTCAAACAGCACTCTTACAATGAAGCAAGGAGGTCAGTTGGATAACATATTGGTATGTGAAAGTACCTTTTTTTTTTGGATATTTTGCATGAATATTCACATAGTATCTAGCATGCATGTTACTTTCTCTCCTCGTGGCAACCACACACACACACACACACACACACACACACACAAAAAAAAAAAAAAGAGGGGGGGGGATCTACGGCTCTATGCAGGAGTGAGGTAATATTTAAAGTTTTCAAAAAACCTCAAAAGGACAATTTGAGGCAAATAACATAAATGCTTGGATGGCCAAGAATAAGCATATAGTAAAATAACCCAAGTAATACGTATTACATCCTGATATATATTAATTTTCCACTTTGTTTACCCTTTTTTCTGTTTTTTTATTCACAACATATCCAGCTTCTTATGATTACTGAAGCAGTGAAGGTCTGTACAACAACAATTGTTGTATTGCTCTAAGTTGTTCCAGCTAGTGGTTAGAAGTTAGCAATTAGAGATTAGTTGTCAAAAAAATTATCTTATAAACGTGTTCAGCACCAGTGCAAAATACCATAGATAAGCAACAAAAAAATAACAAATGTAATTATAGTAGATAACATGTGATGCATAAATAATAATAAAATAAATTTAAAGGAAAAAAACATTACTCCAAATTTTAATAGCTTTTCTTAGCACAACTCAACATTTTTAATAGCTTTTCTTAGCACAACTCCAAATTTTTAAGTAACTGCTAAAACATAACCATTACACTATTGGCTAGGTCAACACTAAATGATGCTCCTCATATAAAAAACTTATAAAAAAAACTCTAATTTCCACTCCAGAACCTAATGCCAAACACATGTCAAATACCTCAATACAACGTTTAAGCGCTCCTTACATTATGTACTAAACACCCAGATGCCTAATATTGGCAGATGAAGAAAGCTTAAAATAAATAAAAGCATAAAAAAAATTGACCCATATTTCACAGATCATAGGATGAGAGAAAGGAAAAGACAGAGTGTTTATGGTGTGTGAAGCAAACTGAGTATGCCCTTTGAAAGATAGAAGACTTTCTATGGATTCAATTTGTAGGGTTTGGAGTGGTGAAAAACAAGAAGTTGCTTTGGAGAAATGGAATGATTGGTAATAATAAGTAATATTTAGTACTTGGCTGGAGATAAATGGTCGCACTATTAATGGCGTATTGTCCCAACTTACCATGAGACAAAGTACATTTGTCAGCGTCTTCATGGATTAAGGCAATTGGGGCTTTCCAAAGCTACACAAATACACAATTAAGGACTTGCAAAGGAATTGGGCTAATTTGTATCAGTGTATAAAAAGGCGTGCTAAGGCGATCGGCGATTAGGGTAGAGTGCCTTTTTTGCTCTAGGCAAGGCACATTCAAAGAGGCAAACCTGAGGCGCACATAAGAAAATTTCTTCATCTGTTTTATATTGTGTGCCTCGCTTCAAAGAGGCGCGCCTCTAGGAAAAGGTGCAGCAAGACCTTCATCACCTCATTGTGCCTTGAGTTTTTTTATACATTGATTTGTATATATGTTAAATGTTCGATTCTAAGGACACCTTATCCTATTATTGTAATTCCTTTTTCCTCTCTCTCTCTCTCTCTCTCTCACACACACACACACACATACACACTCTTTATGGTTATTTCGCTAACTATTAGATTCCTAACAATTAGCCAAATAGATATACTCTTTCCCAATAAGAATTTTTATTTGGCTAATTGTTAGATATCTAACAGTTGACAAAATAACTAAAATGTCCTAAGTAACCCTTTTCTTATGTTAGCCCTTATCACTCTCTTCAAACATCGTGAACATTATTATTATTTTGAATGATTTTGTCTAATTGATTGTTGCTAATAGTAAGCCAAATGATCAAACTGTCGTCATTAAGACCTTCTATTCTTTTTTTTTTCTATTTGCTCACTTTGATCATCAGCTAACAGCCACATATATAGTCATGCCAAATTAGCTGACTATGACATATAATGTTAGACAAATGACCAAAGTGCCTAACTGACCTATTTTCTCGTGCCTAACAACAGTCACATTACTCCCGCACACTATTTCAGACATATAACAGTGAGCCCCACTCCTTCCCAATGGAACAACTTCTTGAGTTATTGACATATTTTGTTAAACATACAATAGTTACCAAGACAACCAAAAAAAACTCTAATTAACCTGTTTCTCATAAACCCCTTAATCTTCTCTTTTCTGTGCACTTGATTATTCACATAAATCTTTCCTAATGGGCTAATGGCCACCCTGCTACAGCAAGAAAAGGGTGATCTTCAAATATACCCCTTAGCTTATATCCTATAAGACTGAAAAATACCACTAATGTTCACTTGTATCAATGGAAGGATTTTTTAATATTAAATCAAGGATCTAAGATCTTACAACTACCATTAACAAACAATTATGAGCAAACATTATAATAATTAAAAAAAATATTATATTTAAAGAACATCCATATGGGTGAAACATTAAGAGTTGATAGCTAAAATATATGCCTATAATTGATGGAATAAGAGGGCAAGACAGCAAGCCACAAAAATTTGCTGCAATCCTATGTGATTTTATTTACAGAAAACAGCCCTACAAGAACATGATGATTGAAAAACATCACATTGCAATCTTAAAGATTGGGGTTACAAATACATTCTCTAAGGGCAGCTAATGCATGCATGGTCTTGTTAGCGGCCAATTGGACCCTTTTATCCCTCTTTATTTATATTATGGCCTATTTGGGATTTGGGTGTGGGTGAGACTGGACAAAATTACATAAATCTCCCTGCATGCTCCTAGTGATTTTCAAGCCACTCAGTAATTACATACTGGATGTACCAAAGAATTATGTAATTATGGCTTCCTAAACAGCCACTACTCTAAAATTGCTAACCACACATGAGAAATTTTTGGCAATATGATAATACAATAGTCAAAGAATAGAACAGGGTTTTTACCCTTCTCCTCTTGTTTCTTCTTCTTTTCCTTAGGAACATAAGTTCCCTCTTCTTTCGCAATACAATCTGACTTGGATTTAGCGTATTGTATCCGCTGAAAAAAGTAATCAAGAAGAACAATACAATGTTAAACATACTAGCATATATGTAATTATATTCATGTGTAAGCTTGCAGGGTATCAGAAATAAGACTCTTAAGTAAATCAAACTACTAGGAGTGCCAAGCCAACATTACATATCATAGGGATGGTAAAGTCAGCTTGCATTTTAAAAGAAGAAATGTAGCCATCTCAAAATGATCAATACTCCCTTCATATTGTAGTCATTTACAACAATATTGGTGCCATTGTTCACGTTGAGTTGTCACAAAGTTCATTAGTGGCAAAGTCTTTAAATGTTGGATTCTCAAATTTGATGTTAACCCTCACCAATATTCCCATCAAATCACAAACTTATATTCAGCAATGAGATAGAGGAATTAGGAAGTTAGCATCACTCAAGGATGTAACTACAGCATTCTGCTAAATGAGCTTGTGGCTTCTGCACATACTTTGTAAAACACCAAACCCCAACTTCACAGCAAACAAATACTAACAAGATTCATGTTCTATTTACTCCATTCTAGAAAAATTGCACTATTTAGACTTTTAAACTGTCCACACATTCCCTCACGACCATCTTTTGTGAAATTAATTATAGTTTTGTGGGATCTTGTAAAATTCGCCTTGATTCTCACTTCCAATATATCCTTCTTATTACTTTAAATTTAAACTTGTGTATTCGTAAGCGTGAAACTCAAATGGTGCATTTATAAAGGAATGAAGTAAGTATTTGTATAACAAATGTTGGACCTATGGGGCTAATCAGCTATATGCATTCTTATTTACACATACTAGTGTAGGACTCTGAGTGTATTACATTTACTGAGCCCACCAGAATGAATCAGACAGCAGAAGGCAGGGTCTCATACCAATTTCAGTTGATTACAGTGCGCCATCTTTTATAGACCCCATATATCTATCAAGCCCATTTGACCATTTCTATACTTGCTGCTTCTCCTCACCCCTCACCTTCATATTTTACCAACTAAAACACACAACTATTGAAAGATGGCTAGAAATGGATGTACTTACAATAGGTTTATCATAGAAAGGGAAATTCTGCATTTGCCGAACAGCATTACTCGCTGCTGTAATCTCACTAAAACAAATCCAAGCTTGACCTCGAAGTTTAGGTGTCTTCAAAGCTACAACATCCAGGATCCTCCCAAATTGAGAGAATAAACAGTAAAGCGACCGCTTCAATTCTGGTAAATTCATAAGAGATTCTCACTAGCTCAAATACTTGAATCAGAAACTAAAACTAAATACAAACCCAACAATTACACACCCATAATAAGAGGCAACAGCAACATTAACACTTAACATTTCTCAATTACCAAGTAAATTGGTTCAATTTCACAATAATTGGGAAGATTTAAAGTTGCAAACTAAGTCACTCATCACAAAACAGCCACTGCATCAAAAATTAGAAATCCCAAATTTCATAATAACCTAATTTAAACCCTAAAATCAAAGGGCATATATAGTGATTTATGAAACCTGAGAAGTTAAAATTGAAGATAATCAAGTATAAGAAAGAGCATAAGCATGAAATTAATGAAAATTGAAGACATTACAAGCTAAAAAAAGTGAAAAAATTAGGGTTTACCTTCTTTCTTGACCTTCTCATTGAGATTTTTAACGTAAATGGATTGATTAGGAGGTATATCGCCGGATAACATCATTGTCGTAAAATATGTTAATCGAATTGATTTGCAGAGAATCAATAAAAGAGGGAAGAAGGAGAAATTGCAAAGCCCTAAACAGTCGAATGCAGAGTTGAGGAGAGAGAAACACTCAGCAAGGCGGTAAAACCCCCTTGTTCGACTACGGCTTTTGGTTCGATTTTTTTTTTTTTACCTGCAAAGAAATTCAACGACAACATAAGACCATATGGGGCTATGGGCATACCGCATATGGCAACATTAGCCATTTAACCCAAGTGCATGGTGTTAAATTTGTTGCTAGGGATGACCAACCTACCCCGATTAATTATATGCTGTCCAAGATCATTGTGTCATTTGTAATACCCCGTAAGACAATTTTTCAATGTAATGATGATGAGAATTTAGGATATCATATCATACATTAAATGAATAACCATAATATTGAGAGTAATTTTATTATTGGTTGGGACCATAAATGACGTGATGATACAGAATTAAATGATAAATAATTGTGTAACCCTCCAATAGTAAGGGTCTATTCCGATTTATTGAACTGGATTGAAATGAATTATTTATGGGAGAAGGAAATTGGAAACTGAACTGAAATTAATCTGAAGAGAACAGACCCCTAATTTAGTAAGACACATACTCTCTCAAATGTATATAGTAACCATAGGGGTATTTAGGTATTCTTGTACAAAGTAAAGCTTTTTTTTTTTAAAAAAAAAAAATTAAACATTATAGAGCCTTCTCGACGAGGGGAATTCCTAATTTAAGTAAAGCTATTATAATTGTTTTGCAAGCAAATATTGAACTAGTGTGCCTTTCGTAGTTTCGTGTTGTATTGAGCTTGTATTGAACTATCCATTTTTGTGTCATACCTTATCAACTCTCGTGTCGAATGATCCTATGCCCATCTCTTGACAACATCGATCTTACAATGCAAATTTGTTTCACTTCTTGTATAACCTAACAATCGGACACGCTCCAATTACACATACAATATGATGGTCCATTAAATTCAACCTAGCTTGTAAAATTCAACGACGGTCAAAGCAATAAACAGAAAAACACCTTAGGGAGTAGTAGTTGTACAACTCCCATTGAAAGGCACAAACTTAAAAAAGAAGAGAAGATCCTCAAAAGTGGGAATAATAGATCGAGAAGGTGAAGATAGCATAAAAATACAAGGGAAGGTTCCTTGGAAGCCAGGTTGTACATATTGACCAAAACCTGGTTAGAAAGTATTATATAAACACACCACCATTCTCAATTCCCCTCACTTCACTACTCTTCTCGATCTCACTTTGCTTCTTATTATTATTATTAGTCCCCACTATTCCACTTCTCCAACTATACCAAACCAAATTAAAACCTCTTTTAATTTCCTAATTTATTTAACTTGTTCCTTTTATTTTCTTCAATTCTTCTTTTCTCATTTTCATATTACTTGTATTATTCTTTCTCCACTCGATCAAATTATGCCTGCTGCTGCTGTCATTTCTGAATCCAATACTACTCATCAAGGATTTCATCTTATGGGCAAAGATAATAATAACGCCCCTTCTATAATGTTTCGAAGGTATGCATTATTACTCCCTCTATCTCCATTTGTTCTTTCTACTTTTTTCTAAGAGAAATTGAGTCGTACATATATAATGTATTTGTTTTCTTAGCTTAGATTTGTCTACTTTAATTTTCTTTCTTGAATTCTCACTTTGTTTTGGATCTCATACATTGTTTGTTTGACCAGAACTAATACTCAAATTTTATTTTTCTACTACGTTCCAAATCTAAAGCCGGCCATAATTCTACCACTTTTATTTATTATAAAAACTTTTCAACACTATTTTTTTTTTTTTTTGACAAATATAAAATTTTCAATACTAAAGAATTTACAATGATGTAATTCTCTTTAAGTAATTTTCATTTTTTTTTCATCGGTCTTCAAATTAAATTCAATCTTCATCAATCATTTTTCAATTATGTACTTCCTATCTTCCTATTAATTAATAAGATTATCTACAGATACCCATCATTTTTTTTAAGTTACTTGTACATACAATTATTTAATAAGATTATCTAGACATATATCCATCATCATTTTTTGGTGTATATATTCCATCAAAATACATATTAAAAAAATATATACATAAATATTGAAACAATTCTAACAATGTCCCTTCAAGACCAAAAACTAAAGTCCAATAAAATAATTTTTTATTTTCTTAAACAATATTTCAAAACATTACTACCATAGCAAGTTTAATTTTGCTATATAAATCTCCACAATACAAATTTTCAAAGCATCAATTAATTAAAAAAACGTATTCCGTATAACTAAAGTTTTTGACAGTCAAATGTACGTGTTGGAACCCATAAAAAAAATGCACAAATATTAAATAAATACTTAGAAGAATATTATTACGGACGTACATGGTCGGAGACTCAGAGAAACTATATATTATAAATTTATAATAACGAGTGATAGTGGACTAGATAATATGAATGCATGTTACGTTGAATTTTTTGTACACCTACTTAGAATATAATTTGTTTGTGTGTAGGTTGGAAGGAAAAGTTGCAATAGTAACGGGTGGAGCAAGAGGAATAGGAGAAGCAACGGTTAAACTATTTGTAAAGCACGGTGCTAAAGTGGTAATTGCGGACGTAGAAGATGCACAAGGCAAAGCATTAGCAGATTCCCTCCCTCATTCCACCACCTTCGTCCACTGCGACGTCAGCAACGAAGACGACGTGCGCAACCTTGTAGACACGGCCGTGTCACAGTTTGGAAGACTAGACATACTCTTTAATAACGCTGGTGTGTTAGGGTCACAAACAAAGTGTAATAAAAGCATACTCAATTTTGACCCTACTGAGTTTGACCGTATCATGTCGGTCAACGTTAAGGGTATGGCCTTAGGGATCAAACACGCTGCCCGTGTTATGATACCACGGGGTGGCGGTTGTGTTATTTCAACCTCGAGCGTGGCGGGCTTCATGGGTGGCATGGGTCCACACGCCTACACGGCGTCGAAGCATGCCATCGTGGGGCTAACAAAGAACACGGCGTGTGAGTTAGGCCGGTACGGGATTCGAGTTAATTGTATATCTCCCTTTGGAGTAGCCACTTCTATGCTTATAAATGCTTGGAGAAGTGATGACGAAGACGAAGACGAAGACGATGAGATGGAGTTGGGGTTGGGGTTGCCATGTGAGAAAGAAGTGGAGAAAACGGAGGAGTTTGTGAGAGGATTAGCAACACTTAAAGGCGCTACTTTGAAAGCCAAGGACATAGCTGAGGCTGCACTATATCTTGCAAGTGATGAGTCTAGGTATGTTAGTGGTCATAATCTTGTTGTTGATGGTGGATTTACTACCTCCAAAAATTGTGTTGGTTTGTGACTAATACCGCCATTATTTTTTTCCTAGTTTTTCTTTCTTTATTTTTTTTTTAAGTGTGGGTTCAATGTTTACACGTGTGAGAATTGCGTAACTCCTATGTTCTTTCACATTTGACAATTACATTTATACTACTTAAGTACATACTATTCTGTAATAACAATGAAAGAAAGAAAGTACTCCAATAAAAAATAAAAATAAAATGAAGAATACACTTATGAATAGTTTGAGGATAATTAAAATGACTCTTTGAATATGGCTAGATATAACGGACGCATCACGTGTGTTAGCTAGAGGTAAGCATGGGACGAGTACCCGTACCGTTAGTACTAACGGTTCGGGTACCCGATAACCAAAATCACTAAAAGTGATACCCATAATCGGAACCGATAAGTTCGGGTACCCAGACTTCGGGTACCCGGATTTTCGGATCGGTTATCAGGTATCCAATAAGATATCTAATAATGATAATTAAACTTAATTATGTAGTTATTATGATATAATTTACAACTAATTAACAACAATACCATATGATCTTGACCAAATTATTAATAATATTACTAATTATTGATATTATAAAGTGATTATGAAGTAAAGTAAAAGTTTAGATTTATACTAATAGATTTAAGTAGGGAAAAAAAAGCAAAAAAAATGCTTATCGGATCGGATTGGGCAACCGTTAATTTTAAAATGATATCTGATTAGGGGATTTTGCTCCCACCAATCGGAATGCGCCACGTGGGCCAATCAGGTCCTGCCAAGTGTCCCCCAGTTGGACCCCTCAGGCTTGCCACGTGGCACACGCTTATTCGTCCACCCTGGACTTATTATGTCATGACACGTGGCATACTCCATGCCTAATGGAGAAGCCGGTCACCTAGGCCCAACTTCCGAGGGAAGCCCAATCAGCCCAAGGTTAACCTAAACCTAGATTGGCTCGTTTCCCGAGGTTATAAATACCTCCCTTAATCCTCATTAAGGGAGAGGACGCAGATTACACACATTAAACACTCTCACCTAGAGAGACCCAATCACTTTAATTTCCGCATTAATTACTCCTCAAACAAGTACTAACTTGACCGTTGGAGGCGGAGCTCCCACCACAAGGAGTCTCCGTTGTTTTGCAGGTACAGGCGTCCGGTTCCAGTCTCGGAATTGTAACTCTCCCGCAGGACATCAGAAAACCCCGAAACATTTTGGCGCCGTCTGTGGGGAGAGTACTTCTGAGATGGCACCCACGTTTGTACCGGCTCCTGAAGAGAGACGTCCCCTGGACGATCCTCTAGTTCAGTCGGACCACGATACTGAGAATGAAATTGAAGTTGAAGCTCACACAGCTTCAGACGGGACCCTAAGGGCCCGGCGCACCCGTCCTACCGAAAGGAGGGAACGAGAGGCTGGTCCCAGTCGGCCAGCCGGCCCACCGCCTGAGACTCAGCAGGCGGCCGAAGGATCTGCTCCTATTACTAGGACAGAACTCATGACTCTCATAAGTACTTTCAAGGGAAAGATCCAAGAGCTTGTCAATAAAAAGGCGACTGCTCCACCAAAGGAACAGTCGGCCAGATCAAACAACTCCCAGTTGAAGTTACATGCGCCTCGCATGAAACTACTGGGTACAACCGGCAATATACCAGCCTCCGAGCATCCGGCCAGGCGGCCAACTACTACAGGCGTCATACGGCCGAATGCAAAGAGTCATACGGTCAAGCTTCTCCACCTAAGAGCCTTAGGTGGCAACCTACTACAAAGTTAATCTTAGCATTTGATATTATCAAGTGGCATAAGTAGTATCATAACTACCAGCCCACATCGCTATATACATAGTCGGCTCCCATGATGCTTGTCACGAACAGCTTCCTCGGTCGGTTGTTCTACATGTCTAGGAAGCCTGCTGTTTTTCCTTCGATAAAGGCCCGACTGTGAGTGCAGTAGTGGCATGCCAACGTCGAGCCTTTGAGCTTTTAGGCGACAACCATAAGAGCAGCCCTCATTCTCGCATAAACAGCCGGCTCTATATGATGTTTTATCAAGGTACAGTCGCAAGGTTTTTGCTCAAAATATAATGCCAAGTATACTTGATACAAATGAGTTTGGTTCCAGCTTGTTCTTCCAAAAGCAAACAGCCAAAATACTCGCACATATAAAAATCTCTCGGCCTGCCGAGGGGAGTAGCGCTTGGCTCGTAGTAATATAATTGGCCATGAGAGTGAATGCTTTAACTTGTTCATGTGCTAGTCTCTTATTGTGAAAGCTGGGCATTGGCGTCTCGCCCAAGGAAGCAGGCGGCCAGATGACAGCCGGCCTAGTCCTAGCCATGAAGCATGACAAATCAGCTAGCCATGCTAATGTAGGCGACACCTAAACAGCCAGCCCAATCCGAGCCACCAAACAGCCGGATTGATCACTTCAAGAACAAGCAACTCAAAAGGCCGAGACGAATGAGTTCGTGTGTATGTAAAAAATAGGCAGCTAGGCAGCTGTATTTATGTATGGGAAGCATTGAAACCGGCTGTTTAGCCATCAAGTAAATCGAACAAACCACTTGTCTTTCATGAAAGCAGGCGGCATCCACAGCGAACGCATCAAGCAATGCGTGAGGTGATATGGGTCTTCATGTTTTGTAATGAGGGCCGAGTCTTGAATCACTTTGGTCTAAATAATGCCCAACACGATCAAAACATAATTAAAACAAGCGGCAAGCTGATCATACGGCATCATGTGGCCGAATAAAATTTTGAAAGTTAGCTCCATTGAGAAGAGCAGCTCGGCATCCTTACCAAAGCACCATGTAAGCTCAAAATGAGTGCCTTTTGAAATTTCATAGTATCATGGGTAAGCATCAAGAATAAAACGACACATTGCTATTGTTTGTAAAGAAACAGCCACCATGTGTATGCACGCAACAGCAAGTCCCTTGTATGTCTATAGACAGCCGGCCTAGTCCTAGCAACACAGCAAGGAGGCGGCTCTAAAACACATCCGGCTTGGCTGAGTTCAGATGGTCGAAGCATTCGAGAGCAGGCGGCATCTAGGTGTCGTAGCTCAAGCTAGCAGGGGGCACTTGCAACCAAAGAAGCTAGCCATAGTAAAACATGCGGCACATGAAACACAATTATCGTGCTAAGTTCAAATATCATGCTGAGATTTGACGTTGATGCTGGGTACGAGTACATGCCAAGTAGATGCTAAGCTATCCATTCTTCCAACCAAGTGTGTATCCATGTGTTTGAAGAGCCGCATGAAGTGATCATCCAAGCCAAATTTATGAGCCCAAGAGTATATAACTCAAATTGCTAAGTTAGGGAATCCTCATTGCTCTTATTTCAGCCGGCATTCAGTGCTCAGACGCTCAATAAAATCAAATAGTCGGCCACCCTTGTTAATGAAAACAGGCGGCCACAAGTGCTCTTCAAGACTCAAGCCCAGTCCCAGCTAGACTCACCTTAAACAACCGGCACTTGGTTGAAAGGGCATGAGCAAAAGTGGGTCTTCATACTTTTTAAATAGGGGCCGAGTCTTATGATCATTTTTGTCTAAATAATGCCAAGCACGTAAATAGCATGCAACTGGCACATCATGGTAACAGCCGGCCTATAACCAAGCATGATAAATTTTAGGAATTCTTATGGCAACAAGAGTTCTATGGTCACAAGAACAGTCGACATTTAGTGGTCGGATGACTCAATGAAATCAAGTACCACCTCGTAAACGCTTGAACTTTAGTGGCCGGCACTTCAATGTTTGGCATTGATAAATAACACTACATTGGTCCTTATCATTATTATGATTTTCCCTCGAAAAAAAAAATAAAAATTGCCTAAGGTTATTAAACCCGGCAGCATAGTCAGTAACCAATTGAAGACCGTCTCCCTTCAGGGATTACCTCCACTTATTTGTGTGACAGTAAGAGAGGCGACATGAATAGTAGCCGGCCCCCTATACAATGAAGTCTCGTAGCTATGAAAGCAGCCGACTCTCATTAATAACACCATCCATCCTTTATGGAAGGGAGCTAAGTGATCTATCTACTCTAACACTTGAAATTATTTCAATACTTGATACTAATTCAGAGGGGCAGGCCGCCTATACCTTTACAGTCGGCTACTCTCCATTGAGTATTTTACTCTATCTTCAGAGGGGCATGTCGTCTGTACCTTTACAGTCGGCTACTCTCCATTGAGTATTTTACTCTATCTTCAGAGGAGCATGTCGCATGTACCTTTACAGTCGGCTACTCTCCATTGAGTATTTTACTCTATCATCAGAGGGGCATGCCGCTGTATCTCTACAGTCGGCTACTCTCCATTGATTGTTTTACTCCATCACCAGAGGGGCATGTCGTCTGGACATACAGTTGGCTACTCTCCATAGAAGAGGGCCGCCTGGTTCCAAAACAGACAGCCACCCCCCCTATACTTAGCTAAAAAATGATCAGGGCCTGGCCGACCCTGTGCCTAAACAGGCGGCTACCCTCCTCTTACTTAGCACCTACGTCCACCAAAGGACTAACCAAGGCCACAGGCCGAATGATCAGACCAGGCGCCAAGCCAACTGATCCAATCTTCAAAACTAATACGACCTGTCCCAACATCATAGCAGGCGTCCGGCGGCATCCCTCCGGATGAAATTCGTCGCAGAGAGCAGCTCCCTTTTGGGTGGAACATTGCTCTATAAACTAATTACACGGCACCTATACGACTGTCCCCAAGGGCAATCACGTAGCCGTTTTTGAGACAAGGATAACTCTATCACTAACCAAACCAGTGGTAGCAGTTGACACCTGATTCAGATGACCGCCTGTATTACTTGGGATAAATGCAGGGGGTATCTCTTGAGTTAATAGCCAACAAACATTGGCGAATCAAAAGGTTCAGCCGGCCTCCGCCGCCTGGTACCTTTACTACTCAAGCAGGAGTGACGGCGACTGAGTAACACCAAAGTTAACTCATAGTCACTCTCTCAAACTTAGTATGGAGCCTAAAAGGTATGAGTCGTCCGCCTGTTTTTAGCAAACAGGGGCTCTCAACCACTACTCCTGCTAGGTTAACAACCTATGAGTTAAAAGCCAACAAACATTGGCGAATAAAGGGGAACAACCGGTACCCACCGCTTGATACCTCTACTACTCAGTTACTTGGCGACTAGGTAACAATCATGTTTACTTGGTCACTCCTTAAAAATTTAGTATGAAACTAAAAAGGTGTTCATACAGCACCTGTTCACACTAGATTAAATATGGCGGGGAACAGTCGGCCTAGACGGCCTAAAGTCTCTAGCCTAAAAATATGACAAGTAGGAAACCACTTTCCTACTTGGTTAATTTTACAAATGACAT